GCTAAAATTATGTAATTCAGTTAACGTTGCAGATTGCGTTGTTCCTTAATCTTCAAATTGGATCCGGCTTATTATTTTTTGCAGACTGTTAGAGCAATTTCATAAAAGTAAGATTGAACTTTCGATTATGTCAAATAGAATTTCTGATATGTATTTACTAATATGTAATTTGCATCTACAAAGCAAAAGTATGTTTTGAAATCAGAAATCTGTTTATCAATTTCATGCTGCGGATTGGAAGTTGATCTGTCAGCGCTATCCTTAGCTTCAGGGCAGATGTTTTTATTTTACTTCGCTTATAATTCCTTACTAAGTGTAGTATTTCATCTCGATGTACTCGGTCTTTGATATGATTTAAATCAAGTTCCTCGTCATTATAATTCGCTTCCGATAGTGACCCAGAGGTTATTGAAAATGAAAACATTTTGATTGACACATTAGTCGGTATTCTCAACACAGCAATTACAGGACTTGAACAGCGGAACTTTGTAACTAAACAAGAAATTATGTCTGTTTAATAGAATTAAAGAGAAAGTATTATGACATGAAATGAAACAACTTACGTTGAAGGAAATGTTTATAAAGTAAACAAATAAATATTAAGCTTTTTCTTTTTGTAAATTTTGTTACCCTTTAGATCATAATTGTTCTTTATTTCATAAATTACGGTTTCATATTTTTAATTTTGTAATTTCTGCATGCCATCTTACCAGATTTAAACTGATGATCTATAATTCGGAAAAATCGATAATCCGGAATCGCCGAAGTCCGGACGAGTCCGGATTAACGACTTTTGACTGTATACTTGTAATGACATTTGCTAAAAAATTACTTTCGAAGGGGAAAAGATTGAAGTAGTTTGTACAACATTTTAATTTATAAAAATGGTCTCTACTTGAGAAAAGTGTAAGAAATTCAGATTCAGGGACTCTGCATTAATGAGTAATACCCTCATAAATGGAGTATCCATGTAATGCAGACTTTTATGTATTATCTAAATTAACTTTTCCATTGCATACCCATAAAGTATGGGCTGGTCTTTATGGATATGACTGGTAGGGCTGACTGTCAGCATATGGGTTGATTACCAGTAATAGCAGTATATTAAGTAAAGTTACTTACTTTTTAAAGTTCCAGAGCAGCACTATGTATATGTGTTTCAAGAGATCATTCATAAACGATGTATAGGGTTATCCAAATTAAACTTCCCCAACTCAGAGGCCTGTGCAGAATGTTGTATGGGTCATAATGTGATGAAATTTTAAAAACAGACACTTCAGATCATGCGCTCGAGATTTATTAAACAAAAAAAAAAAAAAAAAATGTGTACAAGAAGTTGCCGATAGGTGGCACTGCAGATCAACAAGACATTCTACAGATGTTCTATATGTGTGCCGTGGTTCTCCACAACTCTTTCCATTCGCAAAGCAGTGTGTTCCACAGTGGAACGCAGTAAGTCCACATTATTCACACGAACAATGACAAATAATTGCGCCTTTCAGATGTGCCAAGGTTGCTGGGTGTTCTCGGTAGACCCAATCATTTAAGAATCCCCATAACCAAAAGTCGCATGGCGTGAGATCAGGCGAGTGGGGAGGCCAAGCTGTAGGGAAACAGCGGCTGATCACACGTGCGGCAAAAGTTGCCCGTAACACTTGTTGAACGCCACGAAGAATATGGGGAGATGCACCATCCTGCATAAATATCGTGTCCTGGAGGCGGCCACGTTGTTGCAGTTCAGGGATCACAAACGTTGTCAACATGTCCTGATACCATTTTCCTGTGACAGAGCAGGTTTTGAACCCTGTTGGAGTCACCTCTTCAAAAAAATAAGGCTCAATGAATGTTGCAGTGAAACCGCACCATACAGTAACCTTTGGAGGGTTCAAGGGCACTTGATGGATTGCGCGTGGATTTTCACTTGCCCAAATGCGGCAGTTGTGCGTATTCACTTGACCATTCAGGTGAAAATGGGCCTCATCCGTCCAAAGGATGTTCCACGGCCAAGCAGCATTGATTTCCATTCTGGCAAGGAACTGCAGCGTAAATGTTTCCCGAACTGTTGGATCCCCGTCGGACAGCTGATGACGACTATGGATTTTGTAAGGAAAACAACCGAGGATTTGACGCATCACACGTCAGACGGTCGTATAGGGCATATCAACAGCATGAGAAACAGTTGGCACACTGGCACACCATGTGACGATTGGCTAGTGGGGTCCACGACCACCAAAGCAACGTCTTCTACTTGTGCAGATTTCACAACCTGTCGTCCTCTACCTGGTAAAATTCCCAGCTGTCCCAGCTTCAAATGTTCTTTCGAACTTCTTCATGTTTTGTAGAGCATGTGGCGTCATTGGTCCTCGGCTAAGATCTTCAGCCGACGGAATGCTTTTATTGCAGCACAGTTCTTCTCATTCTGGTAGAAAAGTTTCACTAACAGAGCTTTGTCTTTCAAAGTTGCCATTGTGCATCAGCGAGCTGGAAACAACTGCCTGTGTAAGGCCTGTCTTCCACTTTTGTAGGGCTCGTGTTTTGGATACGTTGCGCAGAAGCTTTATTTCTGCAAATCACGTTGCTGCAATATGCACATTACTAGTGTTACAGCACCACCTATCGGCAACTTCTTGTACTAATTTTTTTTGTGTAATAAATCTTGAGCGCATGATCTGAAGTCTCTGTTTTTAAAATTTCATCACATTATGACCCATACAACACTCTGCACATGCCTCTGAGTTGGGGAAGTTTAATTTGGTTAACCCTGTATAAATGAGAAAGACGTAGAAACGAAACTTGACATTACGATGTGAAATGGACATATATTTATTGACTGCACAGTTTTGATTCTACTAACCTATTACTGATATTACATAATTTTATTATCCTAACTTTCAGTTTGTTTAAAATAATGTATTCAAACAAATTTAAAATCAATATTTTAAATAAATATGTAATTGATATTAATATTTTAAACAATTTAAAGAACTTTTGCAATTAATATTTTAAAAATGATATTAGTAGAAATTTAATACTTTAAAAATCATATGAATGCAAATTTCTGTATGTAGCTACATAAAATTGATTAAAAAAGTCATACCTTTATCTTAATTACTATCCTGAATAACTAACATTTTATTTTTTAAATCAAAGAACATTTAAAAGCAAAATTTTAACTTTTTTTTTAAAAAAAGAAAGTCTAAAATTGTTGTTTAAACTGTCTTTTGATTCTGAATCTTAAGCAAAGTGCTATGAATTGTATTCAGTTCTTCAAATGTTTTCATACTTGCTTACACACAAAGAAATTTCTAAGGGTGTCATTGCAGTAGTCATACTTGTAGTTTCCAGTTTTCTTCATCCATAATCAGTTTTATCATTTTCATCATCAAAACTTTCACTTGGAATTGGAAATATTCCTTTAAATAAAGATATTTTTAATTGTTTGTGCTTTTACTTGAGTCCAACAAAGTGAAATCATATTCATAACCTCAAGAATATCAATTAAAAAAAATTTTTTTTTCCTGTAGTTATGTTTTAAAGAGTACTTTGAATCAACCTTTGTCTGTAGAACATTTCAATTTCTTAATTTTTTCCTTAATGACACATAGATCTAAAGGTTTACACTAATGCTGTTTGCCGGGAAGAAAAGAACTTTCAGTTGTTTCAGGATAGGCGGTACACTGATCCCATAAAAAGTAAAATTTTATGGTTTTCTCAATTTTCTTGAGTCGTTCTCTAAAAATAGTCATCTATGCTTTCTTATTTGTTTTATATCCTAATGGTAGAGTTTTAACATTTTTGAAGCATTTTTTTTTTGTGGTTTTTCCTATAACTAAGGAAGTCATCTTTTCCATACCATCAGTTTTTGCTCAAAAAACCTTCTTTACTTTAAAAGCCGTTCTTTACTTTGCTTATCTCCAGGACACTGGTCACCTTTAAAGGCTAGGGTTCTACAGGCATATATTTAAGGGAAAAAAAATTTATTAACATTAAAAATGTCTTTTAATTCATATCCATCTGTTTTGGTAAATAAATTCTTGAACCATTCTTCAACCAACTCAGCAGGAATGCTTTTTAATTCTCTGTTTATTATATGACATGAGATTCCTTGCTGCAGTTTAAATGTATACAACCATCCAGTTAAAAAGCAAGCTTCTTAGACATTCAGTTGACGTGCTGTTTCTTTTGACTTCTTGATTAACATGGGGCCATTCACTGAAATATTGGATGCATAACACTGGATGAAATATTTTAGTGAAATGGCTTCAACCTCGGAAAACTCCATCTTGAGAGAAGCGGACTGTTCTCTAATTATTACTCTTTTTCCAACCTTTTTTTAAAATCGTAAACAACCTTTTTTAGTATTGTTACAGGAATGTACAGTTCCTTTGCTATCTCGACTTTTATCAAACCAGCATTCTCATTTAATTCTTTTAAGATTTAAACTTTATCTTTAATGAGATGCTTTTTAGGCATTTTATATCAGTTAATTCAGCTCTACTTAGTTTACTTAACACAGTGTCCTGTTCTAAAGAAAAAAAACCCTGCCAGTTTTTCCTTTCAAGTATCCCCTCAATTCACGAACTGGTTTTTCAACTTCTGTATCAGAATGTGAAATCTCATACCTTTGTTTCCTTCTCCTATCCCCATTTCTGAGAAAAATACTTGAAAGGATTGTGAAATGTAAAACCAATGCAGTAAGTAAAACAAAAGCAACAAATAACTGAAGTTATTTGGCGTATACAAAAAATATTTTATAATTAAAATAAATAGGATTGAATCGGAACCAATATGAAACTATGTATAGCTGGTGCTCCCTTGTTTTTAATTTATAATTTTTTTAGTGTTTCTGAAATATTTGTTTATTAAGCTTTTGCTGACAAGAAAAGAGTTTTGTGCGATGTAATTACGGATGGTTCACCGTACATGGTGGTCACGTAGCGGCCTTCCACTGCTGATAATTTTATATTGCATTTTATTAAATGATGTTATTTCTTTTCTAGAGTAGTAAAAATGAAGTGTGAACTTGTACCATCTGAGGTATCCGAAAAAGTGCCTTTTGTGTTGCCATCATATAATTCTTCAAAAGATGAAAGTAACTTATGTGGCCGCATTAGTAAAAGTGAGTTTGCTCAACTACTTTAACTTATTCAAACGTTTGCTGAATAAACTGATGAAGTTTCTTTATTTATAATTTATTTTTTGGGGTTACTTTTCTGTTATTGGGATCAGATTCAGAAATGTATGCATATATTTTTTTATTACCTTATTTTGAATTGATATTCTAACTAATAGCAGCTTTTAGCACTTTTTTAATAGCAGCCTACTCTCTATTAAATTTTTAACTAATTATCTTATTTTAATGTTATTTGTGTCATTTAATGTCCTCTCTAAATTTATTTATTATTTATAGTAAATAATACTTTTAAATTTCAGGAAATTTTCTCTGCATAATCCTGAGATTAATTCTAGCAGTTAGATGACATACCATCACGGAATTTAATGCACATATTTTTTACTTATGCATGCTACTAAATAAATATAAAATACCTGAATTTATTTAAAAATATCATTAAATAGATTTTTCTTTCGTTTAGCTGCAAAATGTCTGCAAAAAAAGATATTTTTTTTATCCAGATTGGGCAGATTCTAATCTCGATCTTCACTGGAGAAAACAATTCCTATTATAGTTAAAGTAGTAATGCTCTGGAGATTATATAAGTCGTATATAATATATATATAAGTCATATGTAATTGGCAAATTTTTGTGTTTTCAAGTGGTCCCATAATTAATTTACTTCTTAGCACAGCCAATGTGCATTACACGGATAGACTGGAATTTTCTTAAAACACACCTGGAAATATCTCAGGGAATTTCATTTTCCTGCTTTGAGTGGGCTACCTTAATGATAAAGCGGTGTAAGCAATGTAGCAGTGCTGATAATGCTATATTCGGGGAGTAGCAATGCTGACAAAGCTGGAAGGATATTGGACAAAGCCTCACTTATCGATTTGATGTTTCCTCCACATGATATTGCATCTCTATCCTTACAAATTGCAGTCACTGAATGAGTTACAACCGGAAGACACAGCTATGAGGCTATGGCAAGAATTGTAAGCGACCGTCAGCGGTTTTTCAATGTTTTATGGGCAGATGAGACGCACCTCACACTACACGGGGATGTCAGCACCCAGAACACTTGTATACAGAAGATGTTGAATTCTCATGACTGCATGATGAAGTCACTGATTCCAAATTCACTTGTGTACTGTTCATTTCCTTCAACATTGGCTGAATTCAAAGATGCTATCTATCGTGGGGTTTCAGCAATTTATTCTGATATGTTGCATTCATCTGTAATGGGCATTGTGAGTCTCCATAGTTATGTTGCACAGTGTTCTGGAGATCATGTTGAACAATTGTTATTGCAAGAATAAATGAATAAAGTGTACTGTTGTCCTGTTCATTGTATTTTGGATTATCAGCGCCCTCTACCTGTGACAATTTTTAATTAAATTTTTTTTTTTTTTTTTTTTTTTTTGCTAGTAAAAAAAATCCGACTTCCTTGTGAGCCCTTTCTTGCAAACCACATTTCTTTATCATAATTTCTTCCTTTTTTTTACGAATTTTTAAAGCTTAAATGAACTTTTGGCTCACCCTGTGTGTATGCATATACACACACATATATACAACTTCATTTCTGAACCAGTCCTGATAACATGTATATATATATATTTTTATCATGTACTTGTATGCATTTATGTTTAGCTTATTATTACAGAAACAGTAGCATGTTAAATAAATTGCATATCTTCAACTTCTTTTAGATAGGTGTCCCCTCTCCATATGTCATGTAATCAAACTCAAGTTTAATATTTTATATCCTATGTGTATAATAAGACAGTGATAAGATTAATTAAATATAATTTATTTGTTAAATCAAGAAACATTAAAGTATGCGGATATGGTTTAAAATACAAAATCTAGGGTCTAGCCTTGGTCTGGTGATTTTGTATTCACCACAATTTTTTTTATAATTTTTTAGGAAAATGTTCACTTCCATCATTCTTCATACTTATCCTCCTTTCACAAAGGTAAGTTACATCAGATTCACCAAAAACTGTCTATAATTGTGGAAAGTTTAGGCAAACTTTCGGTTATAATACAGTCTCAAAGTGAATATTTTTGCAAGTAGCTGCCAACTTTTTTTTTTTTAAATCACCCTCTCCTGTTCTGGCCTGTATTAAGAAAAATGTTTTTCATAATTCAATAAATGCAAAACTTTATCCTAGTGATTTTTAGCAAAACTCTTCTTATTAAATTTATTTTGTCTGAATCCTTTTAATCTATTATAAAAATTTGTAGAACATTTTATGAAGATGTGTGTAATGAATTTAACCTGTGTTTATTAAATTAATATTTGTATTTCATTTTGTTTTACATCAGTATATGGTACATTACTACGCTTATTCACACAATATGTACATTAATTATTAATTTTTTTTCATTTTTGTTATCTTTACTTCATTAATTTTATTTTTTATTGATTCATTATATTTTTTATCATTCAAGTGATAAGTAAAATAAAAGCTTTTCTTCCTTACTCGGGATTTTTTTCATTATAAAAGTGTAAGAAAATTGCAAGAGGAAATCAGCCAAAGAACATGAAATTTAGATTGTTTAATTAAATATTAATAAATTTTACATCAGGATCATATTATAAATAGTTCAATAATCAGAATTGTTTATTATAAAGTAAGTCAGTTCGTAGAGATATTCGGTTAATTGAAAAAGCCGGAGAGATGAGACATTAGCAACACCTTCGTCGGGAATCGAATCACGGACCTCTGAAATACCGGCCCAGCATGCAGAAGCACTACACCACGAAGGCATGCTAGGAAAGCAGGAGATATACCTTATATACTCCCCTTTTTAAAGGGCAACTGGGGTCTTTAGAGGACCTAATCGCTAATCCTCATCCAACAGCCTTTTAGTTCAGACGCCACTGTAGAGAGACATTAGGTATTTTTTGGAAGCAGGCAAGGTGAAAAATTAGCAACCCGCCTTCGCCGGGAATCGAACCACGGGCCTCTGGAATACCGGGCCAGCATGCAGAACCACTACACCATGAAGGCACACTAGGAAGGTTGGAAAATACCTTATATACTCCTCCTTTTTAAAGGGCAACTGGGGTTTTTAGGGGACCCCAATCACCAAATTCTGGGTTAGGAGAAATCATCATCCACAACCCAGGTGCTACTGTAGAAATATGTTAATTAGAAAAGCCGGAGAGATGAAAAATTAGCAATGCCTTTGCTGGGAATCGAACCACGGACCTCTGAAATTCCAGCCCAGCGTGCAGAACTACTACACCACGAAGGCACGCTAGGAAAGTGGGAGATATACCTTATAAGTTTATTCTCTTGAAATGAAATGTGAAGCCCGAAATTCTTCTGAAAATCTTTAGTTTTCATGAGAGAACCTCCTGGTGTTTGTATTTCAAGGTGGCTAATGCCATTATATACCATTTGAAACAGTAAAAGAAAATTTAGCCTATATTTATAGGAACCATTTATATTATTTAATGATTAGGGAGAATACAGTTTGTATTTGTGCTGCTGTTCCAGTGTAATTAACAGCTGAATGCCATGGTGATGTTTTTCTGGATCTTAGTGCAAGTTTAACGTTCTTCCATAAGATGGCTTTTCTAGTCCCAGTACAATAGCAGTAATGAATGAACATGACAGCAGTGTCCATTTTAAATGATATCTGCAATTTCATCCCTGTGCATTAATCTTAATTCACTAAATTCTGTAACTTATTATTTTTTTTTTTTTTAAATTTCTTTGGCAAATTGTTTAATTTGGATTAAAATTTCTAATTGTATGAATATCTGCTTTGTTTTTCCCCTTGGATTTTTCTTCAACTAAACTGTATCATAAATATTTTGGCGATTATTTTTATGCTTTGAATTTTTCACCAGATCATCAGCTTCGGGCAATATCTGAATCTTCTGGCAATATCCGGATAATAGTACACCTTGTAAAAAAAAGGGGGAGGGGCACTTTGGCATAATTTGCGTTAAATAATCCAAATAGGGAAAAAAAATTGGTATGTTATTTTTTCAGAAAAAGTCTAATTTTGTGTCAAAATACCTGTGTCAGAACAATTCTATATATGTAAATCTAGTATATATCTTAAGTCATGCTTTCGAACATGGAAAATGGAAGTTAAATTTTGGCAATCGGTCCAGTGGAATGGGAGCTATAGGACTGTCCTCCCCCTTTTTTTTTTGGTGCAAGGTGTACCAAATTAACTTTATAAATGTACCCAAATAATAAATTATTTTATAAAGAGTATTACATATTGTTTTTTAATATAGGTGGCTCGTTCATGTGGTTGGTGAATAATGCAAGTATTGATTTTTGCAATACTAGAGGAGAATGGTGTGGTGGCCATAATTTTGAACAAGCATTGAAAAATCCTTATGCTAAAATACTCGATGGAGTAGAGTTTACTTCAGCTCATCTACCATTTCCAGTACTAGCTGTGGTTGTTAATCAAGATCATGACAGTTTGATTTGTGTTATGAATGCTAATTCAAAAACTGTTGAAAGGGTTATTCTCATTCCAGAAAATGTAAGTTATATTTTCCTCTGATATTCACACATATCGGTTATAAAATCAGTTTTATGTATGATACCAGTTGTTCTTTGAAGCGTATTTTATATAAATGTTAAATTATATAAGTGGTTATGTATAGTTAATCCTATTTTACTGTTTCTAGTGTTCTCTCTGCTTTTTTAGCTAATATTCACTGACTTTTCTTATGGTAGACATAAGTTACATGAATATGAATAAATAATTTCATTGTGTATTATCTGTGTATCAACACTTCTCAAAATAAAGCAGATTTTTATCTCCAGCATGCGAGACTGGCCACTCGAACAAATGAGGGTAAAAATTAGCATTTTCAGAGTTTTGAATTAATAGCTGCACTAATCAAAGTCATGTGAAGATGAGAATGTTCAAAATGACTTCCCACAAATCTTTGGAATCTGGTGAGTAACTCTTTCAAAAGTCAACTCCCCGCTGTTCTGGAGGAGATAATGCCACAAGACAGATGAGCACAGATTTTAATAGTGTAGATAACATTTTGCATCATGTGTGTATTAGCTTTGCTGAATGAAGCAGAAGCAATTCATTATTTGTAGGCATTTAATATTTTACCCCCAAAACTGTGAGTTTTATAATTCTTAATGCAGTCAAACTGTACATAACAAAAGATATGCATTGAGAATATAATATGTGTAACAACTGATAAAGTATTACAATAAGAGCTGGGAACTAGTTCGACAACTGTTTGCTTTCATTTTTACCAGAGTTCATATAGATGTAGAGACAAGTTGCAGTGACTCCTGACATAATGCAGTTTTGAATGCAGTTTGTCTAAGGCTGCTATCACAAGTCGGTTTGTTTCGGAAGAACAACTGTTTGGAACAATTTTTCTGCTTTGTCACAACAGCCAACCACCACAGATCGCTTTGGGGTTAACGCAGGGGAAACTGGTTCCCCATTACAAACAAGCTGATAGCATTCAAAGCTCATAGCTGATTGGTTGAAAACGAACAACCTGCAATTTTTTTGTAAATGAAGGAAAAAGTCTCGCATTTTTCTTTCAATAGTAAACCAGGCAGAAAAATTGTCCGAAACAGTTGTTCGTGTGAAACAAACACCGTTTGATATGGGCCTAACAGTACTCACTGGAAATCGGAAATCAAAAGAAAACCCTGACATTGAAAATATATTTCATTGTCAAAAGGCTGTTGTTGATGATGTATCAGTGGGTAATGGTTAATGCAAAAGTACCATAATTATTAATAATTATATGAAATCGTAAAAAACCTCTTAATTTAATGAGTTTTTTTATATGCATTATAGTTCCATATTTGCATCCATGTTATTCAGGTCTTTGTTGTATTGCAAGGCCCAAGTTTTTCTGTCATCAGTCCATTGAGAAATATAGTTAGTTATGCTTTGCTGGAGCTCTTCATTACTAATAAACTGTTTACTGTTAGACTTCACCTAATTATGGGGAAAGAGAGTAATTGATGGGGGCAGTGCTTATAGTCCTACTACTCCCAAATCTCATGTAAGTTTTGATTGTCATAGGAGATAATCAGTTTTTTAATGGAAAGCATTTTGTTGAAATGTAGAGTTCAAAATAATAACTGCTTTCACTGGCTGAGACATATATAATTAGAATACATAGAAGCTTGTCTTCTGGTAGAATAAATGCTACATTAAGAAAAAAAGTATCTAAAATATAATCAAATTTATTTCATACTTGTGTTCTTTCAGGTTGCTGTGTAGTAGTTTGTCTCCAAAATAAGCCATGAAGATGCTTTCAATATATATTTTTATCCATAAAATATGAAAATATTCACCTCATAGCATTCACAATTATGTAAGTCGCTCACGTGATAAATTCCTTTTAGTTCTGTGGTGATGGTTTATGCCACAATACTCCAAACTTGTCAGAAGGTTCATCAAAAGAAAAGTTGAAAACTTAGTAAGCCATAAAATTAAAATTTATTTAAAATTAAAAGGTAAAACATGAAATTACACACATGATGAAAATACTGAACGCTAAATTTCGACCCCAAACAAACAGGAACATTAAAGTACAAGTGAAGCGAGTCCCTCAGCAGAAAGTTCAAGTCTTTATACATGCACTATAATAAATGCACACAGGTACAGCGCAATAAACATGGATACTGCATGCAAATATTAAAATACGAATATTCTCATCGGAATGCAAATACTCCGCCACAGTATTTCCTTCCCCCCACATGCCAAAGGCACGAAAGGTTAGAGATACCTAAGGTTAAATTTGACTGAATGAGTAGTTTGCACTGGAGGTATAGTGCCATTCGGTTTTTATTACTTGGTATTAATGGTCAATCATACGGGCAAGTCAATGGTGGTTTTACTGCATAGGGTCTCACAAATATATGAATGCATGTTTCTAAAGCTGGATGCACGAAATAATTGTTGTTAACATCAACTGATTTAGGTACCGGTGTAATCTCTCTTATAATCTCACACAACTTCTGTAAAAATGAAACTGGGTTCAGAAGAATTAGAAACTCGAGTGTGTTGTAAAAATTCCGCAGGGAGGTGAATAGTCGTTCCATAAACTATATCCGAGCAAGTTCCTCCCAGATCTTCTTTGTATGTTGCTCAAAGACCAAGGAGTACATCTGGAAGGCTCATTGTCCATTGGGATATTATTATGGCAGATTTGTTTTAGTGAACGATCGAATCTCTCAAATAATCCGTTAGCTGTAAAGTGGCATGGAGAAGTCTGTATTCGGTAAATACCAAGAATTTTGTTAAGAGTAGTGAACATGTGTGGCTCAAATGGATTGGTACTTATGGTAGTGGTATCGGTACTTATGGTAGCGGGAATTCCAAAACTAGCAATCCAATGGATAAAAAAAGGCTTGAGATTCAGTTTCTGCTGAAATATCCTTCATTGGTATTATGGCAAGCGAGTCTCTTGGCAAAAGTTTAAGTGCTTATACTCGCACTCTAACAAATGTGCACGAGTACAGCACACCCAGATTTACATGCAGTATCCAAACATGGAAATGCAAAAGTTAAGATACAAATATTCTCGTTGGAATGCAAATACTCCCACAGTCCTTTGTTTATCCACATCTTCAATATTAAATGTAATCTTTTTGTAGCTGATGTCAGAAACTTATACTTTACTGTTATTTAAATATTTTGCAGTAAGAATAATTATGAAAGATTTTTTTTTTATTTCTTCAAGTTGTTAAATCTAGTAAATCATATTTTTATTGAATATATGTGATTTATCAAGGATAATTTTATTAATTTATGCAATTGATATTTCAAACTAATTCTAAACAAAATTTGAACAATTAATATTGCGAAAAGTTGTGTGAAGACCTTGTTTTCAACTGGTTGTAAAAATGCAAAATCAACTATAGAGATTTTTTTTTTTCTCCCCGTAAAATTTCTTGTTTTTAATAAATAATTTTTTATAATTATATATGAATAGAACAGTACCCGTGAGCCACAAAGATAGCCAAACTATTCTCTCCATTTCTTAAAACTACCAATCAATTTGTGGCTTTTGTGCGATGTGTTGATAATCAGAAAGTGCCATTCATTTTCACCACCTAATTCGAAAGTAAAACATAATTTAAATGTCATTTATCCAGTATAATTGAATGCTCTCTTTGACTGAGCTGGGAAATTGTAGCAATTCCTTCACCTTGAGTAAGGAGGAATTATGCTGAATATCATTTGGTAAGTTTCTGTGGTTTTTCATTAAATGCAAACTCTCTAAAACGATTTCTTTCAACTAGTTTTGAGATTTTCTAAAAACTCGTTTCTACATAGAACTAATAGTAAAATTCTAAAATATATTTTTTTAAAAGGAAAATGTTAAAAATTAAAACCCACTTTTAACATGAAAGAATAAATATTATTTTCTTCCCTAAAATGGGAATTGAACTTTACTGGCATACTTCGAATCAGATCTCAGTAATAACTCCAAAAGAGCTTTGCTCCTTTTTTTCACGATTCCTGTTCATTCGCTTAGTAAAGTGAATCAGTTCATGAACAAGTAGCTCATCACTTTTTCTGGTATGCTTTCAATAAGAGCCGTCCATGAACTGTAAAAGTGCTATCACTTCATTTTCTGAAATCACTACTCATTTTCTGTATAAAGTAAGTCAGATCTTTGAATCGATTTCGGAGCGAATTATACAACTCTGGTGTGGATATCCATCAGACACTCTTTTTATGACTGCAGCCATTCAAGTGCTGATGTATGTGCATTAAAACATAAAAAACACTATTAAGACATTTTAAGTAAGTAATCTTATAGCACAAGTGTAAAAGAACACGTTATAACAATCATGAATTTTTTATTTAAGAAAAATATTACTCAGCTTGAGTGGAACAAAGTAAGTTGAAAATTTTAGAAACATTTAAAATGATTTTTCAAAAGATACTTACCTATATGAGTTTAGTCTTCTAAAACTCAACATCAGTTTTACATTTTAGGCCATTAGCCTGCTTCCAGAACATTTCTGAAAAGACGGAATAGCTGAGAGGCCTATAGTTAAGTCTTATCTGTCTTGTTTTATACTTTTTAACTGACTTGTCCTGAGCTTTCAAGTTTCATTATGCAAAAATGTTGAATTCTTTTAACACAAACTAAAGATTCTAAGTGAGATATAATTGTTAATGTTAATGCAGCTACTGTGAGATTGGCTTTGACCTGATAATATGCACTTTTGTCCCTTTTTTTTTTTTTTTTTTTTTTTTTAATCCTAAGAAATATGCATGCTGCATAAGTCACTTTATTGACATCATAGAATACATATAGATGCCGTTTATTGGGTTTATAATTTTAGGAAGCTTTGAGTATACTACGAGGAATTTAAGTAGTTGCAACTCAAGAATTTGACTGTCCATTATTGAAACTTATTTAAAATTTGCTCTGGCACTTCTTGATTCCACTAAACTGTCATTCACATTTAGGAATCAGAGTTAATGAACCAGGAATCAGAGTTAATGAACAAGTGGTCAAATATTGATTGCTAAGGATGAAATTCTTTTCAAAGAAACTTTTATATCTTAGCCAGTATTATCTTTTTCTATGTCCTACCATATTATCATTTTCTATTTCTACCGATACAAGGCTGACACTGAAATTTTTTCTTCCTAATTTTCCGATGCTTGGCACCGATGAAATACTACAAAAACAATAAAAGTGCTAGGTGGTATGGCTTTCTAATGAAAAATAACTTTTTCTTTGATGTATTGGATTGTCATATGATGTTTTCAACTTACAAATTGTATTTATTATTTATTAATTTAGGTGACTTCTATAGATGTATTAAGTGGAAGTGGAGGAGCTTGTCGGGACACACATTATTTAAATCCGAGACTGAGATATATGTTTGGAATTGTAGCAGTAGGAACTGTAAATGGTCACATTTACTTACTTGATTTATGTTTGGATGAAGATTTCTCTTGTAATGAAGACCTGCCTAATATAACTGCTGTCGTAAGTAAAAAGGACTTCACTGCACAGAGAAGAGAGATTGCTATATCCAAGAAGCAGCATGTTTTCATGCGTCTGAATGGTTTGTTTTTCTTTATAAAGTTATGATGATAATCTGTAATGAAGATGTTTTATTGTGTAGACATTAAATCAGACCTTTAAGAAGCCATAGTATTGGACTAAAACAAAATTTATTGAAACTTCTTTGAATGAAATTATTTATATATATATATATATATATATATATATATATAATTTAAAAAAAATGCAGAAATAATCATATAATTATCAATAGTTACAATACATGCATGTCACAAATTAAATAAAACAGAACTGTTGTTAAAAATGGAACTGTTCTATCTCTCTTTTTTTTCTCTTTCTTTTTTTGTGTGGTTAAATAAGTACATGCTCTTTATTTTACTAGTTTTAATAATTTGCAATTATGCCAAAAATTTTGTAGTCTACTTTTCATTAAAATACTGTAGAACTCCAATTGTGTATACTTTTATTATTCTGAGTGATGTTCTAGACTTAAGCATATTGATTTTAAGTGCACCTTTTGTGTGGGTGAAAAGGTTATTGTAGACCAGGCATTTTCAACCAGGGGAAATTCCCCCCTTAGGTGAAATTTTTTAGTTTCAGGGGGGATGCAGCCTGTCTTTTGTTCATCAGTTAAGTATTTAGTTTTAGTTTATGAATATAAAAACTGTTATTCAGATTTTAGCATTTATCTACATTTTCTGTACTTTCTATTATTTAATTTATAAAACCAATTGAAAAATTATTTAAATTTAGATAAATATTATTTCTTTTTCGAATTTTGGAAAGGAAGGGGGTAGGAAAGGCCTAGGTAATTGTATTGCTTTTCTGTATATCAAATGCAAGAGGTAGATTTTTTTTTTTTGGTGTGTGTGTTTTATTTTAGAAAAAATTTTAAATTAAAAATAATAAAATATTTTCACCACTATTAAGCAAATTCCAAAACACTAACTTTGATAAAACTGATCAGCAAAAATATTTTTTTTAATAATATAATGAAGAAAATCTTATTGTTTTTACTGTGTCATAACTTGATTAAACAAACTGGTGCCTAAGCTAGTAGGCTTTCAACCATTTGGTATTGCTGTCTTGAATATTTCATTTTAATAAATATATGATTTTGTATTTTATAGATTGAATTTTTGAAGATAACTCTTAATGTACTAGAACAATTAATTAAATTACAATAAATTAAAGTCTTCATTAAAAACTTAACTAAACTAAAGCTGACCTAAAATTAACATTTGTTACAAAGCTGTGATACCTCAGTATGCATCTTTAATCCATTCTAGATCCTTTGATTTAACCATAATGGATGCATACTGGACAAACTTTTCCAATAAGAAATTAAGGGGAAATAATTAACCTGTTCTTATAAAAAAACCTTATTTTTATTGCAAGACTGTTTAATACTAAAATGCAAATGCAGTGGGTGAAATTTATTTATTTTGTGATGAAGGAAATATTGTACTTAAATGTTTTTCTGTTATCAAAATCAATTTCTTAACATGCTGTAATGTCTCTGATCTTTGGTTATTGATTTCATCCCTTTCACAATGTTAAATCTATTTAATAGTGTCTTTGTTTTTTACAATCATGGCTATACATTATGCAGTAACTAAGTCACGCATACGCATGTAACCTTCATATTTTTAAACAATCTCGTTTTTGATGATGATGTGATCCTAACCATTTTCTTCGTTGCTTGAATCTTCTCATTACCTTTCTTAAAACTCATTTTAACAAATTTACAAAAAAATTATGTGAGGAAATGTGAAATCATGTAAATTTTTTTTTATATATATACTGAATAGTAGCAAGTGGTGTACTGACGCTCGTGGGCAGTCCTTGCAATGTCTTGAACAAAGTAAATAAGGGTAATTCATGCAGTCAATGCCTCATCAAACATTCAAACTGATTGAATTTAGAACTAGATTTGTAGAGTCATTAGGTTATTTTTAAAGCAGGAGTGGTGAAAAATTAGCAATGCCTTTGCCGGTAATCGAACCTCGGACCTCTGGAATATGTGCCCAGCATGCAGAGCACCACATCATGAAGGTGGGAAAAAAATACCTTATATACTTCCTCTTTTAAATGGCAACAGGGGTTCTTAGGGGACCCATTCGCCAAATCCTGGGTGTGGAGAATCAACATCCACCACCTTTTTAGTTCGGGCACCACTGTAGAGATATTAGGTACATTTTGGAAGTAGGCAAGATGAAAAATATGATACGCCTTCGCTGGGAATCGAACCACGGACCTCTGGAATACGCACCCAATGTGAAGACTAATGCACCATGGAGGCATGCCAAGAAGGCAGGAGAAATACCTTATAGATTCTATAAGATATATTTTCTTCTTTCTTTCTGCATGCCTTTGTGTAATGGTAATAATAGTAGCAAACTCGGGGCATATTCAAGAGGTCCAGGTTCGAAACCAAGGGCAATTCTCATTTTTCAAGTCTCCCACATATTAAAAAAAAAAAAAAAAAAAAAAAAGCGAAGAAGAGCAACATAATGCCCCTCCTGAACGAGAAAGGTGGTGGATGATGGCCACCATGATTTTTACTATTAGGTCCCCTAATTCCCAGTTACCTTTTAGAAGGAAGAGTATATATTTTCTCCTTCCTTCCAGCATGCCTTCGTGGTGCAACACTTAGCACACTTGGCGCATATTCGAGAGGTCCAGGTTCAAGTCCCGGCGAGAGCACTGCTAATTTTTCATGACACCTGCTTCAAACTAACCTTATGTCTATACAGTTCTCTAGTTCAAGTGTTAAATTAGCATTTGAATATGAAGATCAGATTGCAATTTTGGTAAATTTTTATAATCTTTTATACTTTTGATTTTAAAAATATTTTTAGATTATTTTATAGTAAACTATTTGATTAGTCAATTCGAAGCCTTTATTATGGTAAGAAATAGTATATAATTGTTCTATTAATGTTTGTAAGCTACATATTTGTTAACTGATATGTAGTTATGCTACTCATGTGTTATGACATGTTATTGAATTAAATGAGATGGATGTGTGCAACATGCACTGCAATCTAATAAACATATCATGTAACTGTCTATATTAATTTAATGCTTTCTTAAAAATATGGACTATATTGTTTCAACTTCTTGAATTGCTTATAAATAAATAAATAAAAATGTGAGTTAATTAGTAACAGGCTTAATTTAAATTTTAAATGGCCTCAGAAGAATTGATTTAAATAATTTGAGCTCAGGATTATTAAGTCTAGATAACTAGAGCTGTACTGTATAATTTATTTCATGTCTTTTTCATCATTACATTGCCAATTGTTTGGGTTTAAATTAGAATTTTAATTTATCATTTATGTGTGCAATGCCTGCTGCGAGCATTGGCGATGCAAGGAACTAATTTTTGGAGGGCATAAATCAAGTTGTTCTTGCAAGCAGCAATTAAGTAAAGGCATATTTCGGTTATTAATGCATTAAATTTAAGCTGAACATTAAATGCACCAGTTGTCTAGAGTGCTGAAAATGCTGGAACTGCATTAAATGTGTACAGTCATAGAAATGATACCTGAATTATGTTTTTTTCTTCTCAGATTCCTAGATATGTTTAGACATATGATGTTAATTATGATAATTTAGTGTCTTAAAAATTATGTTTTTTTAGTATGTCTGATTATTTGTGGGTTTAAAGCTAATAGAAATTTTTGTACATATATTTTTATTATATATGCAAATAATATGAGCCACTCATAAAAAAATTATTGCATAAACATTATTAAGTAAAATAAAGAGTTAAAAATGTTTCCTGAAAATTTCCTGAAAATTGTATTTCTTGTTGTAATATTGCTTGTGAACTCTTTTAACAGTTAGTGATTTTTAATTATTGCAATCCATGATAATATTATAATTATGTATCATATAACCAAAATGCAGTTGTTATTGTAAAAATAACGAAAACTCTTTTAGCCATTTGTGGTAAACAAATTGATAATAATGGCAGTGTACAATGATGACAAAATAGTCAACAAGAAACTTTTTAAAAAATTATTAGGAATGAAAAGTAGTTTTCTGAAATTTCTTTTCTTTCTGAATTAAAAGATGTTATTCATTCTTTCTGTGTTACATACCATTGTGCTATATTTATGTTATTTTCAACGATAGAGATAATTTTTCATTTAGTGGGACAATTTTTTAGCATTTAAAAAAGTTTTATATGTTGGAATGCAGTAATTTGTTGTTTTCCTAAATTTGCTTAGTTATATGTTACAATTAAATTAATTCTAATGTATATTTTAGCATTATTGGTTTTATTTGAATCATTTTCTTATAGATAAAAGTATTCAGGATGGTTGTTTTCAACTACAGAGTCGAAGCAATACATTGGGACGATTTCCTTGTGGTATATTTTAATTTATTCTTTATGTATATTTAAAAAAAAACTTTGTTTTAAAATGTATAAAAATGTTTATATAATTTTAAAATTAAATTTGGCAACATCTGATTACATTGATGTGTCTAATAGATGCCGTAAGTCATTATTCGAATTGTACATCTGCTGTTGGTCACATGGTGCAAGACTCATCCTCATAAACTTTCATTTCCTGCTATTGGTCATGAGATCACGTGGATATTCAGTTGGAGACTTTATGCAAGCAATGTAGCATCATATTCATTTCTTTTACATATATTTTTTCTTAGTGTCTCAGTTCCTAAAATAAATTAGCATTCATCATAGCAATTTTGAGGCTAAGTCACACATCACGTGATCAAGAGCGCATGTTCTGTTCAAATAATGAATTGCAGCATATGTTACAGGATTATTTATGAAGCTTAAAAAAATTAAGAATCTGAATGTTTTTCATTTATAGCCTGTGTGCCTTGGGAAGGAATTTTATGTGAAATTTATGATGATACTAGCTGCCTAAAATAATTATTATAAAAAAGAAAAAATAGAAGGAAAAAAAGGGGGTATAAAATTAAAACACGGGGGGAAAATATAAAATAAAAAAAAAAAAACTGAAAGCTTTAGTTTTTACACTACACCCAAAGGGACACTTTTTTTTTAACATTTTGTGTGTTACCTGTATATATTAAATATCATGTTCTTTGCGCTTAAACCATAAAATTCAGTTCAACAGCAATGTCGCAAAATAATTTTAAAATGAGCATATCTTTAGAATTTCCAATTCACAGTCTCGCGCACTGGAGATGAAAGTGATTTTTTCCTTACAGTGTTCCCATTGCTTGCTTTGCAATCAGTGAGTTTGTTAATAAAAAATTTGTTAAAGTGTTACAAAATATGAAATCGATAATAAACTAAATTCCAGATTTGGGCTTCCAGATGTCTATATTCGGGTGGAAATGTACGTGATTCAAAATTTGATGGCTCTAGGTATCGGTGTTTTATCACAATGTAAGAAACAAACATACATTTATGCAGATTCCTAATTATTTAATTTCTGTAGATATAATACAGGGTGATAATATTTGGTGGCAACAGTTTGCAAAGTTAATCAATGCAAAATGCCAAAACGAAATTAATGGCCCTTTTGGGCTAATAATTGTTTTAAAGAGTATAGTTAATCTCATTTTATAAGCTAATAATTAATTATGAGAGATGAAGAATTGCATTTATTGCTTTTAAATGCTTAGTTTGTAAATCAACTAGACAATTTAAATTTGGAAAAAAAATTAAATATCTTGGGCTTTGATGAATGACAACATACTGGTGTGGGGAAGATAAAAATACCTTTTTTTCGGGTAGTGGCAACACATTTCCTTTAAATTGCTGAATTTTTGGCTTAAATTTGAAACATAAATATCTTGTACTTTATGGAATGGCAACACGCTGCTTTTAAATTGCCGAGTTGTTAATGAAACAACAATAACAACATTAATTCACACAAAATATGAAAGAAATAAAAACAGCTCAAAATCTAAAACTCAAAATAAAAAACAATTCGAAATTCGGGCTTCGAAGTGCACATACATGTTTGGGTGAAGGAGTAGGTTTGCTCAAAAATTGGTGACCTTAGGTGCCACTTTTCCACAATGCAAGGATTATAATAGATTCTTCATAATTTAATTATAGGTATAGTATGATTTAAACCACAAGAAAAACAATTGCATAAATTATTTCCATATATTGTATGCTGTTAATTTCAACAAGATTCATAGTATTGTATATGTAATAGTGTGGGTCTTCAAGCATGGTTTTCTTTAACTTTCGCAGTGTGATTTCTCCATGCTGATATCTTATTTCCTGCTATTGCAATTCTTTGAATAGCTTGGTGTTTGATGACATTATGTTATCATTAAGTGTATGAGATTCACGAAATTCATTAAAGTAGTTACACATCCAAAAATGACTTTATAAATCATTTGTGATATTAGTAGCCACCCCATGCCACACCTGCTCACCAAATCTTTGAAGCCGCTGTAATGCTCACTTGTTTCCTTCATTTTTATAACATGTAATTAATGCTATGTTTACATTTTTGGCTTAAATACCAATAAATAATACTAACATAAAAGTCCTAATTTCTAAATATCATACATCATTCAATACTGACAGACTATTTTGGAAATTTATGGTTTAAGTAGTAGCCAACAATTAAAGGGCATAACTGTAATGTGCATTTAATTCTTCTGTACTCACAAGCATGCATAAAAAATATTTACAAATTCTAAATTTTTTCAATGGTTATTGTAATGAAAATAATGCAATGTTACTTCAGCAGAAATGTTGGATGTTCCTGCAATTTAACATAGTAAAATAAAATATTATAAGTTTTCTGATTTCTTTGTGCTATTTAGCATAATAGCCTAAAATAAATGCAAAATCATTGGATTTTATGGAAGCTAAATAATATTAATTATTTTACTGTGATTGCATTTCCTTTCATTTATATCAGTGAAAGTTTATTGGAAATTTTTTAACCAAATGTCTTAATTAAGATACAACAACATGCCGAACAAATATTAATTTAGAAGTCAAACAACAAAAATCAGCAGTATATTTAAAAATTTTCACAGGACTAGTTTGGAAGGTTTTACGGAACCATCATCCTCAGCTGCAAAAGCGCAAATCAAGTGCACTTTTGCAGCTGAAGATGATAATTTTAACACTGTCTTAGTTTACATGTCAATTACGTCTAACTTAAGTGCTCAACCCATTGCTGAACACTATGCCTCAATGATTGTAAGAGGATAAATGGATGCTTCAATGATTGTAAAGGTTTAGTCAAGCCCTATGTTTTATTCCCTCACTAACACAATATAAATAAAGTTAAAATATATTATTGCTGTTTACTTAAAAAGCATAAAAATAAATTTGTGCTGTGAAAGCTTTGCTGCTAATTGTTTAGGCTGCCGAAAGTGTTAAAAAAGACTGAAATGGCTGAAAAGAAATTTAAGGACTTCTCTAGATAAAAGCAAGAGACCCAGAAAACTCCCCAAAATGAAGGGAACTTTTAAACTAAATACTGTGATGTTTTAACCCATTAACCTTCAAAACTACAATGAATGATTCTTTTCTCATGAAAATAATAACAACTATTAAATTAAGCATTTATAACATACATTTACAACATACATTTACATTAAAAAAATGCTCTTACCTGTGGAAAAAGTGAATGTTGCATTCGCGCAACGTCAGTGGAAGAAGACCACTTGTGCGATGTTTCCTTTGAGTGGAGCACTGGATTACTTTTTAGCTGTATAACGTTTTATAAATCTGCAAAGCACTTTACTTGTAATTAATTTAATATTAAAATATACATTACATTTCTTTTAAAAATACAGATTATTTCAATTGAAAGATTCAGGCATGAAAAGCTTCAGTACAATCATGATGTAAAGCTACATTACATACTTTGCATCTGTAAACAGTTTGGCTATGGCACTTTTTACAGCGGAGTCTTGTTATCACCGGACTTTACGATAAAATGTCTACCATCCCCCATGCAATGGTTTTTGAATGCTGAATTTTCTAGGTCTTCCTGTTGCTGATCTATTTTTGGCTAATTCTATACTCTCAATAGGAGTTTGCAAAAGGAATAATAACATCTCGTGTCTGAAATCTAAAAGAGACTTTTTATTTCCAGTAGTAGAAAGTCGGGATATGTAGTAAGTTTAGATATGGTCTCATCTTATATGATTTATCAGTATTGTTAATTTGACTATTGTCAGCTAAATGCAAATTCTGCTTCATATTCCTGAACTGCAAACGTTATATTGATTCGCGTACAATAGGAACAGAAATGTCTTTATCAAGAGACCAATACATTTCTTCTTGAGGTAAAGAATGATATCACATAAGCAAGAATATTCCAATAATTTTTCTCATATAGACTTCAAATGCAATAAATTCTGGGCGATGATTTTTTTTTTTTTTTTTTTTTTTGCTGAGTGTATATATGTATTCGTCTGTTCAACGAGAAGAGAGTAAATGTCTAAACCAAAAAGAAAATCGAAAATCTCTCCACTACTTTTACCTATTATTTTGTCTTTTATAGTTTCTATTCTATCTCTTTCTTCATTTTCTTCCTGAGATGTAACTGATGGTTCCTTTTTTTATCCAGTTCAAGTTTTCAGTTTTCTGCTTTTTAAACTTTTTCGTATGACTACCACTGCTTTTAAAAGGCTGAAACTTATTTCTTACCTGAATTTCAACTTCCCCAGCAGTATTCATTTGGTAAATATCATTATCATTATTTAAAACATTGTCATTCCCTTCTTCTTCATCACTAGCTTTTGCAATTTCTGGGGGAACAATAAGAATATCAGCTTCATTCTGGTCATTAATAACATTATCATCATCTGTTTCTTCATCAAAAAATCTTTGAAGGGCTTCTTCTAATGTAAGATATATCGTTATAGGCATTTTTAAAGCAGCCATAACATGAACAAGAATATCGAAAGGAATGAGTAAAAAAGGAGATTACCCGTTTTCTGCTGATGTTGCGTCAGCGAAACAAATGTTTTCCCTTCCTTCCCAACGCAAATATAAACGTCTAATTGATGTAATGTTCTGATAAACAGTGACCTTGACTAAAAATATATCACTCATAAAGACAGCGATTCTTGCCTTAAATATTTTCAGCAAAAATACCCATTGAAAAATTTTCCTTAAATTTTGCTTAAAGTATGAGATTAATTAATGATTGTTGAAGGCAAATATTTTTTTACAAAAATAATCTTCATAATATTCCCTACACAAAATCATCTGCTGGTATGAAATGTCTTAGGTAGTTATATTTATATACGCATTTATTTGGACCTTTGCATCAACTCAACACAATTGGCTTAATGGGTTAATGAGGCCTCATTAAAAAAATTTGGATGGTGAATTCTGAATGTTGTAAATGATGGCTTTAATTTTATTTTGTATTTTGTGCTTACTTTGTTTACTTTTACTCAAGTTATTATATATTTATTTATTATTTATTTATGTTTTGCTACATTTCAGATGATGTATTTGTAACTGCATTACAGTACATTCACAGCTTGGCAACTTTAGCGGTTGGTTTCAGTTTTGGAGGTATTCAATTGTGGAATCTTCAAGATTTGTCTCTGCAGTGAGTAATTTTGAGGAAATAGTATTCTAAAGCACAGAATTATTTCTTCACTGAAATATCAGTGTCTTGTATTGAAATTAAAATGTGTTTTATTACCGTATTTGACGGCATATAAGACGCACCCTTATTTAGACGGCCACACACAAGGAAAAAAAGTTTCAATAGCGTGGTTTCTTTTAGTCTCACGTTTCGTAAAAGCCAAATAAACAGTTATTGAATGCAATTACCTTCACGTATAAGACTGTGTCCTTCACGTATAAGACGCAGGTAACTTTTTTGAGACCAAATTTAGGAAAAAAAGTGCGTCTTATATGCTGTCAAATATGATAATTCTTTTTTATCTGAATGTTAAGTTGTCAGTGGGAATTCTTTAATAATAATGTAGTACGGCTCTAAATATCTGGTCGAACCAGTATCGAAATGCATCTTAATAGTCAAGAAAGCTGGATAGTTGATTGTGTTTTTTTTTCGGTAAGCCAAAGATGTATTGTAATTGGGATGAGATAATTTTGTGTTGACTAATAATTTTGAGTTGACTAAAATTTTCCAGCGTAAAAAATAGTTTGTTTCTGTGAAAAAAAATACAGAATTCAAGTTTGTCAGTGAAATTATGTTTTATGTTTATAAATATACAATCCCATTTTCTTTCAAGTACATTAAAGCAATGGAAATACTTTTTATTTGTGCAGATCTTAAAACTAAGAATATAATCTAGGTTTTACTATGTTTCACCAGAAATAAGACTCAGTCTTACATTAATTTTTGCAGCAAAAGACATGCTGAAGTTTATTTTCTGAGGGTGTCTTATTTTTTATGTACAATAATTGACATTTTAGGGTTGCCACGCTACCTGGAAAACTGAGAAAACCGGAAAAAGTCAGGAAATTTAAATATTTTAGTCAAAATCTGGAAAAGTCAGGGAATGTCATACAGCAATCCCCCGAAAAGCAAGTTTTGCACCAATATTGGAAACGATGGCTTTGTTGGCAAATTATGTATCAGACGAGCATCATTTGGGCAGCTGGCGTAGAGCCAATTTTCACAGCTCCAATCAGATTGTCTTTTAGAAAGGCAAAGCAAGTTTGGTTTCCAGTAACCTCGAGAATCCGAAGACTCGCATGTGCAGGTTATGTTGAACTAAAGAAAATACTTTCCCATTTTCGCATACAACAAAATCGGTTTAAGCATAATATACAGTATGATGGAGGCTAGAATAGCCCCGATGTACTCTGTTCAAATGTAAGAATGTCTATGTAAAGAAAGAAAGGTTCTATAGACATAATGTAAATCAGTTTGCTAGAGTGCCGCTAGAAAGCGGAGGAAAAAACTCGCTTAGGGATTTGGCGACGGAACTAACGGCGAGAATTTCCCCCTGGGCGACAAGAAATTGTGAAGCATGTGTTAAGAAGAAACGTTCTTTGACTTTAGCGATGATTTATACTTGGATTTTCGTACTTTTTTTGCTCAAAGTAGCTATTAATTACTCGTGCAAAAAATATTTTCTTTTCCTTTAAAGTTTAAGGAAATTTAAAACGATATTCGTTTTATATACTCTTGATAAACTTGACCTTCGAACTTCGCGAGCTTCGGTGGCAGATATTTCACGCATTTGCAGCTGTTTCCCTCTAATTTGGGAGAGCTATTCCTGTTGCAGAGAAGTTTTTTTTATCTTAACAATACATATTTTTTTATTCTAACTTCCATGTACGGTACACATGGGATTTGGCGACATTATGAAACTAACACCATGGGATTTGGCGACATTATGAAACACAGATATTTCACGCATATGCAGCTGTTTCCCTCTAATTTGCGCCGGAGCCATTCCTGTTGCAGAGAAGTTTTTTTATCTTAACAATACATATTTTTTTATTCTAACTTCCATGTACGGTACACATGGGATTTGGAGACATTATGATGAGCAGTAACAACAGTTATCTCTTTCTGCCTCTTAGTCTTTGTTCAAGAAGGTGTTGGCTAGTAAACTGGTCATTTTGGTGTTGGCGGCAGTTTTCAAAATTGTACAAAGGCCGTAGCGAAGACTAGGCTTTTATCGCAAAATCTTTTAAACTTTTTTTCCCTTCATTTTAATAAACGCCTTATTTTTCATTTTGCAGTAAAATAAAGTGTAGTAATCAGTCATTTAGGCTAACGTTTAATATTTGCCAAAATGGCATTGATTATTGCAATTCAATTTTTAAGTAATTAACTTCATTTTAATGTTATGTATATCATTAAATGTTCTTCTTTCCTCTAAATTTATTTATTATTAGTTAATAATACTTTCAAATTTCAAGCAAATTTCTCTGGCATAATTCTGAAACTAAATGTAGCAGCATAATGACATACTATCACGAAATTTAATGCACATATTTTTGTTTATGTATGCTGCTAAATAAATATAAAATACCTGCATTTATTTTAAAATATAATTAAATCGATTTCTTTCTTTCGTTTAGCTGCAAAACGTCTGCAAAAAAATCATTTTTTAATCCAGATTGGGCAGATTTTAATCTCAATCTTCAGTGGAGAAAATAACTCCTATTATAGCTATAATAGTAATGCTTTCAGGATTATATATATAATAAGTCATATGCAATTGGCAAATTTTTGTGTTTTCAAGTGGTACCATAATTAATTTACCTCTCAGCGCAGCCAACGCCCACTATGCGGATACTGGAATTTTCTCAAAACACACCTGGAAAACTTGGAAAAGTCAGGGAATTTCATTCTCCTCTTTAAGTGGCAACCCTGACATTCGTTCATGTTCGAGAAACACATTCCTTCAGGTTCAAGAAACACATTCCTTCAGGTTCAAGAAATACATTTATTCAGGTTCCAAGAAATAATTTATTCACATTTAAGAAATACATTTATTCAGGTTTAAGAAATACATTTATTCACATTCAAGAAACATTTAAAAAGTGAAGAAAATCATTTATTCTAATACAGCCAGTCGTCTCCTTCAACATCATCATAAAGCTCCGAATCACGAATTCTGGCCTGAATTTTTTGCAACTTTGTTTTCTCCATGACCATTGGCCTGTGCCTCAGAGCCTTCCTCAAGTGGGCTCTTCTTGTCTATTGAGCCTAATCCTAGGGCATTTTCTAAGTAATTACTTCTTGTAGCTTAGGCTTCACTTATTTCTCTCCATTCTATTTTCAATGTAGTCATTGATTTTCATGTGCAAATAGTCCTTAAATGGCTTGCTTATTGCAAGATCAAGAGTTTGGAGATATGGAGTCATTCCTGCGAGAAACATTATTTGATCAGTTCTTTCTGCAAAGAAGTTCTCTATGGTTTTGCGTGATGAATACTGACAGAATCCCACACTAGCATACCTCTTTGGCCACCTCGTAAAATAAGTGGTAGAAATAAATTGACCCACTTTCTTATAGCTTCTTGTGTACACCAAGTGCTTTACGTCTCAAGAACATGAATACCTGAAACATACTTGATTTTCTCTTTCTTACCCTTAGAGGTGATTAGAGGGAGGTTCTTTCCATGAAGATGAATTTTAATCAATTCAGTGTCTTCCAGTTTGAAGAGCATTATTGATCTTCTTAGAGACAGTTCATATTGCGCAGGAATCCATCCACTCTGTGTTGTGATGCTTTGAATTCGTCTTGTGATATGTCTAGCTGGGGTGCCATTACAATGGAAAATGCTTGAATATCAGCCCTGTGAACAACTAAACACTTTGCTCTTGTATCAGCAATCCATTCACAGATGATATGTTTCAGTTCATCAAATACTGGACGTTGATTATGCTTCTTGATATTTCCCGCATCAGCTTGTTAACTGAGGTTATTATACTCTGATTGCCAGTTTCAGACAATTCATAGATCCAACTTCTCTTTGCAGAGAGCTGCCAGATTTTTATCGAATACTGAATATTCTAATTTGTCTCAACCATATTCATTTTTTTCAGTTGTGCATGTGTGATGCGTCTACACTTCGTTATTCGGTAGTGAGGTGCCTGTCTGGTTTATGATTTTATTTTAGCTTATTTTAGGGGTAGGGCGTATATTAGGAGTACTCTGAAAAATCAATTCTAGGGCTTATTTTTTTTTTGTTAGGTCTTATTTTCAAGGAAACACAGTATTAATATCTCAGAGAAAGTATAATTTTTTAATCACAGGATTTTTATATCTGAACAGAATGGAAGTTGTTGCCATTTCATTTATGAGGATTATTTGTTTCAATCCTCATGTGCATCTGATAGATACAATGAACAAGTTGTACCATTGTATATTACTTTTTTAAGCAAGTGCCAAATTTTCTACATGGTTTTAATTTTTTATGATATAATTAAAAAAAAATTTCTACTGTTTGCTATTTTAATCAACTCATGTTTAATGTATGATTTTTTTATTGTGGGACTTTTCTCTAAATCATTTGCTTATTTTTAACTATTCACTTAAGCTTTTCAAATGCTACAATGGTCTAAAGTTTTTCGAATTACATTTTTTTAGCAAATTCACCAAAATATGTATTTTTTAAGTGTTCACTGACTTTTATGTTACTTTGTCCTGTTAAAAAGTATATATTATTTTTAAATTACAATATAATGGTGTTTGATGTAGAATTATGTAAACTAACACCAATACGTCCATTATTTTTTATTACAATCCGCATATATTGATATGAAGCAGTAAAAATAATGGTATTTAGCATTAATTACCATGCAGCCTTGCATCTAACATCACCATTACATTTTTTGGCAACCTTTTTATGATTTGTCTTGTTTAAGGACCTACTTTATATTCTAGGTTTACTATATCAACTTCTCCTCATGAACAACCTGTAATTTCATTTGCATTTCAAGAACCTGAGAATGATCCACGGAATTTCTGCTATTTATGGGTAATTAGTGGGCCTCTACCAGAAGAAACTAAGTACGGAATTTTATTTTATGCAATTTTTGTTAACCTTTCCTTTATTTTTGAGTTATAATTTTGTGATTAAAATGAAGAATGGATAAGGCATAATTAAAGGAAAATTAAAACTCTTTCAGTACTTATAAAGCTATTAAGTTTTTCAGAGCAGGAAAAATCAGTTATGCTCTCACTGGGATTTGGGCTTCTAATTTTCCAGTTGCTTGCCGGACGTGCTACCAGTAACACCATTTGAACATTAAGTGGGGAAGGTAAAATTTCAATATATTCTTACCTAATTAAAGGGTGACTGGAGAGAGGAACAAGTCCTAGTCAACCAAATCCATGTATAAATTATCATTCACTACCTTTAATCAGTCGTAGTTATAGAGCTATTTATAATTGTTGAAGCAAAAACGTGAGAAAATCATATGTCGTCAGTAGGATTCAAACTCCAGATCTTCAAATTGCTAGACACATGTGCTACTAGTTATACACTGAGAGCATGTGTGGGGAAAGGTGAAAATAATTTATATACTAACCTTTTGTTAAGGTGTGAAATCAAAGTATTTTGAACTTGTTCTGAGCTTCTTCCCCTTTTCCATTAGCTCAACAAAGAAATTTTAAGCTTTTAAATGGCTTTGTTTCTGAGTGGTTTAGAGGGTTTCTGTGTGATCTCTACAATAAATAAAGTTCAAAGTGAAGGATTATTGTTAAGTTTTTAGTGAGGGAATCCTCAAGATTTGGCACTTTTGAGTTCACTTTTCAGACAGTATAGGAAACATATGTCAGTCACTTATGAGGTGGGAAATGCTGACGTATCGTTTCATTATGGCCAAGATTTAGCCACCATTGTTTCCCAATGGCAGTCATGCTGGTCCAGAAACTGAATATGCTCCAAACCAAAATAAAGAATAAAATAGCTGCCAGAAGGCAAGGAAAGATGCATAACAGTACTGAGCAAAGGAGATTATTTTTTTAAATAAAGATCTTTATTTTGTGTATAGTGAATTCACTTTTTAAATCAATGCGTTCATCTGCATCATATCTGAATGTTCTGTTATTTTTGTTTCATCTAATCTACTAGTAATGCAAAAGAAATTTAAAAGTTTCAAATTTTAACTTTGGCTTAATCATGTGATTAAGCACTTGAACATTCTATTTATCACTGTTCAGTAAATGATGTTTTCCCTCATTATTAACACCAACTGAAAAAGATGCCAAAAGTTCTAGATGATATAACTATTTTTTATATATCCTCCTAAATGATGTGCAAGTGTTGTTGCTGATGTTTTTATATCCTGATAAATGTTGTTACTGATATTTTACTTACTAATGTTTATATGCAGGTAAAAAATGCAAATTATAAAGGTATGTTTTTTCATCGTAATTTACCTTTATGTATTTAAAAAAAAAAAAAAAAATGTGAGTTACATTTATTTGATGTAACTTTATCAATATGTGGCCACATTGGCAATCTAGGAAATGAAAGGCGTTATTGGTTGACCAAACAAGATATAAACCTTCAAATTAACACCACAGTGACACTCTAAGTTATTCTTAAAGGAATAAATTTGGAGTAAAGTGATTCTCAAGTAGAATGTATTATACAGAAATTCTTCTACTGCCTCTCTGCCTAAATTATTTTTTCCTTCCATTCTCCATTCTCCAGACTCAAATGAAAATGTGTTTTACAAATAATTAAAATTACTAGATTTTTAAATGGTAAGGGTGATTTGAATTAGTATTTGAAAGGATTTGGGCTGTCTCATATGGATTTGTGTTCCTGTAGCTTCGAAGAAGTGCAAAATGTCAAAAATTTGTTGTTTTATTGTCCAAAGCTTATGGAAGGAAGAAAAGACTTCCTTTTCTAGTTAAATTCTGTAAACATTATGTTTCCTCTCCTTCTCCATTTGTTTGTCCAAGATAAAATGACAATATCTTCTTCCTTCATATTTATTTCACATGCTTCATCTGTGACTTTATTGTAGTTTGTGTTTAGTTTTTTGTTACTTATCACTGTAAGCCTTGTGTGGCAAAGGAGTTTAAATATTCATAATAAGTAAATAAAATAGGGTTATTTACAGCTTATAGCAAATAATTTTAAGGTTAATTTAGTTTTAAAATTGAATGTTTAATAAATAATAAAGTGTATTTTGAGAAATTTCTAATGTCGTAAGACTTTGTAAAATGCAGTGGTAGTAACTGCAAGTGAAATCTTTTGCAGACCTAAAGAAGTAACTGTTGCATCTTTATATTCTTTTACTTACAACAAGAGAAAATATGATGATGAGTTTGGGATGTTTTATACAGTAAGTTGTTTTCCACTTTCATATGCAGTAACTTCATTTACTTGAAATCTGGATATCTAGAATTTAAGTTATCTGGATTTCCTTTTTTTTTTTTTTTTCCTTTTTAGAAGAGTGTATAAAGCATATTGTTAATTTCAATTTCATTTTTTAATTATTTAAAATAATGTAATAAAGTAATATAGTATAGAACAGTTAGCTCTTGATTATCCTGAAGCAGAATAACTCAGTTTTTTGTATTACATTAATTCCTATTGAAATTAAGAAGTAATGAAAAAAACAAAACAGTGTTTGTGCCTTGAAATGATGAAGAATAATAAAGTAATATAGTATTGTACTATAATTAAAGTAATATAATAAGTAAAGTAATATTGTATAATGAATAATTAAGTAATATAGTATTGCATAGTTAGCTTTTAATTATCCCAAAGCAGAGTAACTGTCAGTTTTTTGTATCACCTTTCACTGCTGTTGAAATTCAAAAGTAATGAAAAAACAAACAGTGTCTGTACTATGAACAGGGTTGCCATGCTACCTGGAAAACTGGGAAAACCGGAAAAAGTCAGGGAATTCGAAAGTTGACCAAAAAGTTCAGGAAAAAGTCAGGGAATTTAAATATTTTAGTCAAAATCTGGAAAAGTCGGAATTTCATACAGTGATCCCACCAAAAGCGAGTTTTGTGCCGGTGTCGGAAGTGATCACTTTCTTGCCAAATTGTGTATCGCGGGGCTTACACTTCACGCACGCGTAATACACATTTTTTTCAGCACGGCAACCTTCGTCGATTGGTGACGAATGTAGACTTCAAGCACGCATTATCAATTGCTGCAAATTGTGTGTTCTTTTTTCCATATACAAAAAATAAATGTTTAGAAGTATTCATAGTCCAAAAAATTAAATATTCAGTACTGTTTGCATTAAGAATTACTGATTTGTTATTCAGATATACCCAGAAATGCGGAATTTATTTACTCGGGACTTAAAAGCTTATGTGGAAACAGACGTTCTTTCTTCAAACTAGACGTTCTTTGTTGACGTGTTAATGTTAATACTGTAGGTTACTGTAATGCATAATAATCAATTTACTTAACCTTATTTCATATTTATTTCCTAATGTATTTTTGTTTGATATTCCATCCTATATTTGCTGTTATAAAATTTCTTTTTATGTTTTATTTGAATTCATATTTTCCACAAAGGCATCTCTCATCCAAATAACTGTCAGCAGTTATTTGCCGTAATCATTGTCAACAGTGCTTTGCCATAATCAATTAATTTAAACTCGTTTTATAATTTTTTTTTTCTGATGAAGTTCTTATATCTATTTATATACACTCACTTCCAAAAGTTAAGCATGGAGAGGAAAATGATAATTTCCGGAAGCCAATCAGAATTGAAGAGGATGCAATTCGCAGCAGAGGTAGATGGAAGTATGCAAATATGTTAGGTAACAGCCAATCACGCTTTGATGTCAAGAAATATGCAAAAAAGGCAGTCTTATAAGAAGCCAGCTTTATGAAGGGTTACTAAAGTTGATTGTAAGTGCTTATAAAAGGTGTTTAAAACTTTCGTACAATTTGTTTTCAAGACATGCGTGTTTCTATGACTTCCAAAAGATGAATGGAAGATTCTAAACGCCGGATTGCTGTGGGGCGCATTGAAGCAGGACAGTCGATTACAGATGTTGCTCTTTTCTTCGACATTCATCATTCTGTAATTTCACGTTTATGGAAACAATTCCAAACCACACAGGCAGTTGTCTGAAGACCCGTAGCCGGTCGCCCAAGGGTTACAACCACCGCGAAAGATCGATATATTGCTATTCTAGCCAAGCGGAATCTCAGACCGGCCTCCACACATGTGACATCTATGGTTACAGCGTCCATTGATAAGGCGATATCTGCAGCTACTGTACGCCGAAGATTACATATGAGTAGACTGTACGCCCGGGTACCTCGAATTTTTGTGAGCTTTGAGTTTGTATTCCTCTTATCCGTCCAATCAAGAGGTGCACGATTACAGTGGTGCCGGGAACATGTCGATTGGAATGTGTCTGACTGAGGCAATGTCATGTTTACTGATGAGTCAAGATTTGCTCTGGAGCCAGAGGACAAGCATATAAGGATATGGCGTGAACAACGAACACACAATCAGTCCCAAAACATCACCGAACATCACACATTCCGACGCAGAAGCATTATGGTGTGGGCAGGCATTTCATTAGGATACCGCACCGACCTGCACATCTTTAAACGGGGTTCTTTGACGACTGTCCGGTATCGAGATAAAGTCCTCGAACCCATTATGAGATTGTACGCTGCAGCAGTTGGCCCTACTTTTGTTTTAATGGACGATAAGGCACGTCCCCATACAGCTCACATCGTCGATGACTACCTGGAGAGTGAAGGGATTGCGCGTATGGCGTGGCCAGCGTATTCGCCCGTAAATTTGTAAAATTAACAGTCAACAGCTAAATTTAAAGATCAGATGTGCTGGAGTGATGAGAATACTGAAATAACTTTTTAACAACTTATGGTTTCAGAATATCACATTATTTGTTAAGTCTCATTTAATGTTTTTGGGGCTCCTAGTCATTTTTTTACTTTCCTGTCTTTTACTGGAAAATTTCTGATTCTTCATCTTATCTTCTGGCCTTGCAGTAAATTTGCAAATCTCTAATCTGTCTGAATGTAGACTTATTTCTTTCAAATGCACTTTTTGAAGAATTACTGATTGCTCAAGTACCGAAGGAAAAGGAAATATTGTGAAAAAATTTTTCGCAATATTATTATTATTATTTTTTTAAGAGATATAATATTTGTCATATTGCATCTTTTAATGAAACTTAAAAGTAGGTAAGTTCCATTTTTTACAAGTGAATTTTTCTAATTTTATTCCACCTGCAATGTTCTTAATTTATTGTAGACCATTTTCTGAAGATTTAACTAACATTTAGTAGGTAAATGTTAGTATTTAATTTTACTTTAAATTTTTAAATGTTACAATGTAAAATTTATTACGTAACATTATTATTTATGCATTTTAATATTTTACTTTATTTTTACTGTGTTTAGAAGCACTTTGTTAAATGAAAGCTATATGCTGATGGATACCCAAACAGGAAAGCTTTTCATTCTTGTTTGGGTTTTTTATAAAAATTTCTAATGAAATTAGTCAAAAAAGATAAAATTCAAATTTAGATTAATGAATTAAATATTTAGCTAATACATTTATTATTATAATTAGTTTAATGGTTTGAGTGGTATAATTAGTTTAATAAACTGATTATAATTAATTTTGATATACATAACCTGATTATGATTTGTTTAAATAATTTTATAATTAATTTAATGATCTGAATAATAATTAAGAAGTGAAATTAAGACAATTGACCAATTTGGAGTCCTTTTGAAGCTACGTTGAAGCACCACAGAATCTCACAGTACGTGCGAAAACCCAAACTTCACTGTTTCTCATATTTAAAGGTTGGTAGCTGTTTAAAATTAAGATTATTGTTAAACAAAACAAGATTCTCCCAAAAATAAAGTAAGTTTATTTAAAAAAAAAGTAAGTTTTTTTATGTTCTTGTTGAGCTCTCAGTTTCTCTGCTGTTGGACTCACTCCTGTTAACGCAACTATTTGTGTATTTTTAACTTTGTTATTATACATCAATTTCTTCATACTTTCATCACATAAAATTTGACAGCAAAATTTTTGGTGAAAAATTCCAGTACACAAAATAAGATAAGAGTAATTTGTGTAATGAATTTTCTAGCAAGAGTGCATAACTTTCTCCCTCTTCATAGGATCTCCAAAGCTGTAACAAGAGATTTGAATACCCTTTGACAAATGATCCCTTCAAGCCCTTGCATTCCAACTCATCTATAGGAACTCGTCTCATATCATGTCAAGCGGTGCATCTGACTGATTCTTCGCAGGCTACGGATATGAAATCAGGAAATGCAAGTAAGTTTCTGATGCCTTTTTCTGTACTGTAGTACTGCATAATTACTTTGAATATTTTTGGAGGCATGCTTATGATGGAAAAATAAGCATGCCTCCAAAAATAGCATGAATGGAATGTATTTCTTCTAAATTAGTTAATAAGTTCTATCCCTTGTAAGAAATTTAATCAGAGTCTGTTTATTGATTTTTTTTTTTTTTTTTTGGCATATTGTTAAATGTTCTTTAAACTACGGTGATGTTAAAAACAAAATTTGTGAATGTTTATATATATTTTAAAATTTTATGTTTAAGCCTCTGACTGATCGTCCTCTGATTTTCACGAACAACATGAAAATAACAAAATTAGCTAAATTGCAGAATTAAAACAACAAGTATAGTTTTGTGTTAATTTTTTATTAGCATTTTTTCTATTAATATTTTGTTTAAATATTCTAAATGTCTTTAATATGTTTAGATTAGAAGTTTTCCATCAAAAGTCTGTAGACTTCTTTAATTTTTTTTTTTTTTTTTTTTACCTTTCAGAATGTAGCAACTCTTGTAATATTACAGAAGTGACTTTTCGGCAATTATATATTATTTAATAGGATAGAATAACTGTTCTCCTACTGTCATTTTGTGAACAATTACTTCCGTTCCAGAAGTTATTTATACAGTCAAAAGTCATTAATCCGGACTCGTCAGGACTTCGGCGATTCCGGATTATCGATTTTTCCGGATTATAGATCATCAGTTTAAATCTGGTAAGATGGCATGCAGAAATTACAAAATTAAAAATATGAAACCGTAATTTATGAAATAAAGAACAATTATGATCCAAAGGGTATCAAAATTTACAAAAAGAAAAAGCTTAATATTTATTTGTTTACTTTATTAAACATTTCTTTCAATGTAAGTTGCTTCGTTTCATGTGATAATACTTTCTCTTTAATTCTATTAAACAGACATAATTTCTTGTTTAGTTACAAAGTTCCGCTGTTCAAGTCCTATAATTGCTGTGTCGAGAATACCGACTAATTTGTCAATCGAAATGTTTTCGTTTTCAATAACCTGTGGGTCACTTTCTTCACTATCGGAAGCGAATTATAATGACGAGGAACTTGATTTAAATCATATCAAAGACGGAGTACATCGAGATGAAATGCTACACTTAGTAAGGAATTATAAGCCAAATAAAATAAAAACATCTGCCCTGAAGATAAGGATAGTGCTGACAGATCAACTTCCAATCCGCAGAGTGAAATTGATAAACAGATCTCGGATTTCAAAACATACTTTCGCTTTGTAGATACAAATTACATATTAGTAAATATATATCGGAAATTCTATTTGACATAATTGAAAGTTCAAGCTTACTTTTATGAAATTGCTTTAACAGTCCGCAAAAAATAATAAGCTGGATCCAATTCGAAGATTAAGGAACAACGCAATCTGCAACATTAACTGAATTAAATAATTTTTGCTTAGATTATACTGTCCGTTACACATTAAATGCGCATGCGCAAAAACAATTCGCAGCCGTAAAGGTCTTACGCGCACTCGTAAATGCCTGTGCGCATGCGTGAACGCGACGCATGTGCAGAAAGTTTGTAGCTTTGAGGTCTGGATTATAGATCATTCCGGATTATGGGTGTCCGAATTAACGACTTTTGACTGTAATACTTTCTAAAACAATAAAGCTTTCATTCATGCCATAATTTTATCACAGTTAATGGGGGGGGGATCCGTTATTTAAAAGTTTTTGTTGAAAAATCAATGAATTTCGTTTCTGATTTTGTTTTTTACTTAGATGGAATAAATTGTAAGTATTTAATTTCTTTTGTAAATGTTTATTTTTATGCATGCAAAATTACTTTTTAAGTTATATTTTAACTAATTATATATGTGCTGATATTTTTTTATAAATGTATTTCAGTGTCGGTGACTGCAAATATTTTAGATGCACTGACAAGTGCTTCTGGTATTATATAATTTAATAATTCATGTAATTCTATTTTCATGTAATTAAGAAGGGAATTTATTTGTGATACAATTGATTGCTGAAGAGAACGTTGGTTTAGTATGCAAATATTGTATAGCAAGTTTTCATAGTTTGGTAAAAACTGTATGAACGTTACAGAGAATAACTACTTTTAAATCAAAAGTCTTACATAATTAGCAAATTTTTGTGTTTTCATGTGGTACCATAACTAATTTACTCTTAGCACAGTCAGTGTGCACTATGCAGCTAAACTGAAATATTCTTAAAACATATGTGGAAAACTTGGACAAATCATGGAATTTTGTTTGAATTCTCCTTAAAATCGTAAAAATATTATCTAAAATCTATGGCCTAATTTTATACTGCATTTAGCTATTAACATACTGAATTACTCTGTATATTTTATGCTGCATTCATCTATTACTGTATTAAACTGCATTGCTCCATTAAACCATAAAAATTTCTATGGCCTAATTTTATACTGCATTTAAATGTTAACATGTTAAATTACACTGCTTAAATATATTTAAAATTTTGCTTATTCTTTTGATTTCTCTTCTATTATTAAGCAGTTGGATGACAAATATAAGTTTTTGTAATGTTCTTTTATTTGAGAGCAAACTTATCTGGCTATGAATTTATTTATACAGTGCATCTACAAATCTAATGTTTGCTGTTTAGGTAATTGTTAATCAATTTTATTTTGAATTTTGATTTGCCTACATGTGCATGTGATTTCTACCTCAAGAAATGTAACAAAAGTCAGAAATACCTGAAAACACTTATTAGCAGTAAATATTAATGAGTTTTGTAGTGTCAAATTGTTTTCCAATTCTGTTTCATTAAACTAGAAAATGAATATGAGTTATTGTGTAAAACTTAGAAAATAATTGAGTGCATAGTTAGAAAATAACAAGGGCAGGAGTGCAGCAAATGCTGTAAAAATGTGGATGAAGTGTATAGTAAACATATTTTAAATATGCCTAAGTACCAGCAGTAGTTCTATAAATTTCAACAAGGAGACCTCTTAGTTTGAAAAATGTCAGCAACTGTGGGCACTGCTGCATTTAGTATTAGTATTTAAGTAAAGCTGCATTTGAAAGAAGTACTTGAACTTGTACCTTAAAGAATTAGTGGAAGAGGTTAATTCAAATAGCAACTGTTCATTGCCTTTTGGAAAATGGGAATCATGTCTTAATATTGGCAGGTTTGTTCCACAGGAACTTGCTATTTTTAATTGGCAAGAACTTTTGAACATTTGCACTGCTGTTTATTCACAGGGGGGAAAAACACGAAATAAAACACATACACACACAAAGGAAAAAAAAAAAAAATTCTTTTTTTTATTTAATTGTCTAGTGACTGCTGATGATTACTGGTAGTTTGGAGTCATTGATGAAAAAGAATACATTTCTTATAAGGCACTTAAAATGGATTTTGGAGACCTCTTTTCGAGCTGATTTCATTAGTTAATAGGGCAGGAAATCTAGTACAGCATTCGAAGAATGTTATTGAGTCAGATGGGAAAAAAATGAGGATTAAATCACTATTTTATTTATTTTTAAAACTTCTTCAAAAACCTATTTCAGAAATTGTTACTTATTGGTAGATCTAATAAATAATTTTAGTTCTTTATATTGGCAACATAAACAGTTTATAAAAAGTATGTTGACCTTTCATGTTGATTTTTCTGTGCGAGTAAAAGTCTTACTCATTTAAAATTCATCAATTTAAAGATGAAATAATTTTTTAAATAATAAGGCAAACTGTTAACTTTGTTTTTCAGAAGTATATAAGTTGAGTGTTTTTACAGAGTTTAAAATGTGAAATTAAATCCTTTGTACTTTAAAATATTATTTTAAACTTTATTTTAAAAGCTGTTACTATTGTAATCGGGAAATTGCGATAATTTTTCATCATGTTTGTTTGCAGGTGAAAGTTTATCTGAAGAAACAAGTTTGTGTTTTTTCTCGTGGGAGGTGTGGTTTGATGGTGAAACTTCCCCATCATCATATCATTTGGTTGTATTTGATCTCAATCAGTGGTATCAAGCCCAGATGCCATTTCATTTCAGGTAATTATTGACCATATCTATGCAGGGTATCTCAAAACTCCATGTACAAACTCTCAAAGTAGAGACTATTGATATGAACCTATTCACATAGGGAAAGCAGGACCAGAAATTTCTCCCCAGATTTAATCTGAAATAAACATCTAGTGATCACACAGTAAGAGTCAAACTTTACATGGAATCTCTTCCATGCCCGAATGGACCACTACAGAAACAGTGGCTCTAGTCCCATGAAGGCAGCTAATCTGCTTCATATTGTCCACTTCTACCATATGGAGAGAGCAAGTGATCAGCTTGGTAAGGGGGGTTGGGTTCGATTAGTTGCACCAGCAGGACAGCCAATTTATGTGCTGCAGCTACCCCACCTCCCCAGTTTGAAGGACTCATGGAGGAAATTTGCAAGAGCTAGAAGAAGCACAAAAACAGCAAGAACACTATTGGAAGCAGTGTAAAGTACTTTTTTATATGGAACTTAATAGTACAACTACTGGTAGACACATAATATGATTCTACAAGAGTTTTATCTCTTGTAGAATCATATTATGTGTTTAAGTTTCTGACTATTTGCAGTGACATAGCATGCCTGACACTAATGCCAGCGCCACATGGATTGTTGAACATTTTCAAGAGCACCTGGAGATTTGTAAGAGCAGTAACGGCAGTTTTTGTCAAGAGGCCTATGTTGGAACAACAGGTGTTTTTTTGAAGATTCCTCACATGAGGAAACTAACGTTAAATAAGTCTGGTAAACAGGGACAATTATGCTGCGATTATGTTTATTTATGGATCTGTTTTGCCTATGTGAATATATTGCATATTGATATTCTCTATCCTCCCTCAAAGTAAACAAAGTTCATCTTGAATGTACGTGTTCAGCATGTGTTGGAGTTTAAAATAATTGCTCTTTTTATTTTAGTTATTTTTAAGCTTCTATCTTTATTAATTTATCATTTGATTAAGATGCAGATGCTAAACGAATTCTGAGAAATATCTTAGGAACTTTAAAAATATCCATGTATCTTAAGCAATCCTATGAGATAAGTTAGATCAATGTAGATATAGGTCATTCACGAATTATGTAAGTTGAAAATTAGGTTGAAATTATGTAAGGTTAAAATCAAGGTTAGCAGTGTAATTGAGCAAAACCTATGCTTGCTTTAATATGAAAAGTTAAAGAAGCCCTTAATAACTGGGGAAGATGAGAGTATCTAAATTTGAAAACTTGAAATTCCACTGTCCTTTTAGGATAAAACCTTTTATTATGGTTTTCATCCCCCAAAACACCTACGGTATATTCCAGTGTATATTGCACGCCTATAATTTCAAACTAATTTTTTAAATTTTAAGATATATTTGCCATAGAATTAGCACCCTTTTCTTGACAAAGAAACCTGAAAGATACATGTGTGATGTTCTTATCTTTTGAAGTCATTCATTTAAAGATTTTCGCCAGGCTTTCAAACAAAGGTATACTGAATTGGCAAGCAATAAGGAGAACAGTATATGCGTGGGGAGGCTTGAAGGGAGTAAATAATTCTGACAAAGGGGTGGATTGTATCCAATGCAAGTGTGAACAAAAATGTTATTGTAGGGTTTTGAGAAAAGGGGATATAATGTGGGATTTTTATTTGATATCCATAATTATATACATACATATATAAATGCCATTTATATATATATATATATATATAGGACTTCGCTTAGTTTACCGAGTCAAGTTGTGGTAGTACACGAACCTCTCGCTGGGGCTTATATCCCAAAGTTTGCTTGAATGTGATTCATATCTTGAAAATCTCATATCCAAATGCACTCGTATCCAGAGATACCTCTCTACAGTATTTTTTTGGGGGAGGAGGAGAATGTTTCTTCCAAGGATAATTTAATATAAAGCTAGGAGTTTATTAAGCTCATAGGAAATTAATGTATTCAGTATTGTTGCATCTTGTAAATGCTTTGTTCAACATGATTCCTTTTTGCATGAAATACAGTCTGTTTGTAACAAGCTGACCACATATGGAAAGAATGTTGAAAACCATGAATCAAACAAATGACTTCAATTAAGTACTGGGCTTCTTACTTGCTAATGGCACATATTATGCTGTTAGTATGTGCACAACCAGCTATTTATTTTCAGAATAAATTTCAGGAATTTTTCTTCTTTGAGCTAAAGGGAGAGACTTAGGGAATTATTATTATGATAATTATTTATTATTTTTTAAATGGCAATGTTTGTTTGGGCCATCCTTTATCGTTACACATTATTAAAACTATTAAAATACATAATTATACAATTTCGGTTCTTCCTTTCTTCATCCTCATTTTAGATTTTCCTTTTAGATTTTAGATTCATTAGCAAAATTTCTTAAGATGAAGACAGTTTTCATTGAAGATGCATTGAAACGCTTTCATTCAAAATTAAATGCAATGCAAAATAACAAATGTATTTCTCGCTTTTTGCTCCTTCTCCTTTCCTTTCCTGTATTTAGGTCAATGACCCTTCTCCCCTACCTCACAACCACCGATCAAGGCTCTTACCAACTTTCGCTTGGTTTATGCATACCTTACCTTTTCCGAAGCCTGGCTCGTTCATGCTTCAACTTCTTTCGACACCTTCCATTAGCATTCACGCTGGCATGTGCAGGTAATTGACTCCACCACAATTGTCTGTGCGCTTTCCTCTATGGGGGTTCCTCTCCTGCCCTCTATTAGAGGTAAACACAGACGTTCTCCTTGTCCCTAGGGGACCTCTTAGCCAGCTCCTGTGTTAAACCTATAATGGTTTTTTTCCTTGTATCTTTAGCTAATGCTATGATTACTATATTATGATGTGGAGGTAACTGCAATTAATTTTCAAAAGTTCTCTGTGCCAAAACGCCTTAGTTCTTTGTCATAAGCAGAATTTTGCTAGTTATGCAACCTTGAGAAATTTGTAAAAACTTTTTTATGCTGGATTTATAGTTTTTTGTGCTTAGTCTGAAAACTGTATTAATTATCCCTTTTCCCCATCAAGCATACCTTTACTGCAATTTGTTTTGACCTGAAAAATGAAAAAACAATTTAATAACATGGTGCAAGTAAAAATGATGTATGCGCTCTAATAACTCATGCTTTTTCAACTGTGGAAGTGTCTGTTATGTAAAGCATTAAAATACAGTTATTTAAGCAAGAAAAAATACATAATCGAAGGCTAAGAGTTTTTAACTTTTTATTTGAGCATAACATTTACTAGTAAAGCAGTACTAGTTGCTTTTTCTTTTGCATTATGAATTTTAGCTAAATAACATGAATCTGTAATTTGCAATAATATTAGCACTCTATTGATCCTAGTATGGTTCATCATTTCTTATTTGCTGGATGAAACTGCTTTCCTTGCCTCATAAATAATTGCATTGTTTTCTTTCTCCTTTTTTTTTTTTTTTTTTTTTTAACAGATCTATGTACAAATTGAATTAGTCAAGTTTTTTTATTGAGCTATTTAAACATTTGAATTTACTATTAATCAAAAATTTGGCTAATGGCATTCTTTAAGAAAATCCAAGTTTCCTTTTCAAATTTATTCAAGATAAGCTCAAAGTTTTCATCTAACATTAATTTTGTAATGTCTTTTCTAACTGAAACTTTCCATCAGCTTGGCTTCGGAAGGAAAGGGGATTTATATAGAAGTATTTAAAGTAATTATCCTTTTCTGTCAGTGTTTTGATAAGTCATTTCTCATGGGATTAATTTTATATGAAATGGAGAAAAAACGAATAAAGTGTAGCTGTAATGCTAGTGAACCCAATATTTAAAAAAATTTCCAAATCTTTAATTCTGATTATTAGTCTCATATTTAAAAAGATTGATTTCAGATTTTAATGTATTTCTTTGAAAGGCACAGAATGGTATACTGAGAGGTCCGCAAAGTGTTAAGAGAGGCATACATTTTCTCATGCAAAACAACTGTTTTAATGTTTCTTATAGAGATGGTAAAAAGTTAAAAAAATTGATTCATAATTAAACTGATAATAAAATCCATAACACGTTTTTTACATATTCAGTTTTGTTTATTATTATTTTTCTATAACAAATTAGAAGCGTTTGATAATTTTGGTGATGATGCATTTTAAAATGTACAGAATTAAAATTTGAATGGGCAGCCCTTTATAAAAAAGTCTCAGTTAAGAAATTGTTACCTATATTATATATTATCATGTAATATGCAAATTTGTCCCTGAAAAGATTGTGAAAAAGTCTGTGTCTGAAAAGAGTTGTGAAAATTATGATTTAAATCATTTTTACTGAATAAAATAAAAAAAACCTGATGGTTTGTTTTAGAGGTGAGGTCATATAAAAACTGAACTTTGGTTCATGAAAAATTTTGAATTTCAGGATTTTTGCAAATGGGAATTTGCAATCTATCTTGTGTTTTTATGTAACATTTTACTGAAATAAATGACAATCCATGATAATTTTAAATTTGAGAACATAAATCATCAGCACTATTTGTATATGTTCCTAAATATTTTAATTAATGATATCTCAGATAATTTTCATTGTATGCAGATAGAGTTTTTTCATGTGATTGTTAAACTTTGGAGCAATATTTTATCATAGTTATTCTTTTTATTAATTATTGCTCCTTTTTTTGTAAGATTCCTATAAAAATTTAAGCTTAAAAAAGTGCTTAAAAATATTTGAACATAAAAAGTGCTTAAAAATATCGTGATTTAAATGTCTGTCTTATTTAATTCATTTCTGAAATTGGAATTATAGCTGATACACTAGTTATTCAAAAGATATTTAGTTGTGCCATCTTTTGAAATTTTTTCTTATGAGTTCTTATACATGTCATTTAATGTTTTAAGAGGATGAATATTTGTAATAATGAGGTTTTTGGATTATTGTTGAATAGGTGCGATTATGGTGAACTCAGTCCATTTATGGCTATTTATTCCCTGGAGACAGTTGCTCAAAATCTTCACCGTGAGCCAGTTTTGGTAAATTTCAATATTTTTTTTCAAAATAAGATGATATTCCAATATTTTCACAAATTAAAGATTACAAATTTATAGGTAGATTATTAGCTAAATTTCTCAATATTAGAATAATTGTGTCAGTAGCTGATTCTAGTACTTTTTATATTAATAGTTGTAAGTTTCTCCGTGTAAGTTAATTTACAGTGTCTAGAACTTTTAACAAAAGAATAATTCCAAAAGTTTCTAAAATATCTTTAAACATGGAAATTCTTAATTGTTAATTTCATGGCAGAGATATTTTTATTACTTCAATCAAGAGACATATGATAGGTAAAATCAACCACTCCAACATTAAGAAATTTAGCTAATAATACATCTTTGAATTATTAAAAAAAATCTGATTTTTACTGTACTGAATCTGGCAAATCTTTGTATTATATATATATATATATATATATATATATATATGTATTATCTGTAATGATTACATAAAATTATAGTGAATTAAAAAACATTAAAAAATTCAATTTATGTTGACCGTTGTTGCCCAAAAGCAAAATTTAAAGGGTAAGAACCAATTGATGGACTTGCAATTTTTAGCATGTCTTTCAGACATCACTTAGATAATTTTATGCATGGCCGTATTATTGAAAAGATTGAAGAAGGGTGAAACATAACAAATGTCACTTAGTTCACTTAGTGTCACTTAGTTAGGAGTTCAATGTCAGCCACAGTGTTGTTTCAAGGCTTTGGAAATGAATTCAGACAAATGAAATGTGTAGCAAAAATTACAGAGGAGGTTGTGTTTGCTGTATTATACCTACAGAAGATACTAGATGCATAATGCTGTTGACAAAAAACAGCCAGCGCAGCACAGCTACTGTAGTAGCAAATCAGTTACTTGTTGGTACAGGCAAGCAAATCTCCAGAAAACTGTAGCCTGCTGTTTGCATCAAGAAGGACTATATGCCGACAGTGCTATTGTATGCATTCCATTGTCTAGACATCAGCATTCAGCCCGTTTGTAATGATGTCATCAACACCACAGTTTGAGGGAAGACAGCTGGGCTTGTGTACTATTCTCAGATGCAAGTAGGTTCAGTCCTTCATTTGATTGTGGACAACAATAAATGTGGTGGGAGAGTCATATTGCTCATAGTCTGGCAAACATACAGGAGAGGTACCGATATCCTACATGTGGTATCATAGTATGGTTTAGGATTATGATTAACAGCTGTACGTTGCTCTATGTGCTTTTAACTGGGACTATGACTGTCCAACGATACATTAATGATGTTCTGTTGCCTTATGTTCGCATGTTCCATGGCACTCTCATTGATAAGTTAATTCTCATGGATGACAGACAACACAACATGTCATCGATCACTCACTGTCAAAAAGTGTCTAGACGGCAAGGATATTCAACATCTCTTATGGCTAACACCTTCTGCAGATCTGAATCCCATTGAAAATGTTTGGGATGCTTTGGGGTGAAGTTTTCTGGTCGACAGTTCCCTCTAATAAACAAATACACCCTTATCTGTTCACCGCTACAGGAATGGGATAAATTACTCCAACAGTTGCCTCATAATGTTGTTCAAAACATGACACGAAATGTGGAATCTTGCATCGCCCTCTATAGTGGCCATATCCTGTGTGAAATTTTACTTCAAAATACCTGCGGACAGTAATTGCATTTTTTTTTTTTTTCCACTTTTGCACATTCAGCACAAAATGACCATTTTGTTCCTTTAGTATTTTTCAAAGCCTTCTGAATTTCAGAGCACAATAATAATTATCTTTATTGGTATGTCCTAGTATTCTGGCATTATTTTCACTTGACATCCAACCAAACTTATGTTTTTACACACTGTATAGCCGTTTATGATCTGTCCTTAGTAATTGTCCACCATTTTATATAAATATGTGTTCAATATAAAGAAATGTATGGAAAAATAAAAGCAAAATCTTGACTTGTAAGGTTTCTAGTGTAATATATTTGAGTTTTATTGTTTCTAATATTATGTACAGAATTTAAAACAGAGAGCAACATTCAAAGGAAATTCATTTTACATCATATTTACTTTTATTAGAGATAATATGGTGTATATTTATGTGTGTATGTGTATATATACACAAATGGTAAATGTGCCATTTATTTATATATATATATATACACACACGCACACGCAGTAAAATCCCTTGTAACCGACACTCATTTAATCGGAGGTATCAGAATAACAGCACTTTTGAAAGTCTAAATTTAAGCCTCTTTGGTAAAAATAAATATGTAATGGGCTGACAAACTAAATGCAGAGTTGCCAACTCTCCCGATTTAAGCGGGAGACTCCCGCTTTTCGACCGCTCTCCCGCCAACCCGATTTACAATATATTTCTCCCGACTTTTTCTTATTCTTAAAATTTCTCACGACTTTTATGGAACTTGGCTTAATACTTTGTTATATGAATAAAAACAAAAGTGCTTTTGGATGTCTGAAAGCAATTGAATTATTCTACATTATATCTAAAACAAAACCTTGCTAATCAGATAGCTTCTGCTTTGTGAGTGAGAGCATTATACGTATCCAGAAACGTCGTTCTCCAGTTCTCCAATGGGCTTCGAGCTCCACTGCGTGTCAGCTGGCATATATTAGCCAATGAGGACAAAGTAAGTTGTTATTTGGACGTGCTTTAGTTATTTCTTTCATTTTGTCCAGAGTTGTGTGAGTACACGTGCCTTAGGGAAATAGTTTTAGAAATTATCATCTTTTGTTACGTCTGCGAGAAAGTGAAATACTCGTGTACGTTTCAAAAATCGTACACAGTTGACTTTCATTCCATTATTTCCTCAAAGAAATGTAATAAATTTGCGATGTGTACCGCCCGTCGTTGCGATTTTTCGATTTCGCATGGTGGAAGGGCGGATGTTCTCAAACATATACGTAAGCAAAACACAAGGATAACATGAGTTGTTTTTTAAAAAAACGGAAAATTAAATTTTTCTTCGGAAACAAAGGACCAAAAAGTTATTAATGCAGAATGTCTGTTCTCTGCCTTTTTACTGGAGCACATCCTGCCACTGAATGCATCGGATCACGCTGCAGCTTTATTTAGAAAAATGTTTCCCGATAGTGAAATCGCTAAAAAAATACTCAAGGTGCAAGAATCAAAACAGGATCAATTGTTTAAAGAAATGGGTTTGAAAAATAAATCTTCAGTTATTGATAGCATTAAAACAGCTCCTTTCTGCCTCTCTACGGATGGAAGTAATAATACCGATTCAAAACTGTATCCAATTGTTGTTTCTTTTTTTGATCCAGAGTCTTCAGAAATTGAGTGCAGTTTACTTTATGTTCCGACTTTAGAAGGACATTTGACAGGCTTTAATATAGCACAGCTAATTATTAAAACTTTAAAAGAAAATGAAGGCCCTCTGGATAATTGCTTAGCACTTGGTGCCGATAATGCACCAGTATTGGTAGGCTTGGAAGACTGGTGTTGCAGGCATCTTAAGAAAAGGAGAAAAATTCAGATTATGAGGTGCACCTGTCACCTCTTTTAAATTTAGCAGCTGAAAAAAGGGGGCAGCTTCTTTACCCATAAATGTGGATGAATACATCGTTGATATTTATTATTATCTTGAAAGGAGTTCTAAAAGGAAGGAAAAATTGAAACAATCCATCCAAGTCTTCATTCAAGTTTTAATTGTAAAGCTGCATAACAGCATTTTACAATTAGAGAAAACTTGGATGAAGTTATAAAATCAGCTAGGATTGACACCCAGTGGAGTTTTTAATTGGAAAACTGAAAGGTGCTGATGAAATCTGTAAAATATAGTGAACTGTCTAGAAATTGAATTGTGTTACCATCTTGACAGTTCCCTTTAGTAATGCAGGAGTGTGAGAGGATTCTCAGTGTTGTTGCGAAAACGAGGACTAAATTTAGATCTAATATTAGTGATGACACATTCGAAAAACTTTTATTAGCGAAAACAGGCCTACGTGGCAATTGCTGTGAACAAAATTATGAAGTTTCTTTCTTAAAGAGAAAGCAAAATCTGCCACTGTTTATAACATTTGTACGAAAACTAAGTCTTTTTTTTTTTTTTCCCCTTAAATAGCGAATGCAGTTGAATTGTAAATAAAGATGTTTTTTTATGTGTAAGGTATTTTTTTGTTGCTTGCATTTAAGAATTAGTTACTATTTAAAGTTAATTCATTATTAAAAACTATATTTTTATCATTTAAGAAGTCTTTAACATTGTGAAAAATCTCCTGATTTCTTAAAAAAACTCCTGATTTTTGAGTGTCATAGGTTGGCAAGTATGTAAATGCTTACATGTGGAACATCTGGGTTATGTTTCTGTTACCCAGTTTAAAAAGCCTTATCCAAATGAACTATCCAGAATATAAAAATGAACTACTGATCCTCTTTTTATGCACTGATGTGTGGCCTTTAAAAATTGTGTCCATCACTTTAAAAAGCAATTAGCATTGAAATATGTTATATTTGCTTTGGCTTTTGCCAGGAAAGATGTAAAAAATATTGATAGTAAATGTTGTCATCGCTGTAAATTGGGCTATGAACATGTTGGTAGATGACGATTGAGTCACGGATTCCTTTGGTTTTAAAACATATCTGGTGCCTGTGTCTGTGATTGTGAATTTACTTACATGTCTGGAGAAGATTAGTCTTAGTGAGAATTTGGTGAAGGCTTGGATAGATATCAGCAATTATATTTTTGTCTCACTCTGTAAAGATGACAACAAAATAATGAGACATGTACTGCAGAATTAAAAAGATGCAGAGGAGGAAATGGAGGATGAACATAAAGACAACATGCAGAGAGCAAGAAATTAACATTGATAGAAGGTGAGAAAGGATTGGGAGTCTTCATAAGATCTGCTGAGAAATGTTCATCTGGGCCAGTACATGATTTTATGAAGCTTTATTCTATACTCAGCAAATTTATAAAGTGCAATGACATTGTATGTGGGCATACATTCAAAGTTACATAGTATGTCACTAAAATATTTGTAACTTTTATATGATAATAAATATGGTAATTTTAAAATGTTTAATTTTGTTTTTCTGAAATTTAAAATCATGGTATGTGCTTCAGTTTTAAATAATTTGGATGATTTTCAGTTACCAATTTTTGGATGATTTTCAGTGACCGACTTCCCATGCTGCAATTGCTACAAATGGCATCACTAAACATGAGCAAATGTGTTTTTGAAATGTATATCCAGGAAATCCTCTTATTCATAATTGGCATGATCCTGTCACTACCATTTAAGATATTTATGATTTAGAAAGTTCTGATTTATGTTAACCGTGTAAAATGTATGCCCAAATAGGAAGGTATTTAAGTGAAAAGAATATTATTGAAATTGCTAAGTCTAGTGTGTCTTTATGTGTGCTTTTTATTGTCATTTTTTCAGAAATAGCATGTATTTTCTCCTCTTAATTTTTAAGTGGTAAAATTAGTATTAAAAGAGGGAATAATAAAGAGTAAATACAAGTAGTTCTGTAATTGTAAGGGTTAAATACAATATATATTTAAGGCTCGTCAACATTGGGAATGCAAAAAAGGTGCAGACACATTTAAATATTTTAATTTTATTTTGGTTGCTTTTGTTTTCTGTAGTCATGGTTGACTGTACTGGATCTTAAATATATTTATAGGGGTTGGACAAAAATATGGAAACACCTTTAAAAAAACATGTTTCTTTGCTTAATATGGTGTAGGAAACCCATTGGCATCCAAACAGCTTGCAGTCTTCTCGGAATGGATAAATACAGTTCCTGTATGTTTGCCAAGGGAATATTATATCATTCTTCCTGCAAAACGGGGGCAAGTTCAGATAATGATGTTGGCGGTGGATAACGAGAACGCACTTTCCGTTCCAATGTAGACCACAAAGGTTCGATAATATTCAGGTCTGGTGACTGTGGTGGCCAGGGGAGACGGGTCACCAAACTAGTCCTGAACAATGTGAGCTTTGTGAACAGGGGCTTTGTCGTCTTGGAAGACACCATCACCATTGGGGAACAAAGTTTGTACCATGGGATGAACTTGATCGGCCAAAATGTTCACATAAGTCTTGGCAGTCATGTGCCCTGACACAGTTATCATGGGGCTAGCAGAGAACCACGATATGGCTGCCCAAACCATAACAGAACCCCCGCCATGTTTCACTCTTGGCAACAAGCAGTCTGTATTATAGGCTTGAGATGGCATTCTCCAGACGTAAACTCGGCCAGAAGTGGGACAATGTGAAAGAAGACTCGTCAGACCATATTACTAGTTTCCACTGCTCTATAGTCCAGGCTTTATGACTTAAACACCACATTTTCCTGTTACGGGCATTAGCATCACTGATGAGTGGCTTCTCAATTGCAGCACGGCCAGCAATTCCCTGTTTATGAAGCTCCCTTCTAATTGTTTTGGTACCCAAGGGTTCGGAAACACAACATTCATTTCAGCAGTAACTTTTGCAGCTGTGGTCTTCTTATTTTTCGTCACAATTGCCCTTAATGATCGTCTGTCACGATCACTCAGGACACACTTTCGTTCGCGCTGTGATTTAGCAGATGATGTTTTTCCGCTTTTCAAATATGCGGAATAAATCTTCGATACAGTACCTCTTGAAACACTAAACACCTCGGCTACCTTGCTTATGGAAGCACCTACCATACGTGCTCCAACAATTTGCCCACGTTCGAAGTCTGTTAACTCTGACATAATGCAATGACAACCTCACATAACAGTACTCCGATAACAACTGAACTGTTTACGACATTTACAAAGTTGTATAGGTGGCGTCAGTAGTCAAAAATGCCAGCGCCACCTACATATTTCATTAAAATCAATCTTTCTTTTCAAACATGCATTTCACAAGGTGTTTCCATATTTTTGTCCGTCCACTGTATTTCTTCTGTGCATAGTTGCCTTAAGTACAGACATATATTAAAAATTTTGTTTTGTTTTGTTTGAAGCACTTTGTATGATAAATTCTGCCATGGGACCACTTCCTTTAAATGACTGTTATTTCTGAGAATATAAATAAACATCCATAGTGAACATCACCTCTGTAAGATGGCTATATCCAGAGATTAAAACTATCTGGAACTGTGGATGGTAGTCATCTTATACAGGATTCAGTGCATGTGCAATAAGCCATATCTAAGATAACTACTTAAGGTTGTTGGTGATGTTAGTCTTTGTGAAGGGTATTGTTCTTAAAAATGATTGATGATGATGATTATCAGTTGTTGATTAGCGTTATGGATTTAATCTTAATTTTCACTAATATTGATTAGGAATAATATTTTAAAGCATGAAAGACAAACTTTAATGTGCAAAGTGAAATGTTTTACAAAATAACTTATATTATCAATTCCTTGCAGCTATTGCAAAAATGTACTCGTATTTGTAAAAATTGCATCCATGAAAAATCCATGAAGGAATCAGGCAAATAAACTCAAAATTACAGGAAGTACAAAATGGGGTTATGTTTATAAATGCTTAGAATTTCACAGTGATAGTGTATGCATGGACTGAGCAGGTCCTTCTGAACTGTCCTTTAGCTCTATAAATAGAGGTCTGTAGTGTAATGTTAAAAGTTGTGTTTTGTTATCGGTCCCTGGTAAAGGTTTAATGAGAAGTCACTGTGTCTTATCAATAACAAAATTCTGGATATAAGCATATGTAATTCCTTTTGAACAGTGGCTAATCATTGACTTGCAAGACGGAGAATTTTTCTCTTGTGAAATTGCTGTTGACATGTATTATAAGTTATGAATATATGGAAGTAGTGGGTTTAAAATTACTGGACATGTCATCACAAACTGGCAGTAGCCCATGAAATGTTACATCCACACAGGAGGACCAAATACTTCATACACCAACTCATCTTGACAGTTGGTACAATGTGAGAGCACTGCTACAGGTGTGCTACTGTCATCTTCAACATTTCCCTTGTGTATGCTACATCTTTGATTGTGTTTCATTCAATTGTTTAGGATTCCACTAGCATAAAAGCATCAACCCTTGCAGCTAGAGTGGAGCCACTAATATGTCATTAGTACAACCATTAATATGTAAAATGTAACAGATTGACTTTTCTGATAAATCCTTCTTCAGTTTGGAGTATTTTGTTCGTTGAAGACAGGTTAGAAGCTATAGGAGTTAATGCGATTTTCTAGAATATATTATAAAGTATCGTACAGATGACTGCCAGTATTGATTTTAGACACCAATGGGGATGAACATCATTGCATCTGCTAAGAATTGAGAACCTCTTCACCAGCAACTTCTTATCAGAAATGTTCAGTGTATTCCTGCTTGTGATTTCTACAGGGTAATACCTGCCCATGTACTGCTGGAAATGTTCCAAGACTCTCAGCATTCCAGATATTGCTTCTGCTGTGGTCTGTCCATTCATCAGACATCTCACCTATTGAGTCTTGGATTTTGAGGGGTGGCAATTGGCCCATGACACTTGTCCAGCATTAATACAGATCTGCTTTGGGTTTGGGTAGAAAGAATGAATGCTATTTCTAAAGCTATTTCACATTCAAAATTTGTTTAACTTAATGCAATGACAAGCGTGATTTTTTCATGTTGGCTACACTAATGACTGTTTTTTGGCATTTAATATTCTTGTATTGCTTCGTAAATTTAATCATTTCTTTGTATCACTATAGGCCATACATAGAATAAATTTCATTCAACTCTGATGATTCCTTCATAGTGTTGACGGCTCACCAGCGGCTGAGTGGTAAAGCTGCTGAACACTGGTAGTTCGGTTCGAGGTTTGAATCCCGCGAACGGGCTGACTGCATGGGCGTTTTCGTGGTTTTCCCCATGTGTAACATGTATACGAGTCAGTTTCCCTTAGAAAGTCCTCCATGAAGGCATCCCTTCCCTTAGGCAGATAGCCCTAGTGTGCTTTGCCATAATTAAACACACCACACCACCACCACCACCTTCATGGTGTTGCAATTTTCGCAAGCAATAGTGTACTTACTACTGTATTCATTCAATGAAGTGTGCCTAATTGATTTCTTTTCTGTCTTATTCTTTTCTTAAAACAACTTGATCTGAAAATTGTAGAGAGAGAGAGAGGGGAAAAACAACTTTGTGCTATTAAATTGAATGTCCTTTATTTCATGCATTTTTAATTAAATAATTCCTTTTCAGCAAATTATATAGATCTTATTATGTACAAATATGGTGAAATAAAAGAACTCACATTTATTTTTTCATGCAGGGCATCTATGCAGTTCCCCAAAATATAAAAAAATTCAAGTCCCTGGCAGCATCTGAAGAGTTTTTCTATCCATCTGCTTTGAGCTTTTGTAAGTATTCTTTGCAAGAGAAAAAAAATGTTTCCAATGAGTGAAGCACATTTTATTTTTAACAAAGTCACTGATAAAGAAATTAAAATGAACATTGTGTGTAACTCAGCAAAAGTAGTAAAATTTTTACAAATTTTATTTTAACATAAAATAATGAAATGTGTAAAGCTGCAGCAATGAAATAGACTTTGTTTTTAATCTTTATTAAATGAGATGAGGATATTTTTAGGCAGTTTTTAAGCTGATTGATGGTCCCATGTGATATATAATGTCTCTTTTTTTTAAAATTAAACTTACTTAATTCCTTCTTCCAGAATTTAAAAGTTAGGCTTAATCCAAATATAATTTGCACATTTTTTATGATTTATATTTAAAATTTATATTTTTAAATATTTTTTATAAATTTTTCGAAAAAAAAAAAAAAAAATTTGTTTTATAACCTATACAATTTTTAACATCATCTTAAAGTAGATGTATTTCTAGGCACACTTGCAAAAATTAGAGTTTTTTATTCAAAATTCCTGAAGATATACATAAATTTATATATTGACATGTTTTGAAATTTTTCATATTTGTTGAAAGCGATAATGACATCAAATGGGGTTTAGGCACTTTGTTAAAATTATTTGAAAGTAGGAACAATGTGACTTTTTTCCTGCTCCTGTACAATTTAAAAAGGAAAAGGAAAATAGTTTGCCAAGTTAAAAAATTGGCCAAGTGAAATAAATGAGGCAAGATAAATTTTTGAATTTCTCCATATATTTTGTACCAATTCACAAAATTTAATATTTAGGCATAATTTGAGTCCTAGAATCGATATATGGAACAAAATTGGCATGTCATTTCAAAAGTCTAATTTTGTGTCTAAGTATGTATATTAGAACAATGCTATATATAAAACTGATTGAATATAAATCTAACATATATCCGAAGTTGCGCTTTCGAGACATGAAAAATGCAATTTGAATTTCGTCAATCAGCCGTCCAGTAGAATGGGAGATATAGAACTGTCCCCCCCCTTTTTTTTTTTTTTTTGCAGTGTACAAAGCATTGTTTGGGGAAAACCTTTAATAATCAGTGTGAAAAGATTGTTTCTTCAATCAGGTGTTCAAACATGATAACAAGATGACAGGTGAATTGATAAAGCTGTTTTAACTGAATGGCAAAATGCTGCTGAAGCAGTGCAAGTTTATTGGTGAAATCATATATTAAGATGAGACCCATAAAAACTGTATGTGATTTGGTAAAACAGTATGTTCCATAAAAACTGTATGTGATTTGGTAAAAACCAGATGACTATGTGTTCCTGTTGAAATTATTGCAGAAGTGTATAATGCAATTAGTGCATGTCCATTGCATACTGCAAGAAGTGTTGCCTGCAGTTTTTATCCACCGAAAACCACAGTCCTCAAGCTTTTGAGGTCTGTTCTGTTGGATGATTCCTTATTGATACCATTGTCTTCAGGTATTGCAACTTGGAGAAGAGAAACAGCGAATTTACAAATCGTTTCTCCATCGGATATGATGAAAGTAGCAGGTGGCCGCTACGTGTATTATGGATGGATAAAGTACATTTCTTCTTAACTGGGAACTTAAACTCCAAGAACTGCTTTCACTGAGCTGATGAAAATCCTTACAATGTGGCACCAGCACCTTTACATGAAGTTGAAGTGACTGGGGTTAGGCAAACACATTCATTCTGAAATATTTCTTCGAAAAGGCCACATCCACAGGTATGAAAACACAGTGCTTTATCACAAGTGCTCGATGCACAAAAAATGTAGCAGAATTACTTTATTCCAGAACATCAGCAGTGAAATATCATTAATGACATTGTTTGGATATAAGATGATGTTCCTCCGCATGTTGCATATGGGTTTGGCGATTGTTGCAACAGCACTTTAAAGAGAGTCATCTCCTGTAGTTTTGCAGTTTCATGGTCACCCTGATCTCACACCAATGGATTTCTGGCTCTGGGGTTATCTGAAATCTAAGCTGTGCACGTCAAATACGCAAGATTCGCCAGAATTGAAAGATCCAGTGGAATGGTGTCCAAACACCAAGGTACCTGTGTTCTGAGACCCTACCCTTTGTAGAACAAAAAGAAGTTTTCAAATCTTGAAAAATAACTTGAGTATTAACTGCAAACAAGAAAATGAGAAAGTAATTTAAGATGAAAACATTAAACTTGCATGAAGGAATTACTCACAGGTCATCTGCATAATTTTCTGTACAGTTTGGAGCAAATCACGAAGTTTCTCGACTAGGTTGAGATTTCGTAGGAAGCTAAAAATTTCAGAGAGGACTTTAATATTTTTTCAGAGAAGACTTTAATAACTCTTGAATATCTGGGCTAACAAACCAGGATAGGAGTCCTTCTAGGATATTTGGCGACTTTGCAGGTTTACTTCTCAACTTTTCACTGTAGCTGGCTTTGCTCACAGTTCTGCTCCACCAAGGACCTGTCGTTGCTAGCTCTGGGAAATTTTCTTGCGTGACATCTGGGGGGTTCTTCTGAGTCCTATGCTGTCCTCTATCTTTAAACTTCCTCTTGTATTCCACGCAACCATGGAAACTGCTTACATGGTCCCCCTGGCAGAAAATGTAGCATGGCTTTTCCTCAGGTCTCCTTGAGCATGTATTGCTCCTGTGAGGTCCTCCGCACTTAACGCATCTTTCCGGATTATTGCATAGATGCTGTGTGTGTCCGAAGGCCTGGCAACGAAAACATTGCACAGGCCTTTTCTTCGGGTTTTATTGCTCCACACGTATGTCAAAACTGAAGACGTTGTTCAGCTGGAAAATCTGGTTCCCTTCATTATTTCTCCTGCGTTCAACAAAAAATATGGGCAGTTTGACTTTTACCCCGTTTTTGCTACTCTCGAACTGCTTTACCTTGATGGCAAGAAATTTCTGTTTCTCAGATCATTCAGAATAGAGTCTTTTTTTAATAGAGGCAGGGAGTCCTTTCATAATCACTCTAATGTTCCTTTCGTGTCGTGGTTGGTACGTATGAAATGCAGTATTTCTTTCTTTGAGAAGTTTCATCATATTTTGGAAATCCGCATGGCTTTTCACATAAACATGAATGGCCTTGGACTTGACACTCGATTCATATCCATCTGGGCAGTTTTTAATTGAAACCACAAGCCCTGAAATGTGAAGTTATACATATTCCTCCTATGATGTCATGCTTGTCATTGTTGTCAACAATCGCTCTTGTATAATGGATTATCATCTGCATAGGTAGGCACATTGAGAACTGGTTATTCTAATAAAAAATTTTGCCCCTCTCCTCTTTTGTGTTGTCTGGTTCTTTACAATGCTTTTCTCTGCAAATGTTTTACAGCGACTGTTTTCATCATATGCATATTATTCCAGCATCATTTATGGTTTTTCAGTGCATTGATCAATTTCTATGTGACAAAAATGTATGTTGCTATTTAAAAATTTCGAAATATTTTCACTGTAACTATAATCGTGAGAGCTGTATTGTTTTAAATCATCACAATCTCGAGTGCATGCTTTCAAATAACACTCTGAAATTTCATTTCGATTGTTTAAGTGAATACTCGGCTGTGGTTCATATATAAGGGAAGTCTTTTTATGGCCACCCTGTATTTTTGGAATTAAAAATGAAAGTTAGTTACTTCTGAATGCTAAAACATTCGATTGAAATTTAATTTTATATGATTAAGTGCGAACTGTTACTGGGATTTATTTTAATCAGCTAGGAAAATATAAGCTGTAATTCTCCAATCACTTAAAGGTGCCAGTTATTTTAGAAGGGAAGTTGTTTGTTACTTTATCTGTTACTAAAGCAGGGAAAAAAGCAAGCAGCAATTTTCTGTTACATGATGAAAAAATATTTGTTTAAATAACAAATTCTTTTAAAACATTAGAAATGTTCTTAGCTGAAGGTTACTCTTCATGAAACTTTTGGATCTATTTATGGTGTGCTACATTATAAGGCAAATAGATGATATATGCTACAACCTGACCACTTTCCACTGCCAAGTCAAATGAATGCATTTATGCTAGATATCCCTATGAAGCTTAGGTGTAAAAGTATAGTTCTTTATCATCTATGCCATCTCCTTCATGATCAGTTCCCAGAATTTTGTCATTTTGCAAAACAGGGTCTCTAATTTAAGTTTCAAATTTGTGATCAACATATAATTACTTAACAAACTGAGAAAATTAAAAGCAATATAATATATCCAAATGATAATCTTTATGAGCATTTACAGTGTTATTGCAATTCAGGAGATGCCTACTGTTACAGGTTTTTCATGATTATTATTGATTTTTACCTTCTGTTATGGAATTATGAATGTGACAATTTCTATAAGTCAAGTTTGAATCACATGATTACATTATGCAAGTGAGAAGAAGTGAATAATGAAGCTGACAACCGTGCTGATATCATAATCACTATATCTACAATGATTATGCTGGCAAAACAACCAGTGTGCTGCCAGCACAGTCATTGCCATGTCAGCGTAATCTTTGGAATCAACTTAAACTATTATGCATGTGTTGCTTGAGGGTTGTCAGGATTTCATACATTGCTTTTGAAGCCTTAAACATATGCAAATGACTCTTGCTTGTATTTTTATTTAAAACTGCTATGATAAATATGCTTACTGTGTGACTTTCAGAGAGGCAGAAAGTTCTTCAGGAAATATAAACAATGTTGTAGTGAAGCCATGACGTCTAGCTGGCTCAAGGGGGGGGGCTGTGACAAGAGAGACACTGATGACTACATACAAATTGTATGTTCAATCAGTTACTGGTTATTGTAGCAAGATCCTCATTACAGCTCTGGAGAATGTAGCCCAGATCCTTGAAATCTTCTAGAACCAAGCATTACACATAATTACTGGGGCAGTCAGATCTACTCCTATTCTTGCATTAGAGCTTTTAACCGGTTTGGAAACTGTTCATGATTTTATTAAGAGAAAAGCAATCTTATTATACCAGAAGCTTGTGCATTTGCCTGACAACTCTTTTTGGAGGAACTATAATGAAATTTCTAGAAATCATAAAACTCAAATTGGCATTATCCAGGCTGGTCAGAGAGAATCTGATGCTTTGGAATTGATCTGAGATTATCTAATTTCACCTCCTTTCCATTGTTCCATGGACTTTTTGAATTTGAATCTTGATCTTATATGAAGAGTTGTTAAAAACGAAATGAGCAATTCATAATTAAGATATATTTTAATGGAGAGTATTTTGATTCTTTATCCTCAAAATGAGTGGTTGTATTATCTACACTGATGAGAGATCACATGGTGCTGAAACAGATATCCATAGCGAGCTTTTTAGTTTCTGCTTACCAATGAGCCCTCTTACTATTTGCCTTTGACGGGGAAAATTGAAGCCATTGGCGTGGCTATTCAACAACTATCAATATGTAGCCACTCTTTTGTAAAGGCAGTCATAGTATCAGATTCCAAACCCTTCTGAATAATAAAAATAGTTCCCCAAAAATCCCAAGACACAGAATTTCTTTCCAATGGATTCCAGCCCACTAAGGAATTATGGGCAGCGAAAAAGCTGATACATTGACTAAAGCAGGAACTTTGGTAATGCACTGCTTTAATCGACTGCTTTCTTTTTATACAACTAAACTGTTTGTTAACCTGACTATTGAGAAAAATTCTTAAACAGGATATGATTCAACATGCTATGCAATAAGAGATGGAGGATTCTGAGAGAAGAGAGAACTTTCATTCTCAGTTTTCCAACAAAAACAGCGGTAGCTCTATTTAGATGTCTCACTGGACATGGCTGTTTGCGAGACCACTTCTACAGAATTGGAGTGGTGGATTCCCCAAACTGTTTTTTGTGTGACTGCAATTAGCCTATGATTTTTTAACATTTAAATAATTGTATTGCACTTTCTTGGTATGGAGACATAGTTAAATATTACTGGAGAGCCCATGAACTATTGCCTTAAGTGCTAATGTTTGGCATTTGTAAAATAATAATAGTGAAGCAATATTTACTTGCTTCAAAAATTTCAGAAAATCATTGTGTCATGTTTTGAGTACAATTGTAATTTTTCAGTTTCAGATAGTCATGTTGACTTCAGGTGGTGCATATAATCAGGACTTAGTTTCTAAAATGGGAAATGTAGAGCCCTGTGTCAGTGTGTCAGGAATATGGAACAAAAAATGAATAAAATAATTAAAATTCAGTAAAAAGCAAAGAGGTAAAATTGTGAGAGAAGAATGCAAATATAAAACTCAAAATTAGGCGAAATGGCAACCGTATTTTCACATGGGTTTTGAACAAAGCTGTTGATTTTGAGAGTGATCAGGCACAAGTTCCTGTTCTTTAGGAGAAAAATGTATTCTGCTGCTTAAGCCAAAATAATGTTATTTTTCCTTATTTTGAGTTAAAAATTTAATTAATCCTGGACCTCATTTTATTTGTGGTTTTGGTTGGAATTACAATTTACACAAAAAATAAGAAATAGTGGAACTAGATGTTTTCTGAATTTGAGCTCTTGAAATAGTATGATGCAATAAAACCAGAATTTAGGATACTAAAATTTAAAATTTTATATCTACAAGAAGCCATTTTTAACCCTTTGCGACACGCATATTTAAAATATATTTTAATCTTTAAACAAATGCCTGAGAATAAGTCAGATGGACTTACTTAAGTGCCTTTAAGGCTTGAAAAAAATTCTGCGCTTTTATTTTTTACGGTGGAAGGTGGGATACTGTTTGTCCCACCATGCAACTAGCACATGTCTTATAGCATATTGGTGTATAGCAGGGAAAAAAAATTATATGTGGAATGAATAAAGAAAATAAAGCGTGCATTCTAAAATATTCATAATAAACACACTAAAATGCATTTTGTACTTATTGCATATATGCATGACTTGTAAAATTTTGCATATGCACATTTTGCATATAGTATATATTTAATATTTTTAAATTTTAGGAACAAAAGAAAATATTTTCTTGAATATTATTTTAAGATTAAAATTTCATACTCATACATATGATACTAAATAAAATATTAAAATTGGCACTTGATTGAAAAACATTTATATATAATTAAAATTGAAAAAAAGTCATTTTTCATGAAACTTTGAAAAAATGTTGTTTCATTCTTTTGTAAGCATAGAGGCACTTCACATGTTTCACACATCCAAAATGTTCGTCGTTCTTCTTTCGATATGTTGCAATATGCACATCTTTCTCCTGCTCGTTCTGTTTGGCGTGTTTAACTTACATTTTTTAGTCTCTTTCTGGTTGTACGAACGGATTTTTTAGTTTTTATTTGAACTGGGGATTTCAATTCATTCTTTTCAGGCTCTTTCTTGCCTGCAAGTGCCATTAGACCTTCTATAACTGAGAGAAGAAAGAAAATCTTTCATTGTTTTTACATCATGATCAGGTTCGCGAACAAACTTAAATAGAATAAATGTGTTTACTATACTCGCATCTAAAAAGTAAAAAAAAAAATCATTGTGCCACCATTTCTTGCTTTTGCGGTCTATTTCATATAGTCCTTTCAGTTGATCAATCAGTCGACATATCCATATTCTTATTGTATGAAATAATGCTGTTTGGGCACAGTACTTTTTTTGTTGTTGTTGTTGTTATTGTTTTTCCATCTCGTTCTTTTCTATTAATTTCTTTCATTTCAGTTGCCTTTTCCAAGCAAGACAGGATAGGAACGGATCTTTTATCCTTCCATTTTATGCAATAAATTGAATCATCGCTAAATGAAAAGTCTATATATTCTCTTGACATAAATTTGTCTTTTAAATTTTTGGGTAGATACTTCCGATCCATATTTACAGTGCCACGTGCTTAGATGGGTCTGTGTCTTTAAAAAGCGAAACAAATTATAACTACTTCCCTTTCTTCTTCAGCAATAACTTCAACCTCAGTTATTCTCTCCTGGATTTCAATTTCATCTGAATCAGAACTGAAATCTGAAGCATTTGAGTCGCAATTGGATGGCAATTCAGCAAAAAGATCCAAAGCTTCCTGAGTTGTTAATTTTTTTTCTAGACATTTTAGCACATCAGAGCATACAACGGATGTAAAAGCGCGCGAAATCAAGAAAAAATAGATGCAAAAAAGAAAAGAAAAAATAATTGTGAGTGCTGCCATCTATTGAGTGGAAATTCATGTGTGTGGTGGGACAAATTTTAACCCACTTATTTCAACTGCAAAATTAATGTTATAAAATATTGAATCCAATTAATATTTTTGAAAATAAAATACCTTTGAATATTAAAAAGAATCATACATATCATAAATGGTATACCAAAATTTTTAAAATATTGAAAAATGCGAGATACATGGATATCACTCTTGTGATCCTATTTTGAATATTTTTTGCTTATAAACTTAAGCCCTGGTATAGTAGTAACATCTACTGAGAAAAATAATAACTAAAATAGATTGTTTTTAAAAGATTAGAAAATTTCTAACGGAAATTGCTAACTGAGAAAGTAAATATTAATTAGGTGGGACATATATTGACCCACCATGCCACAAAGGGTTAAAGCAAGTAATTATTCATTACATTATAGCTTGCCTGAAAACTAATTCTGGTAAATATAAAATATATAATTGAATTATTTTTACTATGTAGTGTTACAGATTTTTTTAATGGCTCATTAATTTATTACTGTGTTTACTAATTATAGTTCTTAAAATTATGTAGACTTTATACAGATTAGTGACTTCAAAGTTTTATTTCAAGAAAACATTACTTTTGTTGTTTGAAATAAGATAAACTATGACTGATTTTCTTAATGTGCATTTTATTTTTCAAATACACTTTTATTATTAGTTGTTTTTTCTGTATGTATAATATTTTGTTTTCACTATTAATGTGGTGTACAGTACAAAGTCCCTAATCCGGACTCGTTGGGACTTCAGCGATTCCGGATTAGGGTTTTTTTCCGGATTATGGATCATCAATTTAAATTTGGTAAGATGGCATGCAGAAATTATACAATTAAAAATATGAAACCGTAATTTATGAAATAAAGAGCAATTATGATCTAAAGGGTATCAAAATTTACAAAAAGAAAAAGCTTAATATTTATTTACTTTCTTAAACATTTCTTTCAATGCAAGTTGTTTAAGTTGCTTCGTTTTTTTTGCTAATACTTTCTCTTTAATTCTATAAACAGACATAATTTCAGACAAAGTTCCACTGTTCAAGTCCTGTAATTGCTGTGCCGAGAATACCGACTAACTTGTCAATCGAAATTTTTTCGTTTTCACTAACCTCTCTGTCACTTTCTTCATGCCTTTATCCAGTTTTTGCAGCAATTCCACTTTTTGTTTGATTAACATCGAAACATGCTTTCGCTTTGTAGATGCTTTGGCAGCTCCAGAATTGGAAACTATTTTTGACATAATCAAAAGTTCAAGCTTAATTTGTATAAAATTGCTCTAACAGTCTGCAAAAAATAATAAGCAATTAGAAGATTAAGGATCCAATTAGAAGATTAAGGAACAGCGCAATCTGGAACATTAACTGAAGTAAATAATTAGATAATTTTAGCCTAGCTTATGCCGTCTGTTATACATTAAACGCGCATGCATAAACGCACATAGTTTGTAGCTTTGAGGATTATGGACGTCCAGATTAAAGACTTTGTACTGTATTATAATCTTTACAAATTGCATTTCTATAAACATGGGAAAAAATAAAAAGTTTATACATAATATTTGCTTACTTGCATAATGTTAATGGTTTAATTTTATTTTTCCTATTTTTTCTTTAATGTTTATGTAACAATATTTATCAGAATTTAGTTTTTGTAATGCAGTTTATTTGATAACAGTATATCTAGTCAAGATGATTAAGATTTAAATTTTGGACATTTGCAGATATTCTGTGTTATTCTTCTAGTGGTTTGGTGAAAGCTACCTATCGTGGCATTCAAAGATATGTAAGTTACAAAATTTATATTGTATTGAAATAAAAATGTAATTTCCCATTTTTTTAAAGATTTTTTAAATTGGTTAAAAATTGCTGTAATGCCTTCATGTTTTCAACTAAACCAGATTTAACTGATGCTATAGAGAAAAATAATACTGAATTCTGAGTCGAGATATCTGCCAGCTGCACTTTTTTTCATATAATCTTTAAAATAGTGTCATCATTTAATTTATAATGCAAGCAAATCACGTTGTGCACAAAAATAGTATACATGTGCCAGCATTTGTATGTTGTGCATGAAGCTGTATGTTGTGCTGTATGTGCAACAGCTGTATTTTGTGCATGAAAATACTGTACACTTGACTTTTAAGTGGTAATATACATATTTATGGATTATATCAAAATTTGCCTTATATTAGAGGGGTTCCTGGAAAGTGAGTAGGCTGTTAGTAATAGAAGCATTAAACTTACTGGGGGAAAGGCTGGGAAGTACATTTCAACTGAAGATTTGCCCTTTGTCATTCAATATATTTCAGATGAATTTTGATACTGGAGACTTTATATATTTCTTACCCTTATTTGCCTTAGTTTTGGTGCTTTTATATGCTATGCATTTTTTGTTACCAAACTGGTTTTTTTTATCACATTTTTTCTAGAGAAACACTAGAATCGTAAGATATTTACTAATTTAAAAGGGACAATTCTAATAAAAATATATTACAGTAACTTCACTTTAAAAGCAATAATTCTAATAAAAATACAGTATAAAGCTATTCAGTATAAAAATAATTTCTATAAATGCTAATTTTTTATCGGGAGGGGGGGGGAATGAGTTTTTTGCTTTCCAATTGGATTGGTGTATTTTCTTCTTTGAATGAAAATAAAGACATGAAAGAGAAATCTTTTAATTTATTCTATGAAAATAGATCCAAAGATAAGATAAAAATAGAGAAAAAATAGTGTTTAAATTTTGTGTTTCAATTTTTGTAAGGAAAAGGCCCAGTCATGGTTTATCTGAAACATTCTGGTGTCAGGAGTGGCTGTGGCCAAAGCAGTTTGGATAAACAGAATTCTGTTCTGTTAAAAATTAGTTTCTTTTAGCTTTTTTTTATTTAATGTATTTGTAAAATCTATTATTTTTGTGTATGTATTTGTAAATAAATTATGAATTTACCTTAAACAGTGCAGTAGAATGTATTATACTACGATTGCAAATCATTATTTATTCTGTACCTTTTGCTAGCTTTGTTTTTTTGTGTGAATGATGTTCAGAGTAAGTTTTTTTGGGGGGATGGGTGAGTGGGGGTGTTCTTTCTGATTATCCACATTTTCATCAGAAAGTTTGTGCTAACAAGTTTGTGACTTTGAAAATTATTCATGAACTCATAGGCAACCCATTTTTCACCAAACTAATGTGCCAAAGGCAAGAGCCATTTTCAAAATGGTAGTGCACTAAGAATTCCATAAAAGAGCAATCACTCAATGAAATTAAAGTAAGAAACATAGGTAATAAATTGAATTAGTTACTTTTTTCAAGAAATCTTTTTGTACTTTTTGTGGGACAGCAGCATTGTTGTTCTCCATCTGCTTTCACTAAAAAAGTGTTGTGGAATTGGATAAATTTGATACTGCGTTCTGGCATGCAATAAGTGAAGCAAATAGCTATTGTAAATAAGGTGTAACTATCTTTAAACCAATTTCTGACCAGCATTCTAACACTTTGCTTGCAATTTTTCATATTGCATTTCCATAAAATTTGAAATTGAATAAAATTTGAAATTGAAGAGCCCACCAGCGGCTGAGCGGTAAAGTCGCTGATCACTGGTAGTTCGGTCCGAGGTTCGAATCCCATGACCGGGCTGGCTGCATGGGTGTTTTCGTGGTTTTCCCCATGTGTAACGTGTGTACGAGCCAGTTTCCCTTAGAAAATCCTCCACGAAGGCATCCCTCCCCTTAGGCAGATATCTCTCGAGGCTTTGCTGTAATTAAATAACCTAACCTAACTTCACCATTTAAGATGTATAATTTCACAGAACGTAAATTTTTGCTTCTCAATTGTTGGTTAAAATGCCATATTTTTGCGGAAATGCAATGCTTTTTTTTTTTTTTTTTTTTTTTATCAGCTGGCAAACTCCTTATTCTCACAATAATTCATTACAAGAGAAAGGAATATACTCAATGCAAAAAGAAACACTAATCAGAGAAATAATAGTTGAATTTCAAAAGTGCAAATTTACATATGCTAAGTGTATATTTGGGTTGCCACATAAGTACTTTTTGGTGACATTTTGGGTTGCCATTTAACTATTTTGTTGACTTAACTACATTGCTTTTTGGTGGGAGTGTAGGTAATCAGAAAGTATCATTTTTCTCTTCCCCCCCCTGGTCTGATTTTGTGGGCAGGGTAAAAGATGAGAGACTTTTAGATGTTATGCTCTAAGTCACCTTAAACAACGTTGAGTTGCTGCATTGGTGTGAAATGTCAAAGAATAAATCTGATAGACGACTTCTGGATGCTTTTACCTGAGGTCGAATCATTGGAAAGACTGAGGAAGGTCGAAGTGTGACAAGTGTGGCTTTGGAGTTTGGGATTGTTCACAGCATTGTTTCATGACTTTGGGCAGCATTTCAAACTACAGAAACTGCTGTCTGATGGTTCAGCAATGGTCATTAACAAGCAACACAGCAGTGGATGACCGGTATATTGCTCTATAGACAAGAAGGAACAGTCAGCAAACAGCGGGATAAATCTCAAGACACATGGAACAGGCGATTGGATGTGGAGGCTGTACAGTGGTGGCCTTTTTGTATGACGACCTGTACGGTGTGTATCATTAACCCATGCTTATCGGAGAAGGCATTTTCTGTGATGCAGGGAACACTAGAATTGAATAGATAATTAATGTGGCCGAGTACTCTTTACGGATGAGAGCAGATTTAGTCCGAGTTGCGATTCTAGATGCATACACATCTGGAGAGAGCAGGGTACACACAATAACCCCTTCAATATCATCAAAAGGGACAGTTTTGGAGGTTGCAGAGTTGGGGAGACATAATGCTTGGTAGCCATACCAATCCTCAGATCTTCCAAGGAGGTTCAGTCAACGGAGAATGTAATGAGGTTCTTCTTCCTTACATGCGTCTTTTCAGAAGTGCTATATGGATCCTCATTTCCTCTTCATGTGCGACAACACTCCATCTCATTGTGCAGTTGCTGTCAAAGTGTTGTTGGAGAGTGAGGATATTGAACATGTGGATTGATCGGCAAGGTCTCTAGATCTAAATCCCATCGAGTATGTATGGAACTTTATAGGCAGACGTGTGGCAGCATGTAACTTATCACCAGTAATGGAGCTGTCATTACGGAGCTGTGATTGGTGCTGCTAGAGGAATGGGCAGCAGTGCTTTAGCAACTCATTGACAACCTCATATTCAGCATGGACAAATGATGTGAAACCTGCACAGCAGTCAGAGAAGATCACATTCCCTACTAAAGGGTGGATGTTTCTTGCTGGACACCTGTTACATGGATGTTTCGGCCTTCTGTTGCATGCTGCTTTTTCTCATGATGAATAACCTCATTTCTTCATCTGGTGCATATCTAATGCTGAAAAATTCATCCAGAAGCTGGAGTATTCTTGCTTTTGTTTTTGTTTCAGATTGCTTCTGTAGAACCTCCCATGCTTTTTTACCACTTGAACATTTGTGTATCAATGGCCCAAACTCGGATTTAATTCCATAATATAACATAGTGAAGACTCTATTTTCTGTCAGTGTGAAATCCTGTTTTTCATGCTTTGTTGCATTTTTATTTAGTTTTTTTTTCTTTACCTTCTCTGAAGCTCCAACAATTTCTATCTAGCAACAGTATCTTTATATTGACTTTCCATTGGTCCCAGTTATCATGGTTTAACACTTCAAATTCCTCTGGTAGTAATGACATCTTCAGTTATGTGTGAGTATAACCGCTTGAACCAACTTCTCTAACATGTCAGTTTCCTTTCGTAGATAATGGCCCTCTTCACTTACATTTCTTCAATGCCAAGTTTAACTGGGCCCATAACCTGTTGGCTTCGGAGTTGTAGCAAAAGTATACTTTGCCTTGCTAAAATAAAAACCAGACTCATTTAAAATAAAACTAATGTTTATTTTATAATTGAAATTAAAACAACTAGGCTGCAACAGTAGCCTTTACATTAAAACCAATAAAAAAAAATGAATCCTCTTATATTCACCAATCCCGGCATATAAATAATAATTAGCAGCAAGTTCACCATTAGTACATTATTCCCTAATCAGACACAACCACGTTAGTTTATTGTGAATGACCTCTGATCCAATTTGCATGAGGAAATACAAAACATTTTAAGTCAACATTAATGATGTAGAGGTAGATTGATTTTTGAGTTATGTATTTATTATGACTTTTCTTTGTAGTGGCTGTATTGATTTTAGAGTTATCTGTTCGTTGTAGTCGTAAACCTGTTTATTGTATACTTTTTTCATATACATTCATATACATGTTTATTGGGATTTTTCCCATAGATGCTGTCTTGATTTTAGAGTTAATTATTTATTGTGACTTTTTCCCATAGTTGCTGTCTGAAATGGCCAAACTGGGTCCTCAAGTTTTAATTAATCCTAAGGATATGTATTCATCTTTGATGGTAACTGGCTTGGTGGATGCTTGCAGTGATGCTGATGCTGTGCCTTTGGTAACAGAAACGCGATTTAAATTTTTTTTTTTTATGATTGTCTTTATGTTTGATAATACTGTATTTCTCTAGTTCTAAACTTACACTTATTGTATGATATCACCTGTTGTTTAAATGTTCTAATGTCGTAAGTTCCGAGTATTATAATATCAATTTCTGATAATGGTAAAAAATCTGAAAGTTTTGGTCCAAACCACAACTAATTATAAAAGGAACAATATACACTTGATTTTGCTTAAATTTTGGGGGAATCATGAATTCTATTAAATGTACTGCATGAGCAAATTCATTATGTTCAGTTACTACAGCAAAATATTAGACCATTCTGTACCTTTAAAAAAAATTGCCAAATATTGACACTTTTATTAAGCCTTGGCATGTAAGCCAAATTATATTGTTTCATGGAAATCAAAAATGACATATATTCCACTCTATTGATTTCCCTCTGCCTTTTGCTTATATAAGATTCTGGTATTTTGAAATCGGAGAAATATAGTATTTTAAAATTTTTCATTTGAAAATTATAATATCTTATAGCTTTTAATTTGTTAAACATATTTCTTATTAGTGTTAAAAATGGGAATTTATTTTTCTTTAAATGCTTTTTCTTTCATGTTTTTACAGCTTACACAAAGAGAAACACTTTTACAACTAGCACTTGAATATCACTACCCATATTTCTTTGTGAAATGTTTGAAAGAATGGCGATATTCTGGTATGTTATTTGCATATACTTTTTTATCACACTTATATACTTTTTGATGTATGCGTATTCATAGGTATAGGAATGCAAGGGAAAAAAAAAAAAGTTTATCAGCTGAATTATGGTAAATCACTTTCTAATAAGTTATGATTTGTATTTTTAGCATCATAAGATCATCGGTTTTTCCTCTTCCTAGTTTTCAGGACTTGTCTTCTCTGAAATTAACTTTTTTTCCCCTTTTTTCCCTTGAGTTTTTACATTTTAGTATTTGGATGCTTTCAAAATTTCACAAGTAAAGAAAAGTTCATTACGCTGGTATGCATTTTGTCTATAAGGGATTTTTTTTTAATACAGAGGGAAGTCATCATATTAATAATTTTGATTTAGATCTAATTAATGTAACTATTTAAAACTGTATATGAAAAACTCACATTTTTTATATATTAAAGAGAATTTATTTTAGATTCGGTGCATGAATGTTGTACCTCAAGAGCATTATTGAACTGGGTTTGGAAAAGTGTGAAAAATATTAAAAGCTCCATTGACAAATTAAGTGAGTATTTCAGTTTCTGTATTTAAAATGTGCTTTATTTTATTTTTATACCAAGCAGTAAATAATCTTTCAGATCAAAATTCTGTTATTACTATTTCAGTAATTTAAAATAAAAGAAGAAAAAATTCATACTCAATTTTTTCCTCTTAAATCTATATCAAGTCTGACAATGTTAATATTAGGCTGAAGCTTTTTATATCATCAGAAGCATTTTTGTATCAAATGTATGAAGAAATTTGGGATTCTTACCATTCTTGCATCTTCTATAGCTATATCATTTCTAATTATTCATGGTTGGTGATTCTTTACCTATTTGATATTTTAAGCCTTCTATTAATAAAATATTATGTTATATATTTTATAGGTTTACCACTGTTTAATTGCTGTGGTTTTGATATTGATGGATCATCATTGAAACATCTGTACTGTTACAAACGACAGTTAAATTTTATAGATTCTGTAATATCTGCTTACCAGGAATATGTAACACCAAGAACAGAGCAAGGTATATTTCTTTAAACTATTTAACTTATATTGTAAAAGACTAAGTGAATAAACTTTTAAAATGGTCAGGTTTAGAAAATTAGAACTGTATTCACTGTTTAATAGGCATTTGATTATTCATGGTTTAAGGGCCCACCACGGTTGAGAAAGTAAAGTCACTGAGTACTGGTAGTTCAATCCAGGATTCAAATCCCAGTGAACGGGCTGGTTGCATGGATGTTTTTGTGGTTTCTCCCCATGTGTAACATGTATACGCGTTAGTTACCTTTAGAAAGTCCTCTATAAAGGCACCCTTCCCTTAGACAGATGGTCCTCGAGTGCTTTTCCGTAATTAAAGAAACCAAATCATGGTTTTAAGCCTATTCATTAGATGAAATATCATTACATTCTTGCTAAAATGTAGCATGTAAGAATTTCTGTACATTCTTGTTGAAGGACAAATAAGATAGGCAATGTATAAATTCCACCTTTTATTGGGCCCACCAGCGGCCGAGCGGTAAAGTCGCTGAACACTGGTAGTTCGGTCCGAGGTTCGAATCCCGCGAACGGGCTGGCTGCATGGGTGTTTTCGTGGTTTTCCCCATGTGTAACGTGTATACGAGCCAGTTTCCCTTAGAAAGTCCTCCACGAAAGGCATCCCTCCTCTTAGGCAGATAGCCCTAGTGTGCTTTGCCATAATTAAATACACCACCACACCACCTTTTATTGTAATAAATACTAAGAAATAAAACAGGAACTTTATTTGTAAAGTTTCAAATTCATTAATAAGGTTGCCAAAATAATAACATGGATTACTTGATAATTATTAGATTTGTTTAGCAGTAACATTTTCTTTACAAAAAATGTTATAATGTTGTATACCAATTATACAGTAAATCCTCATTGACACAAATCTCAAGGGACTGAGAAATCAATAGTTCATGTTAAAAAAATGCGTGTTAATTGGTAGCTCAAATTTTATTTTTGGTATAATTTTTTCTACACATTAACCATTATGTAGTAGTTATGTAAGTACTCTATTATATTATCCATGTCATCATAGAAAACGCTACAGTACTATATCAATTACTGTACTAGAAAAAATTGCATTCGGTAATTTTTTGACAAAAAATTACTGTAAATAGCACTGTTGCAGACAGTAATGAAAATGCCTGGTAACTTCTTGGCCAGCCATACTCATGACTTCCATAAAACTAAATTTCAATTTAGATGCTGCAGCAAAACATTCTACAGTGTCCAAGGTGTGCAATGTTTCTTGTTTGGTGGGCGGAATGGTAATATACTCTTTACTTTCTTCTGATGACATTCCTTGCACCTGAGACACAACTGCTTGCACATCAGATTCCACTGATGCACACACAGCAAGCAGCACTGCCATGTGCACTACCAAACAGCTCAAAAATAATATGAGGATTGATTCATTAGGAGAAGTAGCATCGTTGCTCTCCATCTAACTTATAAACAGGGATTAGCGTTTTTATGCCTCCAGTTCTGCTAAAACAGTTCTGTATGTGTTGTGATGACCTGGGTTTTCAGAGTGGGGCAATAGCTTTTATTGCATCAAGCACACTTGAAATTAGCATTTCCGTCTCCTTTTCAACAACACAAATTGCAGCTTTCAAAAGTCACTTGTGATAAGACCTTTTCACAATTGCAATAATGTCTGAATCTAAAGGCAGAAGATGACTTGTTTCATGGGGAGTGAACCTTTACATTGGTTAAGTTCAAATCATGTGTATTATGAACTGTACACTTGCCCAGTGTCATAAAAGGTTTTCGATTACATGGGACAGAACATTTCCGAATGCATCCATAGCAGAGAAACAACAATACAACAGGGGAAAAATATGGCAAACTTCCTGTTTAATGACAAAATCTAATGATGCAACAAACTAAAAAACAGTTAATAATTTGGTGCTAACTGAATTTAGTGTTAACTGATAAAACTTCCTTTAAGGTCATATACATCATTGCTGGGACCGAAATTTGTTCATATTAACTGAGTGTTTGCCTCAAGTGAATTTGTGTTAGAAGGATTAACTGTATAAAAGCATTATCTAATATCTCCCGCCCCAGAATTTATCAATAATCTGAAAATGATTACAATATCCAAAAATATTTTCCATCATAAATTTATAACATTTGAGCTTGATAGTTCAGTTTTGCAAGGGTTGAACGCCTTTTCCATCACCAGTTCTGAAACATCAGTGAGTAAAGGAATTTGGAGCAAATATTTTGTGTGCATTCAGAATCACAGACATTTTTAGCAGTAGATCTGCCCATAATTTGTTTTCCATAAGCTTCTCTCCCTTCTTGTAATATTTTTTGAATAACAAATGACCAGTAAGTGGCTAAGTGGGTAAAACTGCAGAACACTGATAATTCAACTTGGTTATTCATTCTTGTTCTCAGTGCTTAAATGTGATGGCTGTGTAACATTTTTGTCATGTCTCTGTTAAGATATCTGTCACCACAGTTAGATAGCATTAGTATAAAGTAATTGAAATAATTTAGTCCTTTTATGTAATAATTTTGTTAATTAAAATTTGAGGCATCATTGTAAGAAATTTCACTTTCTGTTCAATGCTAATTTTCATCCTTCTTGAGTGTCTCAATTTCTTCAGTGGTTGCTCAATTCACTTTCAGTTTTATTGACTATTCATTTCTCTCTGATGTCCTTCCATCTGCAGTAAATGATAGTGTGCAGGGCTATAGTTAACCTACTAATCACAAAATAATGTGACATGATTTTTAGGCAGATCATGAGTTATGTATTTGTTACATCATAAGATTATTATTTTCTCCTTACAATATTAATGACAGTGTCCAAAAAAAGCTATTTCTTCCCCTCAAATGGTTGAATAGCCATTATACAATGGGTAGGGCAGAAAATGTAAGGATTTTGATTGGCTATATACTCATGTATTGTTTCCGTCCTTCCTTGAGAATGCAACATTGGTCTGTCTTTTACCTTAAATGCTTGGCAGCATTCTGAACAATGAGGTAGTGAAGTAATTAATAGGTCCAACCATTTTCTTATAATTGCAAATTAGCAAATGCTAGACCATTGCAAAAATGATCTTCATAAGTTGGATTATAAGTAATATTGACATGAACCTGTCTTTGTAGCCAGAGTAAAACAGTGGTTTTCTTATACAAACATTTTCTGAATTTTTTATACTGCAGTTAGGTGTGGTCTCGCAGATCCTAAAAATTCTGCTTGAAAATTTCATAGGTCAACTGGAAAGTTTACTGCTTGACAGGGAAGGAGATATAGTAAGTAAGCTGATATATTATATGCATTCTATATAAGCCCCTTGTAGTTGAATGCACTGTTCTCAGCAATGCTTCAGTTTTTCTAACCCTTTGCAAGAATGTTTACCCCATTGGTGGTGTATAACCAGTTGTGTACAGCATCTGTCAGGATTCGTATGGTTCTTAAGAGTCCTTAAAAGTCTAAGTTTTTTTGGAATCGATTTTTGTCCTTAATTAAAAGTCCTTAATTTCGGCCAAAATTGGCAGAAGGTCCTTAATTTTAATAATTTGAAATTTCTGTCTGTTTTTATGAAAGCCATTTTGAGTGGGAATTAGCATTTTGCAGCAATATTTTTGGTGATTCACTGACAAATATGGTTATTTTTTGAATGGGTGAATGGGTTATAATTTGTTCCTATTTGTAATATAACTGGTGGGATATTCGAGTTTCTGAGCAAGAAGTGAAACATAAGCATTTCGAAATTATTTCATTTTTCATTTCTCAAGGAAGAGCTCTCAAACAACTTTCCACTTTTGGGGATGTGAATTCTTTTATTAAATGGTTCTAAATTTGACGACTTATCAACATTTTATCGATTTTAAGATTGGTTTCTATGGGAAATTTTTAATTCCAAAATCTGGGACTTTTTTGCTGACTTTTTTAGAACATTCTAACACTGATAAATTTCATTAAAATAATGGTAATGTACTGGAATTACATTTAAGAAATAACATTAAAATAAAGCATTTTTATTTTTCACTGTCATATTATAAAGTTCCATTTTGGCCACATATTATACAGTGTTTTGAATCTGAAAAATAAGCAAGGTATAATGGTATAAAGCACAATTTACAAAACAGTTTTTAGCAAAAGCAAAATAGCTATGTAATTAATTAAAAACATCTTTTTAATTTTTTCATGGTAAGAGTTTTCCCATTTCTCAGAATGATTAGAATTCTCAGAATATGCATTAGTTTTCCCTTTCTCTACTTTTCATTAGACACAAGCATGGAAAATATCAAAAATGCTTCTAATCTTATCATATAGATAAGCAGTATAGAAAGGAATAATTTTATTAATAAAGAAATTGAAAACTGGCAATTCAAAAGATTCATCTAATATGTCTTAATGCATCATACGCTATGCATTTTGCCACCTGATGCAGTCTCTGTGGATCCTAAATTATGCTGCCTGGTGCCTTTTTAAATTCTGAAAGTTTTGTCATTTCTAGATTTTGTTGTTCAGTGTGTCACTAAATTTTAAAAATTATGCCACACCAACTCTGTAACCAGACCTTACCATACGTATTTCATATTTCTTCTGAATTTTCGTATTACTAAAGAAATAAAATTAGCAGTTTTTTCCATACATATAAAGGCATTTTGTCTTTTAGAATAACAGAAATCTTTAATTAATTCCAAAAATTCTAATCCAAAAATAATTATTTAAAAAAATCCAAAAGTGAAAAGGAAATGTATTGAAGAAACAAACTAAATATGTAAAGAGAAAGAAAATTATTCTTCAGAGATATGTAGTTATTATTATATAAATTACCCAATTGTTAACAATTTCAGCCTTTACTATAATTTCTCATTTCTATTTCCTCAACAGAATGCAAATCACTGAGACAGTTTTTAAACTGAGGTTTTTGGAGTGTAAGACAAGAGTGTGTTTCTGACCTCCACTTGCTCCCTGTATTAGTTCCTATCAGCTCTGATAATTTCCATTACCGCTGCTAACATTTGAGTTTATTATGATGATAGAGTTATTGAACCAGATTAAACTGAAATTAAATTGACCACTAGTCCATATTTTTAGTTTGAATTTGACTCTTCTTCTTTAATTACATCACCACGAGCTGTAATTGGTTTTGTTAGCATAAGAACATGCCTTTATGTTCTAAGTTCTTTTCAAATAAATAAGAAACTTATTTAAACCTCTGATTTATAGTTACTTTCAGACATAGCCATAATTTGTTTCACGTCTGTAAGGGCCTTGGACTACTTAACTTTTACCAGATCAAGTAAACCCTCATAGGTAGTACATTGTGGAGAGGTTGACAGTTAGGAGATAAAACAGGCAGAAACTAATGAGAACATTGTTTTGCATATTGAGACAAATTTCTAATGTTAAAAAAGATGCTTAAGGAGAAGGAAAATCGATATGAAATAGCCAATATCGTCTGGACAGGCCTTCATTAATTAAAAAGACGCATAATTGTTTTGTTTTCTTGCTACAAAACATAAAATTTTAATGGGTAATTATCCTTAATGTGTTTAAAAATCAATGTCATAAATTGCATGTATTTTTAAACTGTGAAATTTTATTAGATTGTGATATTAATATGGTTTTTTTTTAACAAATATTATTAAAAAATAAATTTTAATTTGATAGTGTCTATGTAAATCCATATGACTAAGGTTATCTAATGCCTAATTTAATTACTTATAACTTGTGCTTACCCTTAAAAATTATCTTTGCATATTAAAGCAAGTTATTGGCTTTCATTAACCTTTACAGTGTTCACAAGGTAAAACACAAAAATATAAAAATTTATATAAAACTTATTCTTCGCATCTAGCGAAACTTAAAATCATGCAAAACAACTTATCAACCTTTAGTGCTTTAGTGGCTTAATAGAACCTTAAAGTATATTAACTGAGTTACAACTCCTGGAACTCTACACGAAGCTACGGCACTAACTGCGTCAGACAGAGCTCAGCTAACTTTCAAAACTTACTTAACTGTGCCTACATCAGGCCTTTCAGGTTTGTTCTGATCACCAGGTCTCTCTAGGCAAGCAGGAGCAGTGACAACAGCCAGTCTTTTGTTATGAATCATATTGTTATGATTTTAATGCTCATTTTAACCTATGCTGTTTGACATAAAATCTACTTACTATTTACTAAACCTCTAGACTGAGCAAGTATGTGACAAAATGAGACATTAAAAATAAAAAAGCTAACTGTTAGTAAAATGTAACTAAAATGTCACTTATCTTCTTTCAAATATGTCCAGTTATTATAAATGTAAAATATTGAATGCTACTTGATAAATTTCATATTTATTTTATTAATTTAGAAGTCAAACAACAAAAATCAGCGTTATATTTTCAAATTTTCACAGTCTGTGAAAATTTGAAAATACACATTTTGTGTTTTTCTTCATTGTCATATATGGTATATTTAATAATTTAAAAATAGTAATTGGTATAAAAATAAAAGCTGAATCTTCCTTCTCTTCCTCAATTTACAGATGTATATTCTTCTGTTTTTGTGATTTAAGTAGAAATCTAAAGCTTGAAAGAGGCTTTTAAGTTTCGTGTAGAATGTGTTAAAAAGTAGCATTATTTTGAGAATAATGCTTATAAAAATGAGCAGTTCCTTCATTTTTTTTATGAAAATGAGCCTGACCATAGTTTATCTGAAATGGTTCCCACGAGGCTGTTCTTTTATAACTCTTGAGATCTTCAAATCTTTTATAATTCTTTTTCTCTCTAACTTTTTATGCCTCTTCAAATATTTAACAATGAATAACCTGTTGTTGACTAGAAGCTTTATTGATAATACCAGCAGTAGAAACATGTATGTTTTACATGATTAATATGTGCTATATCTTGAATTCTTATAATAAACTAACTTTTTATATGTAAAAAAGTGTATGAGTTATGACAAAGCTTTGGCAATACCCTCTAAGTGTCACATAAAGAAACAAGATTTTACTAACGGTTTTTGCTTTTTAGGCATTCAAGACTTACAGTGCAGAAAAGATGTTGTCAACTCCATCAATTTATATCTTCAAGTGTTACTGTGGTTACGCTCTGTTCACATTCTCCCGGAAGTTTGTGAAGGGGAGGAAGTTGAGGGAGCTAGTATTTTGTATCCCGTTAATTCATTAGTAGAAGCTTATGCTCTCAGGCGAAGGCAACTGCAGAGTATACATAGGTATTTAAATATTTCTTGATAATATTTAACTGTAAGATTTCGTTAAAGAAAAGTAATCCAAATATTGTTGTTAGTATAATGGAACGAGATAATTTTAGGAGGCTACTTTTTATGTGCTTAACTTGCATATATTGGGTTGGCAACTAAGTAATTGTGGATTTTTTTTAGAAAATCAAAGACAATTTCTTCATGGAACTAAATAACTTTATTCTGTAATGTATTGCCCATTTTGATCAATGACCTTTTGCCATCTTTCAGGCAGCATCATAATCCCACGTTCATAAAACTTCTGGTTTTTATTAGCAAAAAACTGAATCAGGTGCGATTTGACATCATCATCATTATTGAAATTTTTACCATTCAAGGAGTTTTGTAAAGATCGAAACAAAAAGTAATCAGATGGTGCAAGGTCAAGACTATATGGTGGATGTGGCAAAACATCCCAACCAAGCTCCAATAATTTTTGCCGAATGACCAAAGATGTGTGTGGCCTTGCATTGTCATGATGGAATACAACACCTTTTCGATTTGTCAATTCGGGCCGCTTTTCTTCAACTGCATTGTTTAATTTCGTTAGTTGTTCAATGTAGACATCAGAATTGATCGTTCGGTTGGGTGGTAAGAGTTCAAAGTAGACAATTCCTTTGTAATCCCACCAAACTGATAACAAAACCTTCTTTTGATGAATATCAGCTTTTGATGTTGTTTGAGTTGGTTCACCTGGCCTGCTCCACGATCTTTTCCGCTTGATATTGTTGTAAACAACCCATTTTTCATCGCCAGTTATCAGTCGTTTTAAAAATGGATCATTTTCATTACGTTTCTTTAGCAAATCGCAGCTGTTAATGCGTTGCGTTAAATGCGTTTCTTTCAGTTCAGGAGGAACCCATGTATCGAGTTTTTGAACATAGCCAAGTTGTTTTAAGTGATTTTCAATGCATGTATGTGATACATGAAGCTTCTCTGCAATCTCACGTGTTGTACTGTGACGATCCGAATCGATTATTGCTTTGATTAGGTCGTCATCAACTTCAACTGGACGACCAGAGCGTTTTTCATCTTTGAGTGAAAAATCACCAGAACGAAATTTGGTAAACCAATTTTGACATTGCCATTCTTTTAAGGCTTCGTCACCATAAACAACACATAACTTTTTATGAGCTTGCGATGCGTTTTTCCCTTTGCGGAAATAAAAAAGCAAAATATGACGAAAATGTTCCTTTTGATTTTCCATTTTTCAACGAACGCCAAACGAAAACTATACAACCGATCAAAAAACTTTTTTTACTGATTGACAGCTGAATTGCCAACTATCAAATAACAAAATGTGTTGTACATTTGTACTACGTCTGCAACCCTAAAAATTCAACTGAAGCCATCTGTGAGTGAAAATCCGCAATTACTTAGTTGCCAACCCTATATTTATAAATATGCATTTAAACTTTAAATTATGCAGTTGTTAGGGGAACTCATGGAGTATGCTTTCCGCAAATACTTTTTGCCTTTTCAAATATTTAACAATTAATAACCTGTTGGTGACCTGAAGCTTTATTCATAACACAAGCAGTGGAAAATATATGTTTTACATGATTAATATGTGTTATAATCTTGGATTTGTATAATAAACTTCCTTTTTATAGGTACAAAGTTATATATATAAATTAAAAGAAAGCATTAGCAATTTACTTATAGATTGTTACTTAATACTCAAAAAAGATTACAGAAGGTTTTAAAAAAATTATTATATATGTTTTACATAAATCTTTTTTAAATGTTTATCATTAGTAAAATAATTGAGATTATAATCTAAAATTTCCAAATTAGAATCATTTTTATTATTAATAACATTTTAAGCTTGCATCATTAATCTCTTGAAAGTTTAACAATGCGCCATTCTCAGAAAGCTAATTGTGTAGCATTTCAGACCATAATTATAACATTAATGAAAATGAATGTGCAAAATCTTTGACAGAAGATATGTTAAATGCAGTGTGGTTTTTTGTTTGAAGAAAATGTATCGGGTGTTTCCAAGCATTGCGAAGGTATGAGATAATATGACATGAAATATTCCTAACAATCAAAACAAACTAAAGTAACTGATTATATTCTGTTTAACATTTAAAATAGGGAGAAAAGAATCTTAAATAGTGTTTTACCATAATCTCCTCTTTGCAGTTTCTTCCATTTAGCAATGTTTTTGTGAGATTCTGCAATTTCATTAAGTAAAGATTTGCCTACAATAATTTAAATAATTCAATATATCACGACTTCTCTCCACCACAAAATTTATGCAGCCACACTGACAGGCACAATCACCAAAATTCTGCAACGATGGAAAAGTGCAGTAAGGATTGAAATTTTACTGAACAGCTGCCAGATATCATGATGGCTTTTTATACATGCCAGTGAGTGTTTTTTGCAATATACTGTATCATCATATGTTTGAATGCATGATAAACACATAAGGCTATAATTTGATTACTAAAATTTGGTGGCATTGTTATGTGTAAACAGAATAATATACACACTGAAAGTTTTTCATCAAGTAACAAATTTATACATGTATTACGCTTCTAGGGGGCATTCTTTGAAGTTTTTCATTACATAAGTTAAGCTAAAGCACATTGCATATAAGAAGAATAAAATTTTAAGTATGTGAAAATTAAAACATATAAATTCAAAACTATTAAGTATATGATAGTATAAAACACCACAAAAATGCTGTCACTCATCAGCTGTATCACAGTAAAGTATTCAAAGTTTGGGCATACAAACTTTTAATAAAAATGAACTGCAAATTTTATTCTGACCTAAACACACATACTATTAAAAAAAATCTGAAATGTCTGAATAAATTTGCTTAAAAGCACAAGAGATTACTTTAAACGAATAAAAACATATGTGCATGAAAAAGACTTTACTTGAAAACAAAAGAGATGACTCATAAATTCATAAAAACAATTATACGTGAATTCATAAAAGATATGCTTTTGCAAGCACACAGTATGATACAGTACACAAGAAAAATGTAAATGCTGGCTAATAAAAGAAATCAGTGAAAATAAATACCATAACTATCTGATTCTTTGATTCAGAATGTAAGGACTAAGGAAACAAACCTATATTTCACTTTTTTTAATAGCACAGCTTTAGATGTCACAGTTTATATTGCTTAAGCTACTCCAACGCAGACGATGTAAATATTGAAATAGTCCATTTCACTTATTTCGCAGACAGATTTTTTTTTTTTTTAAGCACCAGAGGTGCTGTAAGACTGAAATATGCCTTTTTTGTTTTTATGTTCTTATCACTTTTCAGATGTTGCCACCAAATGTTGCTGTCATTTTTTTTAAGTAATAATATAGCAGATATGGGAAAAAATACATGGCAGTGCAAATAAAAAAATGCTTGTCATCAAATGTATTATTTTTGAAGAAATTGTAATTATTTTATGTATTATGTTAAAAAATAATATAGGGACAGTAAAAAAGAATTATAGCAAAATTTAACATTTTATCAGGAATTCTAGAGGTATCCAATATAAAATGTTTTTAACTTTCATGTGCCAATGTATTGCCACGAAGAAAAGCATAAGGTATCTAGTTTTTTTTAAAAAAAATTATTGTGTCTATTATTGATTAACAAACTAAGTGATTTAAAGCAATAAACACAGTTTTTTTACTCTTTTATTAATTACCAGCTGGACCTGTGAAAGTTCATTAGCTGGATTTATTTTTTATAGTTACTTTTTAGGTATTTGGCTGTTCCAGTGGATTGTTATTGAAAAGTGAAATGGACAACAAATGTGAGGTTTGAGAATAATTTCCCTTCTGTGCAAAATAGTTTACGGCAACTCTTAACACTGTATCAAGGATTCTAGATATAGGCTGTTTTTAAACATTTTATGATTTTTGTTGTTGAATTTTATGTGGCACAAATACAAAGAAAAGATGTTTGATAATAAAGTTAAAAAGAGGGGAAAAAAATCTCTGTCAGCCTGAGTGAGTCTAAAAGAAGATAGATAAATTGCAAGCTCAGTAAGATTATAAGAACCTTAATAAATTCTCTAGTGGGATGATAAAATTCTGAATCCCCCTTCTTTGTGAGGAACTGCCATTTTTTTAAAATGGGGCTCTATGTTTAAATATTCACTCTATGTTGTGAAATATTAAAATAATTTTATTTTTGTTTATTTACAGTTCTATAGGTTCAACTGATATCTTGCTTATTGATGGATTAATTGAAGAGGCTGATGTTAGTAATACCTGGCAAGAAAAGGGAGGGACATATACTTATCCTCCGCCAAGTATTTATGCTGCTGTCAGCTGTTATCTCGTCGAAAGTGTCAGTACCGAGTTGATCCATGCCATACTTTATTACCTGCTGCTTGACATATATAATTTTTCCTCTTCTAATGGAAATGATTTGTCAGACAGTGGATTAAAGAAATTTCCCATCATATTTGGTATGTCTCAAAGTATGGAAAAATTGATAGAAGCCTTTTGGTTTTTAGATCGCCAAGATTTTGAAGTAAGTATAAGGAACAAAAAAGACTTAAAATATACCAGAATAATTCATTTGTTTTTCACATTTGAAATATTAGGTTTTTTTATTGTTCTAAATTGAAATTTTGCTTGTTAACTTGACATTAACTTGATAGTGTAAGTTAATTTTTGTTAATCCTGTAATGAAAAATGTAAAAATAACTAAAGCAACTGTTATTTGATCACAATATATGGTATAATTAAAATAATTTGTGTCACAAAACTTTGAAGAGTTTCTAGCTTGTGAATGAATTTAACAGCTGCCTGAATCTATTAATAGGTTTATGCTTTTGCTATTTAATCAACTGTATGGAAGTATATTTACTATGAAGATTAAAATTTTGACTGTAATATGTCTAAACGTTTTCAGTTTATAGTCAGTAAGTGGCAGAGGAGAAATGTCTGAAAAAATAGTAAGCAATTCCTAAAGCTGGAAATTATGTTACTAGGTTTAAACAAAAGTTGCAGTTAAGAAAACACAATTTTTTTAATTACTCGTCTCACAACAAATTTCCATAAAACTTCTGAATTGGACAAAATCATTACATTAAAATTCAAGACGAAAAAGAAAATATAATACTGTTAGGAAATTAACATAACATAATTTTCAAATGCAGTATTTAGCTAATCACCTAAAATGAGATGCTCTGAAGTCTAGTGCAAAATGACTGGTCATCTGAAAACAGATGCAAATATATATTCATCATCTGACTAGTGTTTTCAGTTTGTGGTTTTATAAATTGTAATAATAAGCTTTTGAATAGACCATTAACTGACAGCTGTCCATCATTAATTAGTGCTTCATTGTGTTGACATAAGAGTCATAATACATGGGGTACTTCAGCTGGAGTCTCTTCAAGTGCACTGTATCATTTTTCTACCTGCAAAGATATATAGTCAACTTCTGGTTAAATAGGTTGTGGATGAATTGGAAGCTGTCTTAAAAAAAGTAAAATATGTTTATAGCAGAATGATGGAAAAATTACTATTACAAACCATTATCATGCTACAGTAACTGTAAAATAATTGAGACTGCTGATTTTTCAACACATTTTCTGGTCACCTGCTTAATCTTCAGATTTCTTGGTTTTTAACTTTTCTGAATTGGATCATCTATTTCAATCATAGTTGAATCATAGTCATTTGCGGTTTTGCAGCTAAAGATGGTGGTTCGGTAAAACCATCGAAACTAGTCCTGTGAAAATTTTGTAAATATAACGCTGATTTTTGTTGTTTGACTTCTGAATTAGTATTTATTCGGCATGTTATTGTGTCTTAATTATAGTTGACCAATAAGCATCAAAGTAAAAGAAAGTGACATAAAAAAATTTGAATTTTTTAAAAGGGTTAAAGCACTGTGATTGTTATTTCTAAATGAAATTTGTATTGTGCAAATTCATTTTTCCCCAAGTGATTTTTCTAATAAATTTTCATTCAATCCATACTCTTTTAATCCTGACTCTTAAAATAAATGTAGAACATTTTATGAAGACTTAACTAGTGTTAATAGTTAAACATTTGTATTTAATTTTACTTTAAGGATGCAAATCATACATTATTAAGTTTATCTGCATGATTATATACACATTACTAGTTATTTTCATCATTCTTAAAAGTTCTTTAATCAATTAAACTTTTTCCCCTTTACTTCAGTTTTCACCAATATGAAAATGACAAATCAAATGCAACTAGTATAAAAAAAATGTAGAATTAGTAGATGTGAAAAATATCTTTAATTAAATATCAAAGTAATATATTATATATCAAAATCATGTAATAATTGTCAGTATCATTCTTTTATATATTGTGTCATTGTGCAGCAAGAAAATCTGCTGGTTTTTCATATATGAAGATTGACAGCTGTTCATGAAACAGAATTGTTTGTGAAAAATACTGAAAGTAAAAAAAAAAAAATGAGTGTTATAATAGCATGGGTAGCAGATAATGCCACAGTATTTGGTAGTCATTTTTTATCCGTATTACTAAGTAATTCTGTTGTAAGTTATCCAGAATATATAAGCATAAATGTTTAAAAAAAATTCAGTAACTTTTTTATACAAGTTTTAACTCAGACATTCAAATTGCTCTTAACCCTTTAACTGTCAAGTTATTTTGATGATTTGGGTACACAAATTGTCAAATTTTTTTATTGTAAAAACCAAATGTAGCCGAAATAAACATCTCCCGATATATATTCGGGTATGACAATATGATGCACTCAAAAAAAAAAAAAATTACCCCGAGAAATACTCGGGCGTGACATTTTCGAACACCAGTGCTATCTCGGGCATGACAGTTAATAGGTTAAATATTGTTCTTTAATGCAATTTACTAATTTTTTTTTCATTTCTAAAGATGTTTAGAATTTCTAAAGATATTTTCTTTGTCATTTTTTGCAGCGAGGTCTTTGTTTCGAATAATAGTTTAATTTATATCAGCAAATATATATTGAAATAATTATTGGTATTTTTAAATCACTTATAATATTAGTTATTCTTCATTTTATTTTTTAAAAACTGTTCTTGGATTAACTGGGATATTGAATTAGACAAGTATATTGTTTCCAGTATTATCCCAGGTAAACTGGGTACTGAACTGTAATTTAAACTTATTGGTATGTCTTTTGACTGAATAAAAAGTAACATTTTAGAAGATCTAGAGAGAAAAAAAGTATTTATTTTATGTATCACTCTATTTCATTAATGCCTCCAGCAGTAATCAAATAATACTTGTTATAAATGAAGAATAGAAGCATTAAAGCAGTGAACTCAACTTATATTCAAGCCAGATGTACAATCTAAACAGCTGACGGGCTGATTTTTTTAAAGTAAATAAAAAAAGATTTTAAAAAAATGAAATTATCACTTTAACCCTTTGACGGTTATGGAAATGAGCAGTTTCCGTTTACTTAATTCGCGCAGCATTAGGAGTAAACAGTAGTCGAAAGTGTCCCCCGCCGTTCTTCCGAAAATGTCACCTTTCTCTGGCGATGCCGTAGATAGCTCGCCTCGCGCGTTTTAAAAATTTCTTAAAGTATTTGTAGTACATAAATAACAGTTTTTACGTACTTTAAAATAATTATTAAACAGTAAATTATAAATGATTATAACCAATTATATAAATAATAATAGTTAATTATAAATATAAGACAAATATTAAATTGAAAGGACTAAATAAATACAACTAATGTAAAACTGTATGAAGCACAGTATAAATACAGTAATTACCTAAAAATCTTTTTGTGTGTGATATACTTTAAAACATGGAATTGCACATAATGGGGCATTATGCAAAAATGTTGGTTTCCGTAACAATATGATTTATAATCTCATCAGTAAAAAACAGCTCATACTCTAGTGGATCAGATGTATTTGTCACGCAAGCTTTCATGCCTACATCACCAGTAAAACTAAATCGGCTAGGAGCGTGAGAACTTGAATCAATTATACACCACTGTCGAACACTCGAAAAATCTTCCTCATCGCTTGAATCGTCTTCTGAGCTTGAAATACTGTGAACAAAGTCTTCATCAGATTCAAAACTTGATAAGCTTTCTGTATCACAATCATAATCATCATCATAACTATCTAACTTTTGCTTTTGAGCCATTTTACTGTACAAACACCCTAAAAACCGTGCCAAAATCCGTATAAAATGAACAAGGTAAAAAAAAAAAAATCCACCTTCATTATGCAAAGAAATTCATGGAGGAACTCGTACTGCCATCTGTAGACACTAAAACTAACTAAATTTCACGAGTAGCCTTCGTTTGAAACACATTGTTTGAAACAATCAGTGCAGAATAATAATGGCGAACGAAGTCAGCTCGTCAGCGCGCATTGAGGAAAAATTTCACTACGCGAGTAGTGCTCGTTACTAACCATTTCGGTCAAAATCTTGCTCCCGAGCAGAACTCGTTTGCGTGCATTATGAAGCACGATTCGATCGCGAGCTGAACTCGTTCATTACCATCAAAGGGTTAAGTTTGAAATTCCGTAATTTTTTCCTTATCTAGTTTAGAAACATTTTCAATCATAATTTTTTCAGATAACATCTGATATCAACATGACATCTCAATGAATTAAATGTTCATTCTCAATGATAAATCTTTCTGATAATCTTTGATATGCATACTCTTATGCTTTTTACTTTGTCTTCATATTCTAAGATAGGCTTGTCTTCATATTCTAAGGCTCTGAAAACATCTGATATATTGAAATAATTGTCCAATCCTTAGCATTTTCAAAATTTCTAATCAAACTCTCAGATAATTTATCTGTTTTCAAAATTTCTGGCCAGTTGATATTTATATAATGTACCTTTTAAGAGCTTTTTCTAATTCATAATCATAATATTTATTATTAATTTGTCCTTTGAAATTAAAAATACAATCCTCACTATTTACTTTTTCAGTGGTTTCAACAGAGAGATTACTGGGACACGAACTTCCTTTTTCATCATTTACTTTTAAGTTAGCTATTGCTAAATCTTAATATATTGATTGAACATCTTCCAAAGATATCAGTTTATATTTTTCTGGATTTTAGTCATTTAGTTTAAAGGAGTTTCAGTGTTCACAAGTTGTTAAATTCTTCCATTATTTATTAATAACACAATTTTTAGAATAGCCTAATGTGAATTCCTTTTTTTTTTTAAAATAAAGCCTTTATCATCTGTAGGTGATAAAAATTTTTTATTCACTCTAACCAAATATGAGTCATATTTTATACTTCTAATTAAATTCTTGGTTTTGTAATACTAATTTTTATTAAACGAACAGTCTTTATGAACCTCAAATGAAATTTTGTTTTTAATGAGATATTTTTTACACCTTTCGACTTTACCAATAACGTTTTCAGTTTTGTAGGCTACATTTTCATTTAATCTAGTAAATTCTTCCATAATTATGTCATTATTTTCATCTTTCATTTTCCTCCAAACCTTCTTACTTTACTTGTGAAATATTATATTTATTATCTTTTGGATAATTAGATGTACCCAAATAATCAGTCAACTTCCTATCTTCATAAAGATAATCAGTTTTATTAAAATATATCCAAATATTTGTATCTACTCGTATATATAGTAGCATAACATAATCTGAATATTTAAGTTTCATAACATTATAGCAAAAGTCATACATTAACTGTTTTGATAAATCTAATATACGTATTTCAACATATACTAGCTTATTAAAGGTGACTGAATTTTTATTCACATGAACAGCAACTAAATTTTTATCAAGTTCGTTGCTTAAAGTTTATAAAAGCAATTAATATTTTAGCCTTTTCATAATTACAGCATAATCTTCAATCGATTCTTTTTCTTGTGCTTTCTATTCCTTCTTCAAAACCTGAATTATTAATCAATTTATAAAAGCCTTTTTTAAAGTTGTTAACAGATTTAGTTTTTATTTCAATATTTATATCTATATAGCTCTTTAACCAAAGGGATTGTTTAAATTTTAATACTCTATGTACTTTTTCCAATTTTAAACTTATTTTCAAATATTGTTTCCGCAATGAACAACATAGTATTCTTTATCATATGAAGTTGTTAGTAATTTAGCTTGTCTTAGGGTGATCTGGAATTCTATTTTCAATGGCTAAAGACATATATGAATGTTTGTCATGTTGTTCTGGATATTTTAAATAAACTTTTACTGTATAGTAGAAGCTGCTGTGTATTAGAAGTATGGGATATACCCAATATCTGAGTCATCCATTTTATTAAGCCATTCATCATTGTTGCACCATTTAAGTCCACCATATGGTAGATATTGACTCAAAGCCCATCTATATAAAATATTTGTATCTAGATACATTAACACTTCAAGTGTGGCGTCCTTATTTCTGCCTTTTCCATTTAGCCGACAGTGAGCAAGCACTGGGAAGAGTGAACAGAGAACTACTTTGTTTCATCATCTTATTTCTCTTGCAGACTGGAACAGTGCAGCCAATGCATGTATATATAAATGACAAAAAGGTGACCTGCTAAACGCAATTAGTTAGAAAAAAAGCCATGGAAGTATTGAAATGGTTTGCGAATAGAAAATTCTGGTTTCCTTTGGAAAGTATTTACTGCTCATAAGACTGGAAATGTTCAGAAGAGAATGAGGTAGTGATATGTCAAGAGAATTATTTTTATCATCTAAACCTTGATGTCATCAAGTATTATGGCTGTCAACCTGGGAAGATAATTCATTAGCCCAGAAAAATGACAATGACAATTGTGACATAACTGCTAACAAAACCAATGACCAAAATGGATGGTTTGACTCAAAAAGCAATCAGCCAAATATTGAGCCTTTTACAAGTGCCTACAGTGCTCAAAAACTAATAATAAATAAATAAACTTTAATAAAATTAATATTTTTAAATAAGTTTTCATAAATCTCATTGGAGTCAATACATTTACTTTTTAACTTTGATAGGGATCGGCACCGACCAAACAAAAGTTCGGTCTCCAGAGACCGATGCCATATTCAGCGTGTTAAATAATTAGAGGGTTTACTTTTATGAATTGTTTTTGTAGTTAAATGCTTTTCAAAAATCAAACAATTCATATTACTCAATTTCAGTTTGAATTTTTGAATATTAATTTTCTTTTCACATTGTTTCATATTGTAATAAAATATTATTATGTCAGTCATCATTGTTTTTTACAGGAAAATGAGTGCATTAACTGTAATTTTTAAAGAAATTTTTTGAGATATCTTGAGAAATTTTGAGATATTTTCACAAATTCCAAAATCATCTGCCTTTTCTGTTGGGGGGGGGCATGTATCAGTTAGGATTTTATTGCCAACTGAAAACAGTGACATTTCTTCATTATGTTAACACGGGGAAATTTTAGTCGTAGAAAAAAGCTAATTTATCCTCATTTTTTTTAAAATTTGCATATGATCTGTGACTGGTTAGTATGTAATGCAGAAGGTTTCTTTTTTTCAATAAATATTATATATTTTCTTCTAGGAAGCCATAAACAGGTTTTTAAATCCTGCCATAAGAACTTCAGATATTTTACCATGGCAACATCAAAGGATTATCAAATCCTTTTTATATTTAAGAGAACCTCAAAAGGCCCTTAAGTTCATTGATTACATGGATCCACCACAGAATTCTGTAGAAGAAATGAAATTGTACTTATCTGTTCTATTGTCCCATGGGTATGTATTTTACATTTCTGAAAGCATAAGATATTATTTCCCATAATAAAAGTTATGTTATGTAATAACTTATCAGAGTTGCCAACTCTCCCGATTTAGGCAGGAGACTCCCGATTTTTGACTGCTCTCCCACCAACCCGATTTACAATATATTTCTCCCGACTTTTACTTATTCTTAAAATTTCTCATGATTTTTATAGAACTTTGCTTTATACTTCGTTTAAATTTAAAAAAAAAAAAAAAAAAAAAAAAAAAAAAAAAAAAGTGATTTTGGACCTCTGAAAGCAATTGAATTTTCTCTAGATTATATCTAAAACAAAACCTTGCGTCAGATGAGAACTTATGCTTTGTGAGTGAGAGCATACATATCCAGAAACGTCGTTCTCCAGTTCTCCAATGGGTATCAAGCTCCATTGCGTGTCATCTGGCATATGTTAGCCAATGAGCTCAAGGCTGTTATTTGGATGTTCTTTAGTTATTTCGTTCATCTTGTCCTGAGTTGTGTGAGTACATGTGCCTTCGGGAAATAGTTTTAGAAATTATCATCTTATATGTCTGCTTATGTGTATGCATTTTATATGTCAATTTATGTCTGCGAGAAAGGTGAAATACTTGTGTATGTTTCAAAACTTGTACACAGTTGACTTTCCTTCCATTATTTCCTCAAGGTTATGTAATAAATTTGTGATGTGTACCGTCTGTCATTGTGATTTTTCGATTTTGCATGGTGGAAGGGCAGATGTTCTCAAACATCTGCGTACACAAAAACAACATGAGTTTTGAGGGGGGAAACGAAAAAATTAAATTTTTCTTTGGAAACAAAGGACTAAGAAGTTATTAATGCAGAATGTCTGTTCTACATAAATTTCATTTGTTTTCGTCTGTTCTACATCTTCATACTACATGAATTTCCAGTCAACATTGAAGTGATTTTGCATGCTAAAGTTGCTGATGTTTCTGCTCTAGCAAATGCATCTTTTTCTCTGATATAAGGTACTTTTTAAACAGATTTCCTGTGTTACTTCATTTAGTTATGAAAGATGATTATATTGATGTTGCCACTGATTAATATTGCAGTTTACAATTAGAAAACTTGGATGAAGTTATAAAATCAGCTAGGATTGACACCCAGTGGAGTTTAATTCGAAAACTGAAAGGTGCTGATGGAATTTTGAAATATAGTGAACTGTCTAGAATTATGTTGGCCATCTTGACAGTTCGCCATAGTAATGCAGAGTGTGAGAGGATTTTCAGTGTTGTTGCGAAAGTGAGGACTAAATTTAGATCTAAGATTAGTGAAGACATATTAGAGAAACTTTTATTAGGGAAAGCAGGCCCACATGGCAATTGCTGCGAACAAATTTATGAAGTTTCTTTCTTTCTTAACAAAAGCAAAATCTGCCACTGTTCATAACAGCATTTAAGAATTAGTAACTGTTTAAAGTTAATTCATATTAAAAACCATATTTTTATCATTTAAAAAGTCTTTTTAACATTGTGAAAAATCTCCTGATTTTTGAGTGTCCTAGGTGGCAAGTATGACTTGAACAACGGTCTTTTTCATATATGTGTGCAAGTGCTATATTCTTCTTCTAAGAAAAAAAAAAAAAAGAAAAAAAAAAAAAAAAAACTCTTTTTTGTATTTTCCTGTTTAGCTTGCTTTACTTGTATATATATTTTTTTTCATTTTATCAAATACCATTTTTCCAGTTCAAAACTGAAATCCAGTAATTGTGCAGTTGAGGAACAGTTAAGATAATTAGGTTGCTTTACCACATATACAGAAATTCAGCTTAAATACAAAGTTAACCCCTTAATCTACAATGACGGGCATAGCCCACATACGATGGTTAGGCCAAACCTAACTTTCACAGGCATAGCCCGTGTATGCTGGGCGGGCCAAACCTAATTTTCACGGGCATAGCCCGAGTACGGTGATCGGGCCAGAAGTGAATATTACGTGGAATATTTGATACGCAGTTACAGTCTGATGCAATAATTGTGGTAGACTCAAGTATTACAAAATGTTTATTTATACAAAACTCCAGAATACAAAATTAATAATCTGTAATGGTATGATATATTTCAAAGCAATCTGGTACATGTAACGGAACTTTACACTTTTTACACTCGTGTTCTGTGTGGATTTTCTCGTACTTGATCCGCATACTGATTCATTTCGGTTACAATATTGTTCCAAAATATGTCATCAAATATTAGATTAAATATATCAAATTCTCCTCTACTTCCTCCTAATTGACATAAGGCTTCCTCTCTTATGCCAGGAGTCATTGTATAGTCTCAGATTTTTGGACTATTTCTGATTTCTTTCCAAAGCCAGGACTCTGGTGGTTGATCGTCAATAATTATTTGCCTATACTTTCTTCGAAAATTACATAATTCGTCATGTTTACGATTGCCCGGATTAGCATGTTACATAAGTCGTGCAAATGTCCCGAATGCTGCGCGAGCTTGTATACAATTTCGGCCCAACATCTTCGAATCTAAATCATGGGTTAAGGCTGCATTCAGACGGCGGCGTAAGGGGCATAGAGGCGTAGCCATAAGGGCGTAAAATACGGAAATTCCGCTCACACTTGCGAGAATGGGGTGTAAGCCGTGGCCAATGGGAGAAGCTAAATTTGCGCATACGTGGATGTGTCTACAACTTCCCCGCGTTGTTCTCTTGCTCGATTGATTTCATGCGTTCTCTTTGCTTGTTTTGTAACAGCGAAATCTCCTGTAGAATGCCGCTCGTTTTAGCTTTGCTCTGATTGGTCGACGCTTATCCCAAACTCGGCGTAAAGTTGAAAACTTTGAATCCTATGCCACGAGCCCTAAACCAGATTTTGTGACGTAGCACGGATTGGTTGCCTTGGCAACGGAGCTCGACTTTAACCACTTGTACCCTTTACGCCCTCATCTGAATGAAGCTTAAGGGTTTAACATAATCAGCTTTCTGGCATAGGAAGTGTTCTAAAGTAGTGTATTGCCACTGACCAGTGAAAAAAAGGGGAAACAAGTTTGCTTTTCTGTATATGGAGTTGCATATTGTTTATATAAGAATTTTAAGGGCTTGATTCAGTGTGAAAAATGTTTGGTACCACTTTTTCCCCAAAGTTTGCATTTTATACTGATTATTTTATCAGACTTTTGTGTTATTAAAAATCTGTATATGCAGTAAAATGACAGGTGTTTTTAAAATAGGGTCCTTTCACAAGCTGACCACTTGTCCAAGCCATATGTTCATGTACCCTGTGGCCCACGGTCAAGAAAGCAGATATCAGGGCATTGCACGCCATGGCGCTTTAAGGGCTGTTGCACCATGGAGTTTAGTATAGTTATAAAAGCTAGCTTAGGACTAAAACCAGGAAGAGGAATATTAATTATCCTCTACAAGCATTTTTAGTTCAAATAATATTCTAGTTATTTAAAGGTTTTATCAAGTTTTTATGCATACAAATTTAATATAATAGCTATAGATTATAAATTTCTTTTCCTATTTTCTTTTTATTTAACAGTGCAATTACTCGAGCATTTTATTATCAGAGAAAAAAGCAAAATGGTCCACAGGCTGAGGAGCTGCTGATACATTTGTTTCGTGGTTGTCAAGAAAGTATGTTTTCTCTATGTATTCAATATGTTTGAATTATTACTTTATGGCTAGTTGTAAATTTGAGTTTGAAATAAGATTATGTTATGTAACTATCTGCCAGGAGGTCTCCATTTTTCACATTTGTATATTACACGATATATTGTTATAGCATTTTTCATCTACATAACTGAAGAGCGGCTGCCACCCCCTGATTTTTATCATATAGTCTATTCTCCAGACAGATCACCAAATCTTCCAGTTTCAAATTTATCTGATATTAAATTACCTTAACTTAATTCTAGAACTTTGTGAATAATTGACAGTGAATAATTTTATAAGAAAATAATTGCTATGAAAATGCTATTGTGAGAATGTTTTTCTTTTCTTTTTTTTGAATGTAGTTGAATAATTTCTGAATAAAACTCAATCGAATTGTACATATTCATCTCCTCTGAGTGATTTTTAGCAAAATATTTTTTATTAATTTTTATTTGATCTGAACTGCTTTAATAAAAATTTGTAGACCATTTTATAAGGATTTATAAAATGGTCTACAAATTAAAAACTAATATATATTCAGTACAATGTCCGAAATCCGGACTCGTCGGGCGATTCTGGATTTGGGATGTTTCCGGATATTAGATCATCAGTTTAAATCTAGTAAGATGGCATGTAGAAATTATAAAATTAAAAATATGAAACTGTGATTTATTGAAACCGTGATTTATGAAATAATGAAGTATTTATGATCTAAAGGGTATCAAAAATTACAAAAAGCTTAATATTTAATTGTTTACCTTATTAAACATTTTTTTCAATGTAAGTTGTGTAAGTTGCTACGTTTTTTGGGTTAATACTTTCTCTTTAATTCTGTAGATTGACATAATCTTTTGTTTAGTTACATTGTTGAAGTCCTGTAACTGCTATTTCGAGAATTCCGACGAACTTATCAATCGAAATTTCCTCGTAATAAAGTAACTTCTCTGTCATGCTTTTCACTATCAGTAGTGGTATTTTCTGTATCTAGAATCATACTACAGATTCGCCATTCGTTAATTGATTGATGATTGAGAAGCATTGTCACCACAATGAAAAACTTCTTTTATATCATCTTCATTTATTACCACTTCTCCAAATTTCTTTACAAAATCAGTTAATTGGAAAATTTGACCTTTGTTTTGCAATATCCGAAAACCTCTAAAATTCGTGGCTATCATCATCAGATTTAGCTATCTTTCACTTTACATATTTGGCTATGTATCATGAGCTTGGCGACTAATGACAAGTTGTTGCGTTAAATTTTATCTCCCTTCTATTGCGCACTGAGACAATTAAGCCTCAATTTTATTAGTTTAGTTATTTATTATACTTATGTCTATGTCTTGCACATGCCTAAGAATTAACTTAGTTCTGAATAAATAAATTCCCACATATACTTAAGCCTTATTGAGGGCCGGTGCTAGATATCTTACCACCTGATGCGGTCTCTGTGGGTCCTAAATTCTGTGACTTGGCGTGGCCATACGAGCCCTGGTGCTATTTCTGGGTTTATGTGAATAACAAATCAGTTACTCTTAATTCAAATAGCTCTAAATGTAATCTTTGAGTTCTTGAGTATCATCAACAAAAGCTATTTGTAGCATGTGGAAAGAAAATTTTTGGTAAATTTTTCGTCAACATTTTTTAAGAGCATTTAACTTAAAATTGTAATTATAGTCAAGCGTAATGCCAACGTGAAAGGTTACCATACTCCTTTATTATTCAGTTACTAACATAAAAAAAATTGTTTAAGCATCGCTACAAGAGTCATTACTCAAGTTATCATGAAAGGAAAGTATAATAAAAATAATGATTTGGTGTCAGATCAACGATGTATCTGTGTGGAATGTTTCGGTTTGAAATGAGTGCCAAGTAGATATGCAACAGTGGAGTCACATTACTGCTAAAAATTACTGCTCATACAAATTTATGCTAAAATGATTGTTTCTTCAATAACAAGGTACTTAATTTCGTGTTGAAGTGAAATTAAGAATTGGGACTGTCCAAGATGTTTTATTATGTGCAGGGGAGGGAATCAAATGCACTTGTGTAAAGCCTACCATAAAAACGCTGTGCTGGTTTTGAGGTCCGGATTTTAGAGCATTTCGGATAATGGATGTCCGGATTTCAGACTTTGTACTGTATATACTAAATAATTATTTGTATTTAATTTTGAATGATACAGTACTAAGTTTATTTGACTAATTATATGTGTGTTTATTATTAATTTTATTTTATGTTTAAAATAATCATTTTGTTAATGTAAAATGTTAAGAAAATCAAATGCAGTTAATCAATAAACACAATATTTTAAGTTTAGAATAAAGAAATAAATATTAATTTCATGTATTTTGTATCATGTTACAATTAGTTAAATAATCCAAATTATGGGTTATAAAGGGACTAAGTCAATGTTGTAAACCAAATCATTTTGAAGTTGTATCATTATCCTGTGTTTAAAAAATTACTGATTTTCCATGTGTTAAGGGTAATAGCTATTTAACCATCAGCGTTTTGCCATTCTTTAAGGCAAAAGATTATTAATTTATCGTGTGCACTGCCTGACAAATTGCCAACACTCGGTATTACCATTCAATATGTTGTACGTTATGTATTTTTCAAATTAAAAATGTATATTTTTATTTGGGTTATTTAAAAAAAAGTTCTAAATAACTTATATTTTTTATTTTATTTCTAATAATATCCATATTTCATCTAATTAATAATTTTATTACTAACATTTACACCTTTATTGTGAATAAAAAATGATTTTTTAATATCCTGTATAACTTGGGGCTGAATAATCATTTGCTTTTTATGTTTTTATAGAAATGTTCACCTTAGATCAGAATTACAAATATAACAAACATAACATTATGATTATCTGCACTACTTAATGCTTGGGTATGTAGGGTTAATGGAGAAACAAAGGTAATAACTCTAAATATTAAAAAAAAGAAAAGGATATGCAGCTCTATTTTTTTTTGAAGAAGTTTTTTTTTTAAAATCATTTGTTTCTGAATATAAAAGTTTTTAGTTATGTATTTAATTTTGTGTGTTTGGGTAGTGTGGGAGGGAGAGTCATGTTTCACATTCTTTTGGATAATATGGTGAGTGCTATGTAAAGCTAATTTGTTAAGTCATCTAGTTTGAAATGAATTGCATATTCTAACAGCTTGTGTACTAATCGTAATTCTGAGTAAAACTAATTTGTTAAGTCATCTAGTTTGAAATGAATTGCATATTCTAACAGGCTGTGTACTAATCGTAATTCTGAGTATAGCTTATCTTTACTCCTTTATCTTCTTCCTTGTGTTTATTCCCCTTCCTGTTCTTTACTCCTCCTTCCTTATAGTCCCCTTCCTGCTCTTCTGATGCATTCTCTTGAGTCACAAATAACAAAGATTCTTGGTCTGATAAAATTCTGTAGCCTTCTTTTTTCTTGGCTTGTGCAGCCTGTTTTCTATTATATTTTCTTTATTTACAATTTCAAAAATTTGGTATCGCAAATTATTTAAGACCTGTTATATAATTTCTTACCACCATCTTTCCTCACAGTATTGGAGATTACTTTCTTAAGTCCATGAAAAAGGATATTATGTTTTAGCAGTGAGAATTACTGTATAAAAAAATTATGATTTTCTTCTGAGAATTTGCAAGTTTTGGTGACTGAAATGTGTTCAGTGAAGTCTTTAAAATTTTGGGCTGTTATTTTACATTATTTTAATCTAAAGGAACATCTTCTTTTGTGCAGCATCCAAGAAGTCACCAATGAATAAGATGTAAAATCTTTCATTATCTTTCATGCAACCTTGTATATAATTTATTTTATTTAGGATAGCATAATGTAATTTAATTAATTTTTCAAATTATAAACAATTTTGTAGCAAACACTGCTTAGTAATTTATATCTTTTAAAGCAATACCCATGCTGCTTAGTAATTTATATCTTTTTTTTTTTTTAATTAAAAACATTTTAAACAGTTATAATGCATTTAATTTCCAGTTCCATTTGATGTGTTATATAATCCTTTTACTATGATTCAGTTGCCAAAAAATCCCACTAGAACTACATGTTTTCATTGGATGTCTTACAAGTGGCTTTGTATTGCTGGAATCAACTCTTATGTTCATAGACTTCAAGAAATATAATAAACTATGTAATAATGTCTTGGCACATTTCACTGTTCAATAATGTTGTAACAGAATGCTTCTCAACAAAGAAAATTGTATAATGTTTTGGGAAAACAACACATGTGCCTAAAAACACAGAGCTCTAAAACATATGTTGTGTGACTTTTAGATAATATTAATAAGTATGTTCCTTATTTAGTACTCATTGAGTTCCATCTAATGCTAAACAATACAGTTACAATTGCTATTCAATTTAAAATATAATGTTGATTTGATGTGGGCAACATTTTGAACTCTGTAGATTAAGTGAGGATAGGTAACATTCAGATGTGAAAATTAAGTTTTTTGAGAGCCAGTGTATTTATTTTGAACTTGAAAGCATTTGCAAGGATGGTGTTCAAAATATTCGTTAAAAATTTTCCCTTGCTTTTCCATTTATAAATTTGCTGGTAAGTTTGATATCAGCTTAGAATGGAATTGAAATGCAGTCAAAGTTTTCTGAAATATTGTAATCTGTTCTGAAAAACATCTATAAAATAGCAATCAGTGCCATTTGTTTTTCATTAAAAATATGAGTTCCCCCAAAGAGAATTTTAGAGAGAATTAAATTATTGCTCTTGATGTGAGATTATACTAGTAATAGTAGTGCTTTGCAAAAATAATGTAATCCATTCCATGATTCCATCATTTGTTCAGTTATTGTGGAAATTATTTAATCAGTTCCTGAGCTCTGTCTGAAATCCTGAAACATAATGGAAAATTTCAGTAGAATGTGACATGCTATCAAAGTTTGAAATGCTGGAAATTGGTTAATTTATTTGTAATAAATATATTTAACTGCACTTTATATGCACATATTTGTTTTTAGTCGAGAGAGTTTTTTGAGGTTTTCCTGGAGGTGTAAGACTCAGCTTATCCATCATCACTTTTTCACATCCACCATTGGATTTATGGAAGGTTCAGATTTCAGTAAATTTTCTAAGGTGATTTAGAACTTACCTTTCTTTTCAGAATAATGCCGATGTAGTGGATAGCATCGACATTGAGCAGATCTGCCACTCTTTTGATCTTTTTTTTTTTTTTTTTTTTTTTTTTTTTAAGCTTCGTGGTGAACTGGACTTTTCCCAAATGTTGACTAAATAAGGTTTTATTTTAAGAAATATGAGCTCAGTCTAATTTTAATTCTTCAAAAGGTCTCTCATAGTTGCAGTTAGCTTTGAACACTTGTGTTCTCTTCCTTCTCACCAGAAAAACTCTCTGAGCTTCTTCACATTCCCAGTCAAGAAGGACTTGTAGCTCTTCTGTAGTTAAAATAGTATTAAGAAAATAATTGAAGAACTTGCAGCAAAAAGGGCCCAGTTCCAATTTGGTAGATTTTGTGTTCATGGGTCTTTTTTGTTTAAAAAAAATTTTTTTCTTTGCATTGGAGTAGCTGTAAAAATAATTTTTACTAGCACTTTTAATGAGGACAAACATTTAGAACATAAGTAAAAAATTAATTTTTTAAATGTTTCTCTTAATTTTCGAAAATTAAAAAATGTTGAGCTGGACCCTTCTTGCTGCAAGGTCTTCAGTTTTATTTATCGGTGCCTTTTCTCATTATCTTTCTTTATGCACAAATATATATTTTTTTAATTTATGTAGTCGTTAGAAGAGAAAGTAAGCAAATGTAGCTCTGCATTTAATACATGACAAAATTTGCATGCCGAACCAAATTTGTTATGCAAAGCATTTTTAATCTGCATATGCCATTATATATTTAGTAGCAAATGCTGTCATTCTTTGAAATATTGTTAGCTGCTTTTGGCTTTAAAAGATGGATTTAAGTGGGTCTTCATATTCTCAAAAACTGGGCCACGTTTTTGTTTTAAATTTTCTGTGACATGCATGGATCCTTTTATTTATTTTTTTGTTGTATCTCGCAATGGATTCTGAGGGCAATGTGTAGCCTGCAGGTTGGGCAGGCCCACCATATACAACTGAGAATAAAGCATTTCCTAATAAAATATTTTTATTTCTTAGTGCATAAAATGAAAGAACTTCTCTATATGCCTATGAATACATTTGAATCATCTTTGTTCGTGAAGTACCTGTCTGAGAATGAAGATTTTCGAGCTCAAGAAGTCTTGGTTATCTATCATTTGCGGCACTGTAACTATTCTGAAGCTTCTAGAGTGAATGAGAGACTGTCACATTGCCAACTGGTAATAATTTAAAATTATTTTTAAAAGTTGGATAATGAATGTAGTGTTTTGGATATTAAATTTTAGCTGTTATGATAGAAAATTTGACCGTAGTTTAAATCTGCCACTGTTTGTGAATATTTCATAATTTTTTTGGAAACTATATTATGTAACATGTAGAATTTATTTTTTTTAAGTACCAAAAATTTGTCATTGTAATTTATAATAAAGTTTTCCATATAAAACATAAGCTTGCCTATTATTTGGGTTATTGCCTGAATTCAATTTTTTTTCTTTTTTCTCCCTCCATCCCCATCAAAAACCAATTTCTTCTGTTTGGAATCTGAATTTTCTAAATTGCTCATTACTGTGTTTGATATCAACATTTTACCAGTTTAAACGCTGATTTGGCTTAAGAAATTTTCATTGACATGGAAAATTAATGCTAAAGATCATATTGTTACGATATGACTAGCCACTGTAAGATAGCTTCTCCGCAAAGCAAGTTTTGGGTTGCCAGAAAATGGCTAGGGAAGGCAGGATTGCCCGTTTGGTGACATGCCATAGACGGATGGAGAACCTTCTGAAATGAATTCTTTCTGGTTTAGCCCAATATGTTCTCGAACACAAGCCAAAAGCTATATAAACCCTGCTGGTATGCGGGTTAGTCCGTGCAGAGTCAGTGTCTCAGCTAGGGAGTCAATTGTGAGTCAGTGAGAATCCAATGAGTTGATAGTCAGTCAGTGAGTGCTGAGTTGGTCGTCGAGTGCACCATAAGAGTCTCTTAGTGTATCGTGAGTTAGTTAGTGCATCGTCGAGTTTCATCTTAGAGTGTGTTGAGTTGCAGAACCAACTGAACCAAGGAGTCAGGAGCTGTACTCTAGTGTATCGTTGAGTGCTTCGCGAGTTGAGTGTGGAGAGTCTAGAGATGGAATTCCGAGAACGACTGAGCAGAGTCGGGAGCTGTACTCTGGTGCTTTGCCGTGAAACTGTCTCCGCTGTTATAGCCTGATAACCTGAAGGCTGTGTTGCTGATTGTTTCAGCATGTTTATAGTAGTTCTTCGACAACTGTAAACATGTTATTGGAGCTTTCTTGAATAATACTGACTAATAAGTTGTGTTTGCATTCTTTATCAAGTGTTGCTGTCGTTATTCAATGTACGAAGAAAAAAAAAAAACTTGACAATATGCTAGATGAAGTGGTTGTAACTCTGCTTTGGGACTTCAACATGATATGAACAAAACAATATGTGAAAAAATAATGATATATTATTAGCCTCATGCCAAAGCCTTGAGTCTGCAATTCTTACTGTTTAACTTATGTGCATATTTTGTTATTTTTAAATGGTTTATGCCGCACTGAAAAGGAGATGCATATTCTGTGAGAGGAATTCTTAAGGATTTTTGCATAGAAATAATGTACAACGTGATTTTTCTCAAAGTGGAACATGTTCTAAACCTTAATTATGTGTTTCTGGAAACAATGATTTTTGATGATCAGTATTTTAATATGATATTTATGACTGAAAGGGTTTATGTATATGAATCATATGTATAAATATGATTTTAATCTAATTCAGTCTGTTCGGTTCTATTTCGTACTTATTAGCCATTCTTCCTATAAAATATTTTCCTTAGTCAAGACTGCGCACAATTAATAATCAATATAAATTGAAACTTATGTGTGAAATACATATCCTGTTTAAATATATTGATTTGTTTGGTTGTTCTTACAGAGTGGAAAACCATTCGCATCAGATAGGGCAGTTGACAGGGATGCTCTTGTTGAAACCTATCTAGCTGCTGTGCCAAGGGCTGAGAAACGACTGGTTGAAGAAATTAAACGGCTGCCTTCCAGAACGTTTGAGAAGGCAGGCAAGTCCAACTGTATGTATTGAAATTTAGTTGTACATCGATATTTTATTAGTAAATTCTCATTATTAACTTGATTCTGATTATTATCTCATTATTAACTTGATATATATATATATATGTAAAATATAAAAAAATATGATGGCTTTGTTCTATGTGAACAGGCAACCTCTAATTAACTTTCCACAAGTTCAGGATCTTTCCCCTAGACCAGTACTTTCGAGAACATTCTGGCATGTTATTTAACAGCTAGTATAAATGCAGAGTTCGTGCCACTTTTTGTCAGACTGCTTTCTTCTGCTGCTATCAGACCTTTGCTGCTGCTCTTCCTATCCGTTTCCCTTTGTTCGAATAGTATGAGGCAGTAAATTTAAAATAATTTTATTTAAATCGTTATTAGATATGTAATTTTGGAGAATTAATCTAAAAGAATAATGCTCTGCCATTTGCATTGAGTAAAGATATGGAGCTATAAGGTTATTTTTCTTTGTCATCATTGGATGCTTTAATTAGGCACAACAACTTCTGGATTCTGATGCCAAGCTCTGTCATTCCTATGCCTGACTGCCACAATATTATATATATACATGAAATGTAATTTCTCATACATTATTTGTTTTGTGCAGCCGGGGCAATAAGAATGAGACAAATTTTGGAATATAAAGTGGTAGGTTTATTTTAGCATCCATCTCGTAAGCGTTCTCCTCGTACCTTGAGCAGAAGCCCTACTTATACATATGTGTACTTCACGAGGATCCTCCAATCAGCGATATTAATTGAAATCACGAGGTGACGCTATCTTCTCATCAGGAGTGTTCTTAAGTACTTTATGTAATATGACAGATTTATGAGTTTGGCGATTTGGCGGGCGCCAACAGGTTAATATATTTTATACTAAAGAAAGATTTCGTCAAAATTTAGGAACAGGGATGCAATTTAGGTAGATAATCGCCAACACATTATTAAGCAATATTAATAGAATTTAATTTAATCAATTAATTATTATTAATAGAATTTAATTTAAAAATATCATTACAGATTATCCCCCCCATCTGAAAAGGCTTGCAGTCGCGGCCGTCGACCCAAGACAGTACAGATAGTGAGAGCAGAAAATTTAGTTATTAGGAAATTAAGTGAGTAGGAAAACTGATTGGATTTACCTCAAGGGACACAAAATGTTTACGTAAAATATGACATAAAATATTTGAATATAATTAATACAGTATATAAAATATAATAAATGATTAATGAAATTATAATATAGTAACTAAGTGCAGAACAAATAAAGCACTATTAACATATTGCTGGTTATCTACGCGGCAATAGGAAATAGTAATATAACTGAATTTGTAAGTTTATATCTTAGGGCATGCCATTCACAGTTTGTGTATGAGTCCATACAATCATTAGAGTTGTCATTCAGTCTCATCTTCAGTCTTTTACTGGTCTTTGGAGATCTCCGGATCATTTAATTAGCGCTAGAATTATGGATTAGCATTGGCTCTGAAAACATTTGAGTTTTTATGTCACGATACTAGAGCTCTTATACTCTTGTTGAAAATACACATTTTGATAGGTTTTTAATATATTTTGTCACTCTATTTTTCTCTTATTAATGATAACAAAACAAAATTTAACTTCCAACATCCATACCAGTTTTTTGTACACGATGCTGCAGAAACATAAAAATGAAATTCAGAAATTTCAACAACTGAAATTTAACTTTTTCAACTGTTGCTACAATTTATAACACAAACATAGGAAAACATGAGCTCAAGGAAATGTGAGGTATAGTACTCTACTTGTAGTATAGCCTCAATTGAGTGTTTCCCACACGGGAAAGTGCATTGAACCTGAAACTCAAGTTTGAAGGAGCCCAGTAAAAGTAAAGAAAAGGGGCAGACAAACTTTTCAGACACTGAGAGATAAATCAATTATTAAGGGGGACAACAGGATGAAAACTAAAAGAAGGGTTATGGATAGTTTATTGATTTATAAATTTTGATTTATTCATGATGTAATTTAAAGTTCTCGGGTGGGTGGATAATAGAACCTTAATTTTGACGCATGTACAATCTCAGTTGGTTTCTTCGTGTGAAAATTTTCCCTGTCGATTTCATAATTAACTTCAGATAATTTATTCATAATCCGATAAGGGCCTGAATAGGGTGAAGTGAATCAATTTCTAGTATTTGGATATTCAAATTCCTCGTAAAGGACAAATCTCTCCAGGTTGAAATTTAGATTCTACAAATCTGATGTCATATCTAGTTTTATTCTTTCGGTGGTATTCGATAGTTCTTTTCTTTGCTAAAGCCCTTGCTTCATTTAAGGAAGGGTATTTATTTTGATCAATTGGAGATTCAAAAGGGAGGTTACCAAATAGTAAGTATGCTGGGGTGAACTTAGTTACCGTATGAGGGGAGTTGTTATATTCGATAACAACTTGCTCTAGCACTTTAGTCCACGGTACTTTTTTAGAAGAAGAATTTACTTTACATTTTAGTCGACTTACTATTGATTGATTTACTCTTTCTACTTTACCATTTGTCTGGGGATGGTGAGATGAAGTTAAAAGTTGTTTAACATTATGCTTTTTAAGAAATTTTTTGAATCTAGAGGAAGTGAAGGCTGCATTCCTGTCACTCAGAATTTTTTCGGGGACTTGTATTTGAAATATTTGTTTTAGACAATTGGCATAGGTTTCTGAAGTTACACTTTTAGAGGGAAAAGCCCAGACATATCTTGTTGCATGGTCAATAACTATATGTAAATATTTTTTTGTAGAATTATAATAATTAAATCCTCCCACAGTGTCAATAGAGAGACATTCGAAAGGTTTGTCGGTTGGGGGTACGTCTTGCATAAGACCAAATTTTTTCTGTTTTTTCTTTTTATTAAGTTGACAAGTATTACAATGTTTTACAAAATTTCCGATATCTTCGCTAATATGAGGCCAATAATATTGAGGGGTGATTAAGTTAAGCATAATTTGAACTCCCGGGTGACCAAAATTTTCATGGGTTTTATTCAACAATTTTAATCTTAAAGATTTAGGTACTACAATTTTATAAAAATTCTTTTCTTAATTACCATCATATCATTTATCTCTTGGTAATTTTTTCCGCAGACATTATCAGTTTTTTGTTGTTGGATTATTTCATTTCTATCAAGTAAATGTACATAATGTTGGAGGTGCTGTGATGAAACAGGATGTCTAGAAAGCATGTCAGCTTCAATATTGGTAGAGCCCTTCTGATACTTTTACTTCATAATTGAACATACTTAGTTTGAGTGACCAACGGAAGAGTCTACCTTTAAAATTTTTTAACATTTTTGAGCCAAACGAGGGCCGCATGGTCCGTATGTATAACAAATTTTTGTCCATGCAAGATAGTAATAGAATTTGTCTAGGGCATCTACTATGGCCAAACATTCTAACTCAGTAATCGTATAATTTTTCTCATAATTTCTTAAAGTTCGGGAATGATATGATACAGGGTGAAGGACATCATTTTCATCTGGTTGTTTCAAAACAGCTCCAACAGCAGTTTGAGAAGCGTCAAACAAAAATATGACATGGCCTACTGGAATCATACAATTGTAAAACAGGTTTGGAAATCAGTATTCTTTTCATTTCGTCGAAAGCTTTTTGACATTGGTCATCCCATTCCCACTTGACATCTTTTTTCAAGAGTCTGTTTAATGGAGCTCTAATAGTTGCATAATTCGGAATGAATCTATGATACACATTCACACTTCCCAAAACTCTTTGTAACTCTTTGGTGTTACTGGGGTTTTTAAGTTTCTTAATAACTTCTATATTATGGTTATCGGGAATTATTCTACCATTTTTTATTTCATAGCCAAGAAATGTGATCTTGATCTCTGGGCGAACACACACATTTGTTTCGATTCAATTTAATATGCTCCTCTTTAAACACCTCAAATAAAATTTTTAAATGTTCTAAATGTTCCTTCTCAGAGGAAGAGTAAACGATTATATCATCAAAGTAACTGCAAGCGAAATTAATTTTATTTTTTGTTAATATTCGTCTAATTGTTCTGTTAAAAATTGCAGGAGCATTTTTGAAACCAAAAGGGAGTCTTAACCATTCGAATAATCCAAAATTCGTGCAAAAAGCTAATTTCTCAGTATCTGCAGGGTGAATCGGGATATGCCAGAAACCAGATCTCAAATCAATTGTAGAAAATACTTTTGCTTTACTTAATTTGTCTAACAAAGTGTCAATGCGAGGAAGAGGGTTTGCATCTGTTTTAGCCAGGGAATTCAATTTTCGATAATCTATACACAATCTAGTTTTTTTCCTTCCTCACGTTTAAGTACTAAAGTCACGGGGGACGAATATGGGCTACAACTTTCTTTAATTATACCTGCTTGTAATAATTGATCAATTTGGGTCTTAATTTCCTCTTCTTCCATAGGGGATGTTCTATAAGGTCTTAATGATACAGGCAAATCAGAATTTAAATTAATTCGTTGAGGTTCAATATTAATTTTTCCTACATCATACTTATTTTTAGAAAACACAGATGAATAATCATTTAACAATTTTTCCAAGTTATACTCTTTGTTATCGACAGTATTAGAAACAGCATTTTTCACATAAATGTTAGACTGAGAAACTAATTCATTTGGATTTGTAGTCCGAGATTTACAGGTTGGAAAATTTCTTACATCATCATCATTATTATTATTATTAACACATGGATAAACATTTGTTGTACCACCTTGAAGTTGGAGGTGTAGAGATATGGGTCGGCTGTCAAAATGGCAGTCATCATTAAGTACAATAGCTCTCTGTTTAATTTTTAAATTAGTACAATCAATACTCAACTCAAATAATTTGCATTCATAAAGTCCTAAAATTACATAATTCAAATTATTATCAAGAACAAACAAGGTAATTTGTTTACTAATCCGTCCAATTTTCATTTGTATACAACATATTTTGTTGAAGATTATTTTTCCTTTAGTTTGGGTTACTGAAAAT